CAGAAAGACCTCCAAAAAAAAGACCAAAAGAGACCAAAAAGAAAGACCATCTTCCCCTCAATGCATCTGTTGCTTCATTGTTGTCTGAAGCTTGCCCGTAAAATGAATAGCCTTAAATGGGGAATTAATAAAGTCGAGTTAAACTGCATGTCTGTCTGCCTTCCTCTGTCTGTCTGCTCGGCGGGAGGTAGCTGTGATCCAGATTCACATGGTGCTCCACATGCTGGAAATCCCCTCAATCTAACTAACTATTCCACCGACAAACTCCCCCTGCCTACTGAAAAACACAGCGGAACACATGTAAACTTTCTCTGTGTCCATAAATTAAATATGACTTATGATTAAGTACATGTTACGGATGTTGCCAAGTTTCTTTCTGGAACTATTTCAGGTGAATAACCTTGTTTTTTAAGTTAATTGTCAGTGGCATTATAAAAAATACAGCCAGTACATTCCAATCCAATGAAAAGCCTGTGCCCTGGCTCTCTCTCTCCACACAGACAGCGCACATATGCAGATATATGAGATAAAGTGTGATGACTGCATGCTTTTGGTTATAAAAGAGGCTCACAAGTTAAAAATACGGCCCCCATTTGTGTTTAAGTTTGCGTGCATGTGTGTGCTACCCTGTTTACTGTTTACTCAAAATCCTTATCGTCTGTGGGCTACAGTTGATTATCAAACAGGTGGTGTGACTCCTATCACTCTGACACGTTTGCTTCCTATGACGGGAAGGTCCTGCCGACCTTGAAACATGCTAAATATGTCATTTTAATATGAGAAACTTTAACTTAAAGGAATAGTTTGACATTTTGGGAAAGCCCCTTATTTGCTTTTTTGCCGAGCATTAGATGAGATAATCGATACCACTCTCATATCTGTCTGTTCATTATGAAGCGAGCATTAAGACTGGAAACACAGGGCCAAATGTAACACAATCCAACTACCAGCCCCTCTAAAGCTCAATCATTAATATCTTATATCTGGGTTGTTTAATTCGTACATTAACTGTAAAAATGTAAAACAGACTATTACCAGCCACCCATCCATCACCATGTATGTGGAAACTATAACTACTTGTAGTCAAAAATGTGTCTATAAAGCCCAGCAGCAAACCTACAACTCTGAGGATGGTAGAGATGACTGGCTCGCATCATCGTCTGTGTCTTGGGCTAATTACTAAATATCAAAGTCATACCAGCCCAAAGAAATGAGTCAGTACAGTCTTTGAACTGGATGGATAGACAGCCGCCTCACTGTGCCTGAAGCTAAACTTTAAAACGTCTCCTTAAAAGCTGTTTTCATCTCATTCATCTAGACAGTGACGGCAGCTGTTTGAACAAGTCAAAGTCTGAGAAGATGCTTCAGCAAACCTCAGTGAACCAATGGCGCCATCTGGCATAAGTCAGTGAAGCTACTGTACCATGCTGCTGACAGGTCAGCCCCCAAAATACATTTCCAAAGAGGATTTTTTACACACTTTTAGAACAACACCGAATTATTAATTAGTATTAATTATTCCCTATTTAAAAATCTGGTAAAAACAAGCTAATTCAAATTGAACACAGCTCAGAAACTGTTGAACCTAAAATAGCATAATGTGTTATTAATCATGTTCTGTATTAATCAAAAGGTTTATATGAATTTAGATCATATTTAATGGACGACCTGCATCACAAATCAAGTATGACTTAATAAAGTTAATATTTGTTGTTATTAATCTGTTCATATCCATTTGTATTTCAAAAACTGCAAATAATGACACTAAACTATAATCCAAGTAGAGATGTATTAAGCTCTCTATGACCTTAGATCTGAATCATTAGAGACTTATTCACAGTTAAGGCATGGAAACCCTACATATATATATGTGTGTGTGTGTGTGTACCTCCGGTGTGGTCTTGTTGAAAACATCTTGTCCCTGAATGATGTCAGTCATCACTCTGTCTTTCAGCTGTTGGTACTCCTCAACAGTCAGCTGGATGGACTCTAACTCTGACCCACAACACCTGCACAGACCCCTGGAGACACACACACACACACACACACACACACACACACACATACACATAAATGACAGACACACCATCACTATCATAAGGAGCACACCGCTTTTCCTGTTCACAAAAATGGATTAAATAACATGAGCTGCTGTGAAGGTTTTATGTTAAAGTAGGAAGTGGTGTAATTACTTTGGGGTGGCGCTGGTCCAACTTCCTTTCCATTTCTGTCCTGGGAGACTGAAGACAGGAAAAGAAAGACAGAAAGAAGAGTAATGACAGCAAGGAGCAATGGAGATGAGGTGAATAAAAATTACAGGGAAGGAGATTGTATGAAGTTCATACAGACAAAGGGAAATTACTTTGGGCAATTTTATCTTGTTTTTTATCAGTACAAAGGATTGAAAATAGAAAAAAGGGCAATATCACCTGAAATGAAAGCAATGAACAACCTCAATTATTTTAATCAGTTGAGCACAGCCCTACAGTCTTGAGAGCATTAGCTACACAATAGACTGCTTCAACTAAAATGTATTGAGAAGTAATTTCTGAACTTTTAATGCTACAGTGTTCACTCCATAGTCAACTTTCAAAAGCAGCACTTTTTAGTTCCATAATTGATGAGACAGATTAAATAATATCTTGTCATCAGATAATCAGGTTATTTTCTATATTTATAAAGTTTTTAATGTAAATTATTCAACATTATATGAAATTCTACCTTATTATGATGTGAACCAACCAATCACTCTCTCCTACCTCTCAAACGAGGTCTTGATGCTGCTGGCGAGGCTGTACTGTGGGTAGATCTGGTTGTTCCTCATGTGCAGCAGAATCCCCAGCAGCCTCTCCTGGTGTTCAGGCTGAGACATGGCCTCTTCCAACCCTTCCACCTCCTTAGTCTTCTTCACTCCCTTAAACAGAGCGTCCCAGGTCTCCTGGTGTGGACTCAGTCCTTTTTCCATCAATTCATCATAAAGAGCCCAGGCAGTGGTCATGTCACCGTGTAACACTGCTGCAGCAATGACATCACCATAGTTGCGTGATGACGGGGTAAAGACCTGTTGGGATGACAGTAAAAGCTGATGAGATACAAAGTATGAGTGAGTTTAAAATGCTTTCTGACCAAGCAAACAGCTCTCCACCTTCTTAACCTCCTGCAGGAGGTTGACCGCCTCCTTCCACCTCGCTGTGCGGCTGAAGGACTTGATAAAGAGGGTGGAGGCTCCCGTTTCCAGAGAGGAGAAACTTCCTCGCATGATGTCATAGACATCAAACACCTCGGCATCGTGGCTGCCGCTCACACATAGTGAAAGGTACCGTAGTAAGAGCTCATAGGACAGCGTCCCCGTTTCCATGGTGGCAAAAGTCAGCAGAGACCTGTGTCCAAAAGATTTTAAAAACAGACATACTTAATTCATTGAGCTTTATGTTGCACATATTGGACACAAAACATTAGGTACTCACTAAGTACATTACTGCAAGGACATTTGAACATCCACAAACTATTTTCAGAAAAATCACAGCCACACAAACACACTCATCCTCCTCTCACTTGGCAATATCCAGCTCTGCCCCGGAGGTGAACAGTGCATGGATCATCTTGATGTCAAAGCGTTCTGGATTTCCCAGAGACTCCTTCAGCTTCCTCCACTCAGCAACAGAAAGTGGCCGGTCAGGAGGCTGCACCTTTCCTGTGAAACATGCATGCTTTAGTTCAGAGAACTGAAACATTTACTCTCGTACACTTTCATGGAGTCATTTAGACATCATAAATCATCTGAGTGTCTATTGAGCAAGTTTAAATATAAAATATCTGGAATTATTTGTGCATAGTTATTTGAGCAGCATTGTTCCTGCATAAATCTGTTTTCAGAAATATTGTTGTATTTTGTACCAAAAGGATCTGAGTGTAAGAGGAAAACAAAGTGTGAAAGATGCCTAATCAGGTAGAGAGTTCTAGCATGTCCTACTTGCTCCTCTAGTTGTCTTCCTTTCAGGCTCCTGCTTGGGGTCCACTTCATCCTCAGAGGCCAGAGATGCTTCCCTCTTCAGCATCTCTGCCGTCCTCTTTGCCGTCCCAGCAGAAAACACAGATTTGGGGAAGGATTGTCTCTGCCTTAGAGATGAGCTTTTACCTCCTCCGTCCACTGTATCTTCCCACAATCCTCCTTGTCTATGTCTGATGGTCCTATATCTTACCCCACCCTGTCCATCAGTCGGCCCACTGTTTTGTCTGACTGTCTGTCTGCCACCTGATTTGGGGTTGGTGTCTCTGGTGCACAGACAGCGTGCTGTGGTAGCCAACTGTGAAGTTTTCATGGTGAGGAAAGCTAAACTTCCTTGGTATAAGAAAGGATTTAGTGGTTTCAGGCATATTTTGACTTTAGATATCAAGTTGGAGCCCATGTTCTGAAGTTTAACCTCTGGGTTTAGTAGAACTTAATATACTCTATTCTGACTCAGTTTCACGTTATGTTGTATGTCATCTACAAACTGTAGAAAACCTAGTTCCCAAACCAACTCAACACAAAATTGACACATGCTGTTGGGTGCATGAATCGTTAACATCGAAGACTAACCATGAGCTAACCTAACTGTTTCTAAATACTGGAAGTTAAAAGCAACTATCACTCGTTGGCTCTATAGACAGTTATAATAATATAAAGCAGACTCACACCTCCCTTCGATGTTCAAATTGAACAACTAACTCAGCTTAGCCCTTTCTATAGAACTTCATGGGTAAACACAACTGTAAGCATGATTTTAGTCGCACACCTCGACGTCATCAATGCTTGACAGCTCCGTTTGTGAGCTGCGTCAAGTTTTCATGACAACAGGGGAAAGACCGGAAAAACTTATTTGTTACAAAATAAAGGACACTAGAAACGTACTTGATACTGAAGAAATTGAAGAAATTTGTTGATTGCACTGATGACTTTGCAATGAATGATCGAACTGTTATTACCTATGGTATTTACTTTGCTGATTAAGTATTTCTTTTATGAGTTAAGGTTTATTTTGAAATTCAAGCTGAAATCACATTCTTGTTCAGTCATTAACTTGACGTTAGGGTAGCTTAGCTACTTTTGTATATAAGTCACTTTTACAATCTTTTCGACTTTGGGGTTAGAAACGTTTTACTGATGAAACATTAGATTAACTTCGGGGCAGATATGGCTAAAGAACAACAACCTCACTGGTCGGATATTTTGAAAAGGAGGCTAGCTAACCCTAAAAAAGGTAAGAGAGAATGTAAACTTTGGCTAACGTTGGCTAGCTAATTTTGGATTGAGTGTACCAAGCTAAAGTCGCTTTGCTAAATCAACATTAACACTTACACTTACCAGATACCTTTCATGTAACTGATTATCACTCTAAAGTTTTTTTCATGTTCCCTCTTCTGTCCAGACGAGAGAAGCGACGAGGAAAAGAAAGCAGAAGAAACTGAGCTGTTCACAAAATATTACACAGAGTGGAAAGGAGGAAAAGACAAAGACAAGTCCTACAAGAACATCCCGCGTTTCTACTACAGGGTATTATTCGAATACATGACATGTGTAAACCCAATGACAACTGTCATCATTCATGTCATTTGGATGGAACCCCATCACTAAATCCCCTGACAGTATTTGTAACAGTAAATAAACATCTTTCCATTTAAAGAAAAAAATTAAGAGCTTAGGCAATATACATAGACACTATTGCTAAAACGGTATCTCACTGGTTTGTTTTGTTCTGGTGTCATATGTTTAGTATCTTGCTATACAGTAGCTTTCCTAAAATTAATCTGATGATTTAAGCATACAGGCTTGATGTTTAATGATGAAGATGTGCAGAAGTAAAAATAACTCGGGCTGCAATGATGATGATTGTGATGATGTTCTGCAGCTACCAGCAGAGGATGAAATATTACTTCAGAAGCTGAGAGAAGAATCCAGAGCAGTCTTCCTCCAGAGGAAGAGCAGGGAATTGCTGGATAATGAGGAACTGCAGGTAAAACACACACACACGCCAACACACGGTAGTCAGATGCAATATAAGGACTTACTTCAGCATGAATCACCGCACTGTATGTTTGTGATTTTGTACCTACTTAGCTGTCTTTTCTTCTTTCTATTTTTCTTTCTGTAGAATCTGTGGTTCCTGCTCGATAAACACCAGGTGCCTCCAGTGAGTGGAGAGGAGGCCATGATCAGCTATGAAGCCTACCTGCAGGTGGGGGAGAGGGCTGGGCCCAAGTGCAAGTAAGTAACAGGAAGTAGAGGTTTACTGGCAACAGCACAATTTGCATGAAACCAGACATGCCTGTTTTCTTTAATGGAGCATGTGTGTGTTTCTTTGTGCCAAGGATTCATGCTAGATCAAAGGTTGTATCTGGAAAATCCACCTGTCATTTTGACTTTATATGCACCTGGCAGTAATGGGACTGATGGGATGGGACCTGTATGTTCAGATCTGGCAAAAACACACAACATCTCAATTGAACTGAAAATGTGATCACATACACTACCTGTGGGGGTTGTCAGAGATATATTTGGCCACATAAAAAAACAAGCTACCTAGGCAATCAATGATAATGAAAATTAACTTTTGAACCAGGAAGTGGACACATAATAAGAAGGTGGTTAATATGTCAGTGTGTATCCACTGTCAGCTTTAAAGGGTTTAAATTTATAGGAATTTGTGTTTTCATTGTGGCAGGGGAAAGAGAAATCTGATTCTGATGCATAACAGAGAAAAGTTTCATCTTGAAAAAGGGGGGTGCCAGGGGGAAAACATGTTAATGGCTGAAGTTAACAGGGGAAATGTGATCAGATCAAGGAAACTAACATAATGAAAAGTAACAGCTTTTCCCCTCTTCTCTCCTTTCCTTCAGAAAATTCTTCACAGCCAGAGTGTACGCCAAGCTGCTCCACAACGACCCTTACGGCAGAATCTCCATCATGCAGTTCTTTAACTATGTCATGAGGAAAGGTCTGGATCTTCACTTGGCTTTCTTGTTCTACCTCGTCTCTGCTCACATGTTGAACTATGTGCAAAAATCTACAATGATTATTAAGTATGGAACTGAGCAGGTGGAACAAAAACATCTCCCAGGCCAATCCACCTACCTGGATTTACCTGCACCAGTGAATATTTAGTCACTAACTCATGTCTGTTCTCTCTGTGCTTCTAGTGTGGCTGCATCAGACACGGATAGGTCTGAGTCTGTATGATGTGGCAGGACAGGGCTACCTCAGAGAGTCGGTGCGCACTAACCACAAATTACAGTTTAAGTTTTTACTGCATAAATTCAGTAGCCGCTTGTGGCAGAATCATTGAATTCAGTTGTACTGAAACTTAAACTGCTCGGAAAGGTGACACTCTTCCTTCTCTGTAGGATCTGGAGAACTACATCCTTGAGCTCATCCCCACTCTGCCTCAGCTGGACGGCCTGGAGAAGTCCTTCTACTCTTTCTACGTCTGCACTGCTGTTCGCAAATTCTTTTTCTTCCTCGACCCTCTGCGAACCGGTGAGACTGAACCCCACTGTGAACCTCGACAGTAAAACCTGCAATAATACGTACTGAAGCAAAGTGTCGTCTTGGACTGTCATCACATGTCCATACATCATGTGTAAAGGACATGCAGCAAAAACCAGTGATGTGTTTCATCAGATCAGAAGCTTTAACAATCCCTGTGGGGACTTTGGGTTGTGTAGCATCACACTGTAGGAAAGGGCCAAGAGATACAGAACACTGAGATAACAAGTAATCACAGCAACCACATATTTTAAAATGATTCTGCAAATGAAAGGACATGAGCATCTCAATGTGTGTTCAGAGCGATGCAACAACATTTCCTGTACTGAAGATGTATGTTTGTCTGCTGATTTTTTTTTTTTTTTTTTTTTTTTTTTTTTCAGGGAAGATTAAAATCCAGGATATATTGGCTTGCAGTTTCCTGGACGACTTGTTGGAGGTAGAATGTTTTTTTTATCACTCACATTTTTAATCTTTTTAAGTCCACAGTCACTTTTTTTCACAACCCCTCCTGTGTTCATTCTTTATTTAGTTCATTGGGTGTCAACACCACCAGCGGGTAGCTAAAGGACAAAAAAGGATATGCTGTAATGGGAATAGTCCACCTGAATTATGTTTCGTAGTTGTATTATAAGGATTAATGCAGTTTCGTCTTGTTCTCCTACAAGTGTTTCAGTATTGCATGGGTCATTTATATGGAAGCGATACTCCCAAAACTGTTGCTTCACCCCTCACCCTCTTCTTTCCCCTCTCCCACTGTGCTCCTAGTTGAGAGATGAGGAGTTATCTAAGGAGAGTCAGGAGTCCAACTGGTTCTCTGCCCCCTCGGCTCTTCGGGTCTATGGTGAGAAATCATCTGTGTGTAAATGTTGCGTTTCCAGTCTCAAATCAAATGGTCCCGATATTAAATGATCCTCAGGTGAATGAAAGATGTCAGGGGCCACGCAGTGCAATTCGTTTTCAGCTAAATGGGTCATTGCAAAAGTTCCTACAATGCTTAAGTTCTTTGGTCTCAATACACCAAACCCATTATTGTCTGTGTTAAATAATTTGTACATGATATTTTGTCACTCTTGGCCCAAGAATCAGTTGGATGTTGAATGGAAGTGGCGTGTATCCAAGTATCATGAAATTAAATCTGGAATACACAAATCTTTTGGTGTGTAGCAGTTGCCGTATACATGAACTGATTCTGGATCCATAACAAAAAACGGCTTGTGTGTGTGTTTGTCGGTGATCGCCTCAGTAAAGATCAGAGCCTGCAGCCTGTCTGTCATGTTAACGTCTGGATGTCCTCTCTCTGAAGGCCAGTACCTGAACCTGGATAAGGACCACAACGGCATGTTGAGCAAAGAGGAACTCTCACGCTACGGCACAGCCACTCTCACCTCCGTCTTCCTGGACAGGGTGTTTCAGGAGTACCTCACCTATGATGGAGAAATGGTAAAATCAATAACAGTATCAGCAGCAGTTGTAGTAAACATAAAGATTGGTAACGAATGTTGTTTGTCCTCTCCTTTACTCTGGGTTTTCTTTTAGTTGCTCTCCTCTCTGTTTGTTAATGTTCAGCTCAAAAAACCATATAAAGTTAATCTTCAGCTGCTCATTGAGTGAAGACGGTGTGTCCTCTCTGGGCAGCTGACGCACTCGTTTAATGACACTTTTAAAATGATCAGAATTATAAGGTATTGGTCTGGATCTCTCTTTTCCGTGCTTATGAAGTGATTGTTTTGCAGATGTTTGTGTGCTGGGTCGTAGTTGGATATATACAGTACGTGATTGTGTTTCTGTCTTTCTTTTCCTTCTTCTCAGGACTATAAGACCTATCTAGACTTTGTATTGGCTTTGGAAAACAGGAAGGAGCCAGCAGCGTTACAGTATATCTTTAAACTTCTGGATATGGAGAATCAAGGATACCTCAATGTCTTCTCCCTCAACTACTTCTTCAGGGTATCAGCTGCACACAAACACACTAATGAGTTTATAATCCAGGCATAATTTCAAACAGTCCATCCATCCATCCATCCTTGTTACAAGAAGTACAAGTACACACACACATTCACACTAACTGTGTTTTGTACTTCAGGCCATTCAGGAGCAGATGAAGCTGCACGGTCAGGAGCCTGTCTCCTTCCAGGATGTCAAGGTATATTGTACAGACACAATGTAAATGTTACAACTCGTTTTCAATCTGACGTGTTCCTTGTTGAGGCGAAAGGCTCCACCAAGCTGGACTGTGCATTTACAGTTGAGCCAAACTGAGACATGTTTTGTGGTGAAGAAAAACAAGTGGACATTGTGATCTCTGTCTCTCCTCAGGATGAGATCTTCGACATGGTGAAGCCTAAAGACCCCTACAAAATCACTCTCCAGGATTTGGTAAACAGTTGTCAGGGCGATACCGTCACCAGCATCCTGATCGACCTCAACGGCTTCTGGACCTATGAGAACAGAGAAGTGCTGGTTGCTAATGACAACGACAACAGTAACACGGCTGACCTTGATGACACCTGAGAACGATCATGAGTTTCACAGATTTCATTCCCAACAGTAACAAACATTATGTCCTGTTCAAGTGTCAGCAGGACGTTGAACCTTCACCTGCTGACTCAGGTCCCTCTGGATACGTTGCAATTGAATAACTGAACTGTGGAAAGCCTGGAATGAATGGAGGGAGGGGGTGAAAAGAAATGGATGAGATGGACGGAAGACAGAGAGCGAGGCAGGTTGCTTTGTGTAAATATTGTTCTGTGTTCCCGCAAAGAATGCTAATATACATGTTTGTGTCATTGACCTTTTTAAAATAAATATTTCCTTTTCATTCCTTTTCTGACGACGCCTAAATGTGTCACTTTTCTTTGTATCTGCCTAATGAAAGCACCCTATCATTAACAATGGAGTCAATACAGCGGACTGACTGACAATGTAATGTGAAAGGAGACACTCATGTTGATGAACCAACAGAGAATTATCATTTGATACTGCACTTCTCCTCAGCTCTACAAAGTCTTATAGTGTCTTTCAGCTCATTGTTTTGATTTTCCATCCCGCAACTTGACTCTTTTTGTTCACTCTTACCTCTCAGCTTGTTTTCAGCCGCAGCAGGCAGCAGTATAAACCCACAGTGCACCACCTGTTCAGCACCAAGCAGGAAGACAAGTAGCCAGAGAACATGGTGGAGCATTTAGGGGATAAAGAGCCACGTTTCCCTCAGGAGCCAAGTGACTGAATATTGGATTTAGTGCCAGATATGTAAATAGGCAACTGTTTGCTAACAAGTAATGATATGTCAGTGCTTTGTTTACAGCTTCTTTTTACTTCCTCCAAGTGACTAAAAAAAAAAATCAGTTATTACAGTTATAACTTACAATTTGGTCCTTAGCAAAAAGAAATTTTCCTGGCAGAAGCAGATAACTGTATTTAATGGACTTTTAAACTTTGATTTGTATGGTTGAGTAACACTTATCATATCCTCAAATATGACATTTTATTTTATTTGGATCTCAGTAAGGATTCTGGGTTCCAGTCTGAACATGAATTTTTTGATACTTCAGTTGTAGGTTACACTGCACAATACCAAAAAAAATCATTTCAAAATTATCTTAGTTCATTCTTGACATTGGGATCAATTGATCAATAGATAGATGGATGGATGGATACTTTATTTATCCCCTAGGGGAAATTCATGAGTATGAGTGATAATAATTTAATAATTTAATCTCAAGGTCAATTTACTACCTTTCAAACACATCTCACAGTCTTCATCAGTGAATGGAAGTCATTTATTTTGCATAATTTTACCCCTTTCAAGAGGAGTGTCTCAAAATTAGATTTTCACCATTAGTGTTGGGTAATAACATTTTGATTGTATTCAATAAAAATTAATCTGAGCTGCAGATGTACAGAACATGACCACAGCCTCTCTTGCCTTCAATTTAATTACACATCACACTGTTTTCATGTTGAAGGCGAATAGAAACCATGTTTTGATGCGTCATGTTGAAACAACATGCACGGCTGGGTCTTAAGACTGGGAGATTCAAAGGTTATTTAAAACTGTTAACAAATAAGAAGGAACCAGGAAGAATTTTATTAGATAAGACGGATAGGATTTTAAAACAGTTTTATGATTGTAAAGTATTTTTGTTATTTTAAGAGTAATAAATAAAAGTAGCAAAATCAACATTTTTAATGTTTCAAGGTTTTATTAACACAGAAAATATAAATATGTATTTACAGATTCAATTAGTGTTTAAGAGTTTCAGTTAAAATAATTTTTGCATATGTTGACCCTTTTTATACACATAAAAAGTATGAATAATATCCACTGTTGACTACTGTAATGAAAGACATTTACTCTGCATGGTCAGATATGTTGGTTTTTCAGTTACAGTGAAGCCTTTTTAAAAATCTCTTTTTGAAATGGAAAATTTTGAAAAGAGCAGTGTAAATTTTCTTGGGGGTTGAGGCTACAGTGTGTGTGCGTCTGGTTTACTCCTCACTACACACTGCTGCTCTGCTCTCTAAGGAGATCTAAGGCCTGTCCCCACAACACGCAGCCACATCAGTGGATAAAAATAATTAATAAGAAGCTTCTGACAGCTCAGGCAAGGACACTTAAAGAATAAACTCTCAACACACTTGAAGGTACAATCAGTGTATGGGAGCAACTCTACTTCCAGATCAGCAATAAATTTGAGAACTAGTGGATTTTCTAAGATTTGGACTATATTGATTTTACTACTTGGTCTCCATTAGCTGCACAGCCTGTTTCATTTTTAGCAAAACAATTAGTACTTCATGCAAGTTGTTTTTGTTTTTAAACCGATTCAAGTATCGTCACAGAGACACATTTTACATTGTGACAATAGAGAGTGAAGAAAGCTGCTAGCAAATTCTTTGAGGTTAGTCTTGAAGTCAATTTTAACAACAGACTGTGGCTTCATGCCAAAGCCAACTGACGCACAGTGGCTCCAGTTACTCCAAGACTCAAGATGTTGGAAGATTAGGATCATAGGAGCACTTAATATATATATATATATATATATATATATATAAACATCATACATAGTAAATGACTTCTTGTACTAACCAGCCCTTAGTTTGGCCATGACACAGAGATCCAAAGCAAACAAATCTGCATGTATTGGACCATTCATTCACAGTAAAGGAGTGGAGGTCCAGATATTACATGTGTCCAGTTCAAACAGCAGGGAGGTATTCATGGACTACTTAATAGAGGGCAGAGGTGGAAGGGTTGTGAAATGTATTTGGACAACATGTTGACCTTATAAATGACTGTTTTGATGAAACATTTAATAGACCTCATTTTTTGTCCTAAGTAAAGTCAATGCCACTAATTCCTCTTCATAACTTATTGAACTTATTATTTTCTTGTATTTCCTAATTCCAGACATAACAATAAAGCAACGACAGGCTGAAATGCAGAGTACAATAAGAGTACAGCAGCTCCGGCTACTGATGTCATCACTACCTGGTGATTTGTTCAGCAAGTCAACAACTATCCAGCTCTACTACACTTTACAAATAAATTCCTATGCCACGTCTAGATAAAAAAAACTGAAGTGAGTTGAGCGTTGTCCCATTCTGGTCTATCTTGTTAAATTACATGTCTCAGTCTTGCATACATTTGCACACTGTACATAAATTTACATTCAAAGATAAGGCTAGTGCAGCCACTTCCACAGCCCTTTTAATTTATCCCTGCACTGTGTACTAAGATCTATTTTTATAAAATAACATAGAAAAATAACAATATTATTAATCTATCCAGCTAAGTAAATTAAGGTTTTGCCTGATATAGAAATATGCAAATGTTAGAGGTTTGTCAGTTTTCAGGAGGGAAGAGGGGACGGGACTCTGTTGGTGTCTGAGGCACTGAGAGGAGACTCAGGTTCAAGCTCAAAGCTGATGTTTACAAAAGATGCTCCAGACGCCTCCGGCTGCTCCACAGTAGCAGGATGAGACGCATCCTGCTCGCCTCCCCGCAGCTCTGCAATCCGACGCTCCGCCTCCTCAGACAGACGGCTCTCCTCCTCTTCCTCCTCCTCCTACAGGAAAACAGTGTGTGTAAGTGTTTAATACTTGATATATGAGAGTTAATGTTTGTGTTTTTCCTTTAAGGTGTGACTTTATTCATGTTTAATTATGAGATTGACATATGAGGCTCAAGGTTGTGTGAGTGTGTGTGTGTGTGTGTGTGTGTGTGCGTGCGTGCGTGCGTGCGTGTGTCCCCTACTAAGTTCTTCATACGGTAGTACTCATCGATAGCATACTGGTATTTGGGAGTAGTGATGCCAAAAAGAGAGGCCAGTCTCTCTCCCATGTAGTCACACACTGCAGTAAACACACACATATTCAGTACAGGTAACTTCAAACACTTGAAATACTGTGAAAACTCATGACATTTCAGGATTTCCATGTCTAGTAAAAAAAGAACCGTCAGATCTGATCCTTGCTGGCATGAATGACTGATCTTACAGTAGACTACTTTACCTGAGATGGTGGAGGTGGCCATTCTCCACATGTGGAACCAGAAATATGGACCCCACGTCAGTTTAGCCTAAAATACATATGAAGAGAAACAGGACAATTACACCACACATCTGCTGGTAAAACACAAAAGAACAGGTTAGACATAAAATTACCTCTCAAGCATCAATATAGGACTTAAACATTCAAGTTGGCAGCCTGGCCTTCTTCCCATTGCGCTATACATCCACACTCTTTTGCCTGATGTTACCTGTTTAAAATTTTTATTAAGATTTTTTGAGCATTTAATGTCTTTCATACAACGTTGACTGAAGTGACAGGAAATGAAGGTAGTGAGAGATGAGGACAGACATGCAAGAAAGGTCCCTGAATGCAAAGGAGGGACAGTTTGATTCACAGTCAACCCGTTAAATCTCTAGGCCACCAGGGCACCCTTGGGAAAGATTGTTACCTGGGGCTCAGAAAGTGAGGCTATAGTTCATAACATATATAACTGCAGTGCTTGGTATGACTTTCAGTTCAGTTAACACACTTGCTACTGATATTTCTTTAAGAGGACAGCATTGCCATCTACCACTTTGTATTTCTTGAAAGTATCCTTTGCAGTAGCCAATGTTAGAACTTATTATATCATACTATCCTGGTTAAGGGCCTTATACATAGTCAGTAAAATTTATATATTCAGACTTAAGTTACGAGATTAATGGCTATAGTGGAAATTGATTTTAAAAAGTGATCAGCCATTTATATTTTGAGAAATTGAATAAATATAAGCGATGTCTCCCCACACAGGCCTGAAGAGAGGATTTCTGTCTGGCAAACACCACAGGATTGGCCTGATAACTGAGGCTGTTCAGTGTCTATAAAATCCACATGGTTTCTGTAAAATGACTGTAAAACTTTTTGATCTCAGCCTACCGGATCTACAGGGATGACATCTTTCTTCACGGGATCCTCTTCTTCCTCCTCTTCATCAGTGCTATACTCCTCCATGGTCTCTCCGCTGGCAAAGTAGATGGTCCTTCGGGGAACCTTCACTCTCCCCCGACTCCCCGCAGAGTCTCCCATCTCCACACTCTCAAAGTCTGTCGTCCCTCCTGGACTCTGACAGTCAAAGACAATGCATGTATATCCTCTCATCACCGTGATTATTATAGACTGCTGGGTTTTGAATGATTTGTAAATGCGTGAGTGCCGACAGCAAGGCACAAATATAACCAGTTTGACGTGCCCTCCTTCACTCTGTTGGATGCAATTAACAAATAAAATATAAAATACTTCCTTAAATAAATTATTCAAATACCGTCACGTGTAGCTGTGTTATTCATATCCAAACTGCTAAACATGGAGGTAAGAAAAGTAAATCATCCTAAATTCTTTGACAAAACCCTGTTACCACAGCTAAACACTGGGTCGTTAGTTAGCTTACTTTAGCTAACGTTACTTTGTGTTTGTTGACTGTTAGCTGGGTTATCAGCTGAGGAAGTAATTAGCTATTTTCCAAACAAGTCTTTGTTTTATCATTCACAAACACGAAAAGTGACGAAAGTTGTATCGTACGGACTAACCTTTTCAGTTTCCATAGTTTGTCCCAGGGAAACGTTGACACTAGTTAAATACAACGACAAATCTGCCATCTCTGTCAGTTCCTCCACCTCACCACGACCCGGTTGTCCGTATTCTGTCAGCAACACTTCCTGTCTGATTTCTTCAAAATAAAATAGAGCGGTTTATTTGACAACAGCCAGTACTTAACAATGTTGGATTTGGTGGAAACTCTTCTGTACAATAAAAATTCTCCAGTGTTGGAAAGAGTATTCAGATCCTTACTTAAGTAAAATTAGCAATACCACAATGGAAAAAATATTAAAGTACAAGTAAAAGCCCTGCATTTAAAATTTACTCAAGTAAAATTACAGAAGTACTATCAGATAAATGTACTCTACAAATAAAGGTACTCGTAATACAGAAACAAGGCTCCTGTGAGAGTTATATTATTAGGTATTATATTTGTGGATTTTTAATACTGATGCATTCATGCGTGAGTGCCATTTTACTATTGTAGTCTGGCAAAGCTACTTTTACTACTACTTTGCTACTTGTTGCTATACTGTTAGTAGTAGTAGTTTAATCTATAAGAATGGGACGTCTATCATAAAAACATCACGTTTTCATTGTAAAATCTTAATCTGAAAATTAAGACACATGGAAAAAGATAAACGGAAAAAAAGATAAACTAACAATTGTCATTATTGTCAAAAATATTTAGAATTTAAAAATTATACACAGTGGGGGGAAGAAACACTACTTAAATACTGTACTCAACTACTATTCTAAGGAACATCCTTAAGTATTTTAATTTTATGCTACTTCTACTCCACTACATTATATAAGCACAGTTAGTAGTTACTTTACTCACATTAAGAAGAATATACAATGAGGACACACAAAATACCATGCATTTTTATAAAGTAAATCAAACCAACCAACAGCACATAGAATAGAGTTAGTTCCACCACAAACAACATTTAATACACTTACATGTAAATGCATCATAAAAAATAAATCAAGTACATTTTGCTGATAGTACTTTTGTCCTTTAACTCAAGTAAAATTTTGAATGCAGGGCTTTCACTTGGAGTATTTTTTTACACTGTGGTATTATTACATTTACTTACTAATTTACTTTCTGCCCTCTCTCTCTTTTTTGGGGGGGATTCAGCACTTAACTCAGCCAGTGTAAGGTATCACAACTAACACAAAAAGTTAAACCATGAGTGATGTTATTCAAAGTGAATGTACATTTTTAACCACAGGTAACCAAAGCCTTATTTCGAAAGTACTGGCCGGAAGCTGTATGTTTCCTACACGTTAGCTTCACAGGCAGGAGAGCTTCTCTCCTCTGGTGTTTTGGTCCAGTCGACCCCAAACACGAAAATGACAGCGAGGAAGTCTGGCTCACGACTGGAGACCGAGATAGAGCGGTGCCGTTCAGAATGCCAATGGGACAAGATACCGGAGTTAGTACGACAGCTCTCGGCCAAACTAATATCAAACGGTAAGAAATGTGTGGGTTTCCCTGCTGTCCGTTCATTCAGTCTACAGCAGGGCCTTCTCCCTGCACTGAGTCCTCGGCACTTCCTGACAGCGGCAGCCGATGCTGGGATTTTTCCAACACAGTGCTCTGCTCAGTGCCAGTTAGATAACTAAGGTCAAAAACGTGCCATGTTTTTTTCCACTGCGGATATAACTACTTTCAGCAGTTTGGTGTGTGCACACGGAGGAAATGATTTTAAGATATGAAGAAGTAAAGAAGTCTAACAATTAGTTCCTGTGGTCTGACAGTTTTGTGCCCTGGTTCGTTCAGCTCTTCTCTAGAGGGTTAATGTTGTCTTTGCTTTTGTTGTATGACAAGCTAAATACGTTTTTACTAATTATCGACATACACCAACAAAGACCTTAAAAGTAACATAGCAAAATTATACTCACTGTCCCCACCACCACTCGCTGGATGTTAGCGTATAGTAACACCTCTTGCAGTTGAGATTTTACTTAAGTAAAACAGCCTCTGTTGAAGTTATTAACCCCGAATTGACCAGAAGAGTCCAGTTTTTAATTAAATGCTCCACTCAGCTCTCACTTTTGCCAAAACAACGGAACATCGAAAGTTGACAGATTTCTAAATGATGGTCTCGCATCTCAGCTAGCTTCACTGAGTTCAGCTATGTGGCTAAGGTGCGTGATTGCTACATGCTAGCTGTCAAACTGAATGCTAATGATGCTGAAAGGTGAACTGCACTACTGATGGTACAGTATATCATAATGTAAACATTTGGTAAAGACAGTGCAACATTTTAGTTTACATATTAACAAATATTGCGGTCCCCATACGATGCCCACATTGTAATTTAGAATTAGTTTTGGACGTCGTGTTGCGTTCGTGCTCACAGAGATTTTCTAATATTTTCTCATCACTTTTACATGTAAATATCATTCCTGAGCTAATGATTCTCCAAACTGCCAAATATCATGACCCAGTGAAGTTGGAGACACTGTGCTCTTCTTCTGCAGATGTGTATGTTGCTGCTCTATCCTGCCACCACTGAAAATAGCCTAGAAAGACTGCTCGTAGTGGTTAATGCATTTCACTGCTATAAAGACCTCCATCATGATTAATTTCTGCTGTTAGGTCCCTGGCAAGATAGCAGTGAAATGCATTTATTAATAAATAGCCTCAGGAACCAAACGCGATTTGCTGAGAGATTACTCTAGAAAGTAAAAGCCTAATAATAAGAGCTTTTTTTTTTTTTTTTTTTAAGTGGAAGTTGAACAACAGAAGGCAGGGGGTCAATCAGTGAAAGAGCTCTTTGTCTCGTTTTATATTTGTGGGAGGATGAAGAAAACTTTCAATTCCAGAGGTTTCTAACCTTAACAGTGACTAATTAAAACAACCAACATGACTTTTATCTTAGTGAGAAATGCTTGGACATCTGATTATTGCATAGAATAAATGAAATGTTAACATACACTAACTTGTTATTCCAGTACTCAAAAACATGATTACCTGTTATTTTTGCAATTTTGGAAGATGTGAATATTGCACTAGATTTCAGACTTGTGTAAACTGCTGCCATTGTGGAATGTCGGCCTGATTGTACATTGGTAAATGAGAGCTATAAGCTGTGGTCACTGACTGGGATCAGTTTAAAGTGCTGAGTAACAGGATTAGTGGTCATTTCACCATTTCAACTTCTAAATACACACACTCATACAATTTTGGAGCTTGTTATTGCTGTTCATGATTCTGGCTGGTATGTTTGCAAATACAGTGTAACCCTTAAAGTGCACACATTGGCAATGGATTGGTCTTGCTCCAAAGATTGTATTTACTGCAGGTTAGTGAATTTTAGATTGACCCTAGATTGTCTGTAGATTGACCTTAGAACCTTATACAGTAAACCATAGACTTAGTATTGATTAACCTCAGATTGGTTAATAGATTTTAACTGGCAGATTGATCCTTAACTGACCATATTTTATTGACCTCAAGCCTGTTAAAGTGATGGAGAGATGGGCATGGAGGACCAATAGGTGCTGTGCCATTATTTCTCTTCACAATTATGTTTCCTGGATGTGTATGTGTAGATGACCTTGGGGAGCTGCTGCAGGGAGAATGTAAGCTTCAGACGTACTTGAAGGAGAATCCCATCAAACAGGGAGCTAGTCCCAGGGGCCCACGACCTAAACTGGTGGAGGTCAGGAAACACCTCACTGCTGCTCTGGACAGAGGGAACCTCAAGGTAACTATTGATGGATTGATGATGACAGATGAACATGGATGTATGTGATATGTGCCTGTGAGTTTATGGGCTTTCTTTTTCTTCTTCTTTTTTTTTTTTATACGTTTTTAGATTTTGGCTTAGTTCTTAATTTTTTCCTCTATTTTAATAAAAACACTTCCTGTTCTACAGGCTGACTACCTCCAGGAGACTAGCCTGCTGATGGCTAAACTCTGCTATGTGGAGGGAGAATACAGAGACGCTTTAGGTAATCCACACACTTACCACTAATCAATAGTATATATTTCAGTATCAAATCATGTGATTTATTTATTAATACCTAATTGATGTATCGACAGGTCACTATAACAGGGTGAACCTGGATGACATGCAGCTGGTGGGAGCTCCTGTGTATAGGCTTTCTATGATAGCAGAGGCCTATGCTACTAAAGGTACACACACACACACACACACACACGGATACACACGGCTATATATTTAATGTCCTTTTCTTAACCATACCTCTCTTGCCATTGCTCCTATCGGCCCTTATCTTTGCAGTACCGCTTCTTTCCAGATGGTGGCAGTACAGTGTCACTGCTGACCATCAGTCATGGGATAATATAATATGTAATATATAGTAATATGAATAAATGGACACAGAGACACAACGAGCATGTCTTAATTGTGTACATTCAGTTGACATGTTCCTTTTTATTTTTATTGTCATTTTATTCTTGTCTGTGAAACAGAATACAATTAACTCATGTAACTGTAACCTGTTACTCCTGTTATTCCTGTTTGATCTGTTATAAATGTGTTGAGTATAAAATATTAATTATACTTTGAGTCACAGAGCATATCTGTTTGAAACATCAGCAGGAGAAGATGATGCTAAGTCTTTGACAGACGAAGGGAAGACCAGACACTGATAATCGATTTAAAGCCTCAGACCCAATTTTTCCTTTCATCCTGATCTAGGGATTCACCAATCCACTTTTCTTCATTACAATTTAATTCTGATACGTTAATTTGGATATCTGCTAATACTAATATTAATACTGATACTGATACTGATACTAGAGCTCTTTTTTCAAGATGATGATGGTTATTATCATTATCGTTCATTATCATTGTCGTTGGTAGTGTGTGTAAGGTTAGCCATAAACCAACAATTCTTATTAAAAAACAAAAAAAATACATACAATAAATGCATTAAATATAAATGTATTCCAAAGCAATTTATTTAAACAGTGGCTTTATTTAAACAGTATGCTTCTCATACAAATTACTATGGCAACTCCTTTGATGTATTGAAAAACTTAATCAAGGGCACAGTAATGCATTATCGACTACAAGTAAGTAGATTTCTATACATGAGTTTAAAAGTAATAAGAGTTGTGACTAGTGGGTGTCTTTGTAGAATGGTTTAATTAGCAATTACTTAATTTATTAATTAATTTGAGCTACAGCACTTTGGCTATGGGCTTAAGATTGCATTATTAGATATTTATAATTCATAAAAACATCAGACTATGGAATCTGGATCAATATGTGGATTCAGTGACAGCAGTCTGATATCCAATGAGATCAGTACCCGATACATTGGATCATCCACAACTCCACCCTGATCACTCACATCGTCTCCCCCTCAGGATTGTGTCTAGAGAAGGTCCCAGCTGCCTCACCATCTCTGTCCAATAAGAACACTGGGTCTCCTGCGTCCAATAGGAGCACAACAGACAGAGAGCAGGAAATCATCACCTGCTATGAAAAGTCTGGCGACATCGCTCTTCTCTACCTGCAGGAGGCTGAAAAGGTGTGTGTATGTGTGTGTGTGTTTGAGGGTGTGAAATTGGCATACTTATTTGATAACAGTATTTTCTCTGAGTGTCACACAAGTGCTCACCAAATATCTTGTTAGCGCCTGGACTCCCAAGTGTGATGCTATCAATGTGGGTGTGTGATGAATATTGTACTGACAATGTGCAGTTTGACTAATGCATTACCACCCATGACGGCCAACTGGCAAGCAAATCTCTTCCTCTTTATGTCCAGTGTCTACTGGGACGCATAGACTGAGCTGGCAAGCAACAGTAAACTGCAGTAAAAGGCTGAAGGATACAAATCAAACAGTCCCAATATTGATATTATAGTAAGAAACATGTGAGATGCACTCCATGAACTTGTGGTTGAATTCAAGACAAGGTGTGATAGCGGTGATGTGATGTCAGGTACAATGAAAAAAACTGAATATAAACCTAGTCAAAGTCACTATTTTAAAATATCATACTTGTAAAGAGGTAGTTAAAACAATTTAAAATATGTTAAAGCTAAAGATTATTTTCATTATCAGTTAACCTGCTGATTGTTTATTGGTTGTTTTATTCATCTTTTGGTCTCTAAAATGTCAGGAATGAATAAAATATAACCAAGATAAATGACTAAAGCCCAGGATGAATGTTTTGTCTGACTAAAACTGGGCTCAGACTACAGGGGACAATTCAACCCTGGTTCACCCCTCCTGATAATCAGAGGATCTTGGTCAGTATCAATGTCTGGCCCAGATTATCTGGTAATGTGAGAGGTTCACAGATCTAGTCTTAAAAACCTCCCGACCTGCTTGTAGACTCATCAGGGCCGCCCTGATAATATCAAACATGCTTCGGGATGATTGTGATTATGATTGTGTCAGTCCCAGAGCAGCCGACGGTGTTGCTAAGCAACAGTAAACATTCTAGTGCTTGAGGCTAACGTTAGCGAACATACTATTGTTGACAGATATGAAAACTGTCAGTTAAAATCTCACCTCCCGTTCTCACTGACAACTCAACCATTTTCTCATCCAGAGTCATTCAGCCTTCTGCTTTTGTTTTTTCACACTCCAAAGTTGAACTAATGTTAGAGCAGGTTGTTGCACCACAGTCTCCATTTTGTTTACTTCTGCTTCCCCCTAAGATTATGTGAGATGAGATCACACGAGGTGGTGTGTTTCTCTGATAGCTCCCTGTGGCACGATAATCTTTATAAGATCCAGAAGTGCGCGATTGCACCATTATTTTCAAATCTTTGAGTGTGTGCATGTATGAGATTAGAACAAGAAGAACTAGTGAAAGATATTCAGTTTACAATCAAATAAGACAAAGAAAAGCAGGAAATCCTCACTATTTAGAGGTTGTAGCCAGATAATTTGGGGCATTTTTACTGGGGCTGGGGCTTAAACACTTAATTTAATTTTAGTTTCTCTTGACTCACTCACAATAGACTAGAAGGGCACTAATGGCCAATGTCAAGCATCATACACCAGACTTCAGAAAAAAATTATTCAAATAGGTCATAACACATGAACTGGATCTGCTCCAAAAGTTAGTGGATTCTTCCTTGGCCCATGTCCCATCCCTCCACCAAGTTTGGAGCAAATCGATTCAGTAATTTTTGTGTAATCCTGCTGACACATAAACAGACACAGGTAAAAAACGTAACCTCCTTGGTGGAAGTAATTATTCAACAAATAGTTTTAGCTCAAGTCACTGGCAGCTGTTTATTAAACTTAACAACCAAGCTTTTGCATTGATACTACATTGACATGCAATGACAGATTTGTGACCATTCTACACAATAATATACAAACAATTTGAGTTAAAAATTGTAAAACTCTCCCTATGTTTTTCTTTCTTTATCCCTGTTTGTGTGTTTCTTCAGGCGTTATCTGCAGGGATTCAGAACCGCAGCCCAAAGCCCGGCCCGACGGCTCAGGACCAGGAGCTGGGCTACTTCTTGGAGACAGGCCTGCAGAGAGCCCACGTTATCCACTTCAAGAACGGGTAAGAGAGGGAAACAGGTGGTGGTAGATAGATATAAGAGGCAGGTAATGGAAAGAGAGTTTCCTGTTACTTCAGAACCAAAAAACATTTAAAACTGTGTTTACACTGATATTAAATGTGAACTGTTTTCTTGTTTAGAAAGGGCGTCAGTTGCCCAAACAGAAACCAAGAACAACCTTTTGTGGGCACTTTCCACCCACTTTGCAGTGGTTGTGGTACAAAGCTGCTGACAGGTGGTTAAAGGAGTAAAGTGTGAACACAGTTAAGTAACATAGACAGTGCAGCTGAAGGTAGATCCCACACTGTTGTTGTTTTAATGCTGCAGGACTTTAGCAGCTGATAATGTCTTTGTAGTGGACTGGGCAAAATCTGTTTATTTCCAGTGCTAGCTCCCTGTTTTTGTAATTCTGGTATCAGGTATGAACACTTCCTCATAAAGCAAGGAATGAATTGAAATTTAGAAGAGGAAGAAGAAGAAGATTTAGTTCACTGACATCAACTTACATCATTCTGAGCATAACAACCATTAAAACTCGCTCTCATTTGAAGCTGCCAGCATGTAAAATTGCCCAGTGCAGCATGAAATCTTTACAAAATATAAACTTTAGAGATCAAAGTCCTGAGACGTGTCAATGTTAGTGTAGGGGATGTAGTTTACTTGGCTCGACAACATCTTGACAACAACTTGAGACAGGCCTCTGCTGTGTCATCTTGAAAACTTGCAAAGATGTGATGTAAAGAAACATCTGCTACTGATGCTCTGAAATATTCACCTGCTCACTGACTCACACATAGAAAGCGGACATGGAGTGTGCACACCTGACTTTTTAAAATATCTTGTAATCTCACATGCTACAGATTCTGACAAGTGTTTTTCTTCCTGTTTCCTGTGTATATATTGCCATAGCAACCTTACACACGGTGTAGGCCGCTTTCGGGAAATTCTTCGGGCTGTTGAGACCAGAACTACCCAGAACCTGCGCATGGTGAGGAATGAGTTGGAAGGTTATCGTTTTGTTATGGTTAAAAACGACTGTATTTCCTCAAATGGAGGCCGGGGCTTTTATTTACCTCAACTGCAGAAGGTAACAGGCCTTTATTTGAGGCAGGCCTTCATGTCTAACTCCCTCATTTCGATATGTATAATAGGTCATATTTTGATAAGAAGCGTTGTTTTGATGTAAGTTTAAACAAGGAGGGAATTCTTGTTCCTGTCACACCTTTTTTTTCTAATTTAGTTTATGCACCTTTTTGTACAGATTAAACAAACAAGATATAACATATTTTAGTGAGCATTATAGGGATGGCAGGTGGATTTTGTTACCTTTGGACGGTGCCAGGCTAGCTGTTTTCCCCTGCTTCCAGTCTTTATGCTAAGCTAAGCTAACCACCTCATGGCTTCAGCTTTATATTTATCGTACAGACATGTGAGTGATGTAGACTGTCTCATCTGTCTTTTGGCATTAAAGAAAATGAGCATGTTCTCCAAAATGTGGAATTATTCCTTTAAACATGTTGTTGCTTTCCTGCTAATACCCATCTATTTACATGCTGCTTCAGTGTGTAGACTTTTAATATGTCCAACTTGTACAAAACACTTTCCTCTGACCTCTCTGTTAGAAATCACTAGCAAGTAGACTTAATTTTTAGTACATGGAGACCGAAGACTTACAGTCTGTACTGTGGTAAAGTCACGAATATAACTGTTTCTGAGTATATTAGAAGTAAAGTAAGCTGAAGTTAACAGATTGCTGCTGTGTAGATGCCAAAGTATATTTGCCAAATGTGTGTGTGTGTGTGTGTGTGTGTGTGTGTGTGTGTGTGTGTGTGTGTGTGTGTGTGTGTGTGTGTGTGTGTGTGTGTGTGTAGACCATTGCCAGACAGCTTGCGGAGATCTTGCTCAGAGGAATGTGTGAACAGAGTTACTGGTCTCCTCTGGAAGACCCGCCTACAGTGTCGCCATTGGACGATCCCACGCGGCAAGGACACACTCACAGCAAGAACTACAGCCTAAGCCGACGCCCACGAGTGTACTCAGGGGAGAAGTAAGTGATAATGTGTGTTTGCTGATGCTAAACTTGGAGAATCGAGGAAAATCGCCAACATGGTTCTAAAATTAAATCTGTTGCCAGTGTAATTTTTCACCAGTAGCTCTCTCGATCTTCTCCTTATCACCTTTCTCTCCATTTTCCCCATCTCTCTTGGTGCATGTCTCTCTGTCTCTCAGTCTGTTTTGCCCTCAGGAGAATACAGAAGAAGCTTTACTGCTGCTGCTCATCAGTGAGTCCATGGTGAGGCACAAACACCCAGTGCAACATATTTCATACTCCTCTCTAAAACAGAGGATCCTACACTCGGTTCACACAGTGCTCTTTCAACAACTATAAACTAACATTTGTCTTTGTGTGTGTTTCAGGCTAACCGTGACGCTGTCCTGAGCAGAATCCCTGAACACAATAATGATCGGATCATCAGCCTACAGTCTGCCTCTGTGGTGTACGACCTGCTGACAATAGCTCTGGGCAGGAGGGGGCAGTACGAGATGCTGTCAGAGGTGAGTAATACCTCTGTAGGCTGCACAGTCACAGTCATAGTGATTGTGAAATGTGTTTAAGGCCCTACATACCCCATTGTACACCTATATTTATTCTCCTAAACACATCAGTATCTTATTAAAAATCTAATTGGCTCTGTAGCTGTGTTAAAAAACATGACGACACTTATAGATAACACTGAAATGTGTCCTAATTTCAATGTCTCCAGTGTTTGGAACGAGCCATGAAGTTTGCCTTTGAGGAGTTCCATTTGTGGTACCAGCTCGCCTTGTCACTGATGGCAGCTGGCAAATCAGCTCGTGCTGTTAAGGTCCTTAAGGAGTGTATTCGTCTGAAGCCTGATGATCCCACAATCCCACTGCTGGCTGTCAAACTGTGTATCGGACCCCTGCACTGGGTAAGACATAAATTCAAACACGGTTATTTGATAAAGCATCTTAATTGTTTTTAGAGACTTTTGCGGAGGTTTTCTTAAGCTACCCGTCTGTGTTTACACTAGTGAATGACTCAGTTTTCTCTGTTAATGTTTGTTCTCTAAAATCATCAGATTTTACCACTAAATCTCTTCCCTTTTTTTCCTCCCGTTCTCTTTCATTATATGTCTGTCTGCTCCAACAATCCAGCTGGATGAGGGCGAGTGCTTTGGAAAGATAGTGATTGACATGGGGGAGAAAGCTGCTGAGTTCAGAGCCAAAGGCTACTTGGCCATTGGGCTGGTTTACAGCCTCAAAGCCACCGATGGTAAGTATGGATTTTGCTTGAGTGTATGTGTTATTGTACATCAGTTACTAGAAAGGAATTTGAAAGCATTGAAATGAAAGAATTAAGATTAAAATTTGGGTCAGTTTCATATTTACATAGGAAGTCTGGCTGATCAGCCAACGCACTGTGAATGAGGACAGCAATTCAAATAGAAATAGCATCTGCTTACATAGGACAAAGCAAGTATCCATTTTTTATGTTTATTGCTCAGATGTTACATCATGACCTCAGAGACTCTAGTCCAATGAACGCTGTTGTATCTCTCGAATGACTCTGGAAGGTATTCTTGTATAATGTAACCTGATTCTTTTTCTCTCTTTTCCCTGTCTCTGTGTCTCTTTAGCATCCTTGCGGAGCACACAGGAGGACTACCAGAGGAAAGCTTTGGGAGCCTTCCAGAGGTTGGGACTGAGCCATGTTGCTCTCTGTTTTCTGTTTTACACCCACATTTCCCTCAGAATCATTTTTCAGTCTAACAAAATGAGGACTGGTTTAAAGACTACTGTATTTCATCCTTTATCATTCGACCCTAAATTTGCTTGTCCCCTTGCAATCTGTGCACAAAGTGTATTACTTGGCACGCATTTCTGTCCTTAGACAACCTCCATCCACAAATATGTTTTGAGAGTGATGGTTGTGTCGGAACGAGACTGTAATGCAGACACACTTTTAACATTAACACTGTCTCTATACATGTGGTTATTCCTCCTGGACGCTGTGGTAAAGTCTGCAGCTAATAATGTACATATTCAGTTGTAAATTGTGTCTGTTGATAAAGGTCTCAATGATGCATTATTTGTCAGATTTTTGCAACGCTGCAGTATGTCTTCATGCCTATTCATCTTATTAATATGATATTGCAGTTGTTAATTGTGTGTAAATGTTTAAATATCCCCTGGTTTGATTTTTTTACGTGTTCTATTACTTTATGCTCTTTCCTACCTTTTTACCATTTTGCTGCTGCAGCGACCCAATTTCCCCACAGGGATCTTTAAAGTTTCATCTAATCTTATTTAATTTTTCATTCAGCATGTCTGAGCATAAAACTCTCTCTCTCTCTCTCTCTCTCTCTCTCTCTGCAGAGCTCAGAGTCTGTCTCCTACTGACCACCTAGCAGCTTTCTACTTGGCATTGCAGCTTGCTGTGTCCAGACAGGTAACACAATATAAAGTAATAACAGTATAAAATCACTGAACAAGGAAGCTTTAGAGGTGACTGTCATTAAGAAAAAGTCAGGGAACATGAGGGAATTATAAATTTGTCACTTTACTTTTTTTATCCCAACTGTAAAGCTGTAGTCTGTATATGTGTGTGTGTGTGTGTGTGTGTGTAGATCCCAGAGGCACTAGGCTATGTTCGACAGGCGTTGCAGCTTCAAGGGGATGATGTCCACTCCCTTCATCTGCTGGCCCTGCTACTCTCTGCTCAGAAACACTACCACGACGGCCTCAATATCATAGAGATGGCCCTGTCCGAGTACCCGGAGAACTTCAAGTAAGACTCACACTCTATTACAGCGCTGCCTTTAAAGCACACACTATGTATATTTACTCCTGTTTCTCTAGGATTAACTTCAGGTTGCTGTATGATGAAGTGTGTGTTGTGTCTTGCAGTCTGCTGTATACCAAGGTGAAATTGGAGTCGATGTGTAGAGGACCAGAGGAAGCTCTGCTCACCTGCAAACACATGCTGCAAATCTGGAAGAGCTTTTACAACCTTACCAACCCCAGGTACATACACTCACACACACGCTTTTTTTTTTATCTTTCTAAGTTTCATACTTTCATACTAGTGATTTACTAAATCAAGTTCCACCATTAAAACTTAAGGAATGTTTTAGCAAGTAAAGTCTCTAGTAACTGTTGCTAGGAAACATCCGTACCACTGTCTAATCCAAAGTAGTCTGACTCACCAGATGTAAGCTGCTGGTATAAGCCTGCCATTGGCTGCATTCTCTTCCCTCAATCAGGTAGTCAGGTAGTGTAGTCTGATGGTATTAGCATAATGTTTTGTAGTTTAAGGTATATTGTTTTATTTTTATGAAATGTTGTATTAAATCTTTGCACTAAGTCATTGTAAAACACAAGTGTCAGGGGAGATATCTTGACCATATTTTATAATAAAGCAAGCTAACCGAAGCTTTGTCAGTTAGCTCAGTTAGCTACACGACAGTTAAATCTGGCATTTACTGGGTGTAAATAATTTATAACCACTAATCTCTACGTAAGAACTAGTTTGTATGGTGCAACCAGTTTTTAATTAGTTGAGTGTAAATCCCCACCTAGTAAACAGGTCTGCTGTAATATATAGACTTAGTTTGAACTAAAATGCACCCAGCTCCTGTTTCACCACATTAAAGCTTAAACTCAGAGCATTCTTGCAAACAGTCACTGAGGAAACAAAAGGAGTATAAGAAACTAAATAACTACCAAATAAGTACTAGTTGGTTTTGGAGGCCATGTTTATTAAGCAACTCAGGTGATGCAAGAACACTGGAGCTCAGGTATCTTTTTTGGCTGTGTGTGTGTATCTGTGCTCATGTGTACATAAATGTATGTCTGTGGCAGTGATTCGGGGCGTGGCAGCAGTCTATTGGACAGAGCCATTGCAGACAGACGACAGCTCAACGCCATGACTCTGCCTGACTTCAGTGACCCTGAGACTGGTAGGAACACACACACACACACACACACACACACACACACACCCCCCCCTTAGGGAACCTCGGGATCTCCCCTGTGAAATGAATCCAGTTGTGCTCAGTTTTTCTCAGTAAACAAAGATTCATACATACATGATTCATTTCTCTTATTTGATAGTGGCCATAATATCCTTTTCTAGCCATTGTAGAGGATTATTTAATAACGCGAAGGAAATCAAGAGTGAGATACAGCCTCCTCTTTCTGTTTTTATATTGATCCATTCTAATTCATAGCTACAGATGTCAGAGAAAAATGTCTGTAGAAATTTCTTCCGTCTTCTTTACTCTGATTACTGGCACAGTATTGTTTTGGCAACAATATATTTTTTCTGTTTCTTTTTATTCATCTTCTTGCTGCTTTATCTAGGATGTTATTTTAGGTGTATTGTTTCTGGTTTGTAAACAGTATATGCACATTGAGAACCAGTGACATACTGTACGTTTCTTTCCTTTCTTTATTTCTTGATTAATTTCACTTATTGCTTTTTTTATTCCTTGTTTTAGCCTCACGTTCTTCCTCTTCTCACTCCGGTTCTGAACCTATCTCCCCCATGTCCCCATCCACTATTTCCACCCTCTCATCCCCACTGTCCTCTCCTTCCTCCTCTGTCTTCATCTTCCAGCCCCCTCCTCTCCCACCACCCAGAAACCCCTCCTCCCCCTCTTCTCTCCCTCCTTATACCCCTCCTCTTACTCCTGCACCCACCAAGACCAGGACTCACTCCTTTTGCAGCCACGTCACTCTCCGCCGACTCTCCTCCAGCTGTAATCTGCTTTCACGTCCACCCGCCCTGTAGCATGGTGTGGAGAGTGACCTTAAAAAACACACGAGAGCTTTTGGGAGATTGGTTCATTGGTTAATTTGCACATTTAGTGATGAGTGCATTCCTCATATGTTTTTGCTGTGGTGCTCTGTGCTAATCAGTATGTTGTTTAGTTTGCAAAGTAGAAGAACAGCTGTCCTCTATGGGGTCAAAATTTAGAAACTGAAAAATGAACTCATTATAGCTGATGTATGTTGTTTTATTGTGAAAACTATTTCCATAAGGGGAGATCAAATGGAAGTGAATGACTAAGGTATGACTGAGGTAAACCACTGAGAGTTTTGACGATTAGACTTCATCCATGAAAAGCATCTTCATTAAGCGCAGGACCGTATGAAGGTAGGAGATAGGATAGACACTGGGGGTGTGAAGAAGAGTGGGTGGTTGATGGAAACCTTTGGACAAGTGTTCCTGGACATTATGGAGGTTATGGTGGTGATGTGTATTGTGCAATAGTAGGTCTGAAAGACAGACGGGTAGAAAGATGGTCAGATGTGTTGACGTCGGGATTGTGAATGAACAGATTTGACAGCGTTGGAAAGTAGAAGTGACAGAGACTTAGATCAGAAGTACATATCCAACGTTAACCCACAGAAGAACATGGCAAAAGGGGAAAGAGATCTTCCTTATTGAGGTTTCGCCAAAGCTTCATTACTACACAAAACTAGGAAGTATAATAAGTGGTTTTTCGCAGTGCACTGTAAAGTCGTCCTTTGTCTTTTGTCTGCCACTTTCACTTCCTATTGAAATAGTGAGAGTGGTACCTGGCTGTGCTGCAGTGAGTTACCAAACCATGCCCTCAGTCCCAGAGGTCCTCTGTAAATGAATCAAAGTAAACATTTAACATATCTGGTGGAATATTTGCTGAGTTGCTCTTCAACATATTTGTATTTGGCACTAGACAGTTAGTGTAAAATCCATGGATGTAATCGTGTGTGATTACTACACAAATAGAAATTCAGAACTCATGACTTTGATGCTCAAGTCTGAGCTGTTCGTTTTTTAAAGGATAAGACTGTCGATATTCATTTTGTTATCGTCTCATGAAAAGACCAAAACAAATGTGTTGGGTCGTCTTTCAATATTCTCCATCCTTTCAGCCCTGTCTGTGGCTCTTAGCCCCAAGACCATTAAGACATGAATCTTTAAATATACATAGTTTCATGTTCATGCTTTTTAGTAAGCATAACTCAAACAGGAATACAAAGTTGTATTTGTTGGGAATTTTCTCCAGCTGTGGATTTGGTGCACCACAGCTGAAATAGTTTTTGGACAACAATGGAGCTCTGTGACACATGTTGTCTGTGGACAATAAGAAAAATGAGGAAATACAGAGCAGCATCACCAGACTTATCCCTGAAGTCTGAGTTGAATCGCTTGTTGTAAAACTTGGAACTGAAGTCAGATCAGCGTCCAGGACTCTCTGAGTGCTGCCACTGAAGACTAGGCCAGCACAGATTTTAAATGTCACACTGTTAGCCTTGTATCATATAAATGGATTTTAATTTTCAAGAGTTGCCAGTTCTCGTTTTCTAACTCAAAAGACAACATTTCATCTCATGGTGTTGCCACAGTCTTAGCATGGAGCACCAGCATGACCAATATGTTGGTGATATATTGTTCTTTATTTCATCACTAAACTAGTGACATGACCAATTAGCTGATGGCCCAAAAACTGCATATGCTCCTGTCATGACCAATCACAGAGCCTGTTGTCCTCACTAAGACTGTAGACAAGGTGACTGGTCGTGTAAGCCTCACAAGCATGTCCAACGAGTTAAAGACTAAACTGACTAATCCTGGAGTGTTAGCTGTGCCTCATGGTCACACGTAGCTCTCAGACCTGCTGTAAATCTATGCATGTTTACCTGTGCGTTTACTTTTGCTTTGGGTGTGGATCAGAGTGTAGTTGAGCCTTGATGCGGTTGCTTAGCATTTTTGTGACTCGCCTCACGGCCTCAGGTGAACTCTCTCACTCGACACACACAGGCTCAAACACCACATAGTCACAGTTGATGCGGCAGATGGGGTTTAGAATTCAGTTGTGTTCCTTTCTTTCTTTTGGTATCACAGAAAATCATTTTTCACAGATCACAGCTTTACTGTCTCTTCACATCTATCTGCTGTTTGTCTTTGTTTTTGTTACTATTTTGCATCTTCCTCCTCTCTCTTTGTTTGTGTGAGGATTTCTCATTTCAGCCAACATTAATTTGTCTTGTCCCGGTTCCAACCTTATGTTGTCTCTCTCTTGTTGCCATCTCCTCTGCTAATGGTGTTGGTACTGGAAAATAATAATGGTTATTTAGTTAAATTATTTATCTGCACCAAATCAAACCCTCTTTTTTTTTTCTCCAGGACATGATTTTCCTCTGTTAAATTATTTAAAACTGTCAATATATACCCAGGAATTAATCGATTTACATGACTGAAAATTACAGACAACTGTGTTTTCTGTGAAAATAAGTGATGCCCTGGAGAGCATGTACTAAGGCAAAAAAAAAAAAGTGGAAGCAGCCTGTGAATAATAAAAATCTCCTTGCTCCTCTCTACAATCTTCCTCTGTAGAACCAGCGATCTCTCTCATAATGATTTGGATATTTCTTCTCTCTCTCCTCCTCTCTTCCAATCATTAACAATCGTCTCTGTTTTTTTCCCATTCCTCCGTTTTTTCAAGGCGGCCTTCAGGACGCTAACACTCTTGGTTTTTCCTCCATGTTTTCTGTTTGTAAGTAGCCATCTAACCTCCATCTAAACTTCCTCTCTCCATCCATCCATTGTTCTGTCCATCCTTTCGGTCCCTGGTGACTTGCCATCTTCCTGATGAGGTTCAGATATATGTACGATATCTGTGCGAAAGAAACTTGTACATATATCCTCCGCTTTAACTTGATGTCTTGCAACCATTTTCCAGGGAGTTGTTCAGATTTTTATCATGTCGGTGGTTCAGTGTATTAAAGGAATACAGTGACTTCAGGAGATCTCCCAAAAATAATGTGCATAATCATTCTTTGCAATTTGTCTGATTAAAGCAGCGTGAATGTATTCAGGACGCAACATTGTGTTGTGCTGGAAATCTTTTGGTGTCCTTCAGTGCAGCACATGAATCGGGAGCTGTTTGAGATGTAAAAGGCAGATGAAGATGTGATTTTTCAGTAAAGTGAAAACAAACACTCACAGAGCAACAGCAGAAAGGACGACAAGAAGCAGCTTTTTATCATCTCACACTGGCTCGAGACAGAGGTTACTAATGATGTCAATTGTTTGCAGTGATTCTATCAAAGCTCCATAATAGATTTGGATTGATCTGCAACAAGCTGTCGTGAAAGGTTTATATGAGGAAATAAATGATGAGATAAGGAAGAAATGGTCCAGAGGAAAGATTTATGATGAGACATCCCACTGTTGTATCGTTTGAGGAAGAAAAATGCATATATCGTTTTTATATCTTTATGCATTATTATAATTATCTATTATCAAGATGTAGTGTGTAAGGATGTGCATTACACTGGAAACACAGAGGGGAAATATAACACATAACCAGCTTATGGTGTGATGACCACTTGTATCTTTCCTGTAAGTCAGTGTATTCCTTTATTTCACTGAGCAGCTTTAGTTTATGTGAACTGTGAACGTTTAAGCCACAAACGGCCTCAGGAAGCTTCCTCAGTGAGAGGTTTTGACTATACATTTAAAACATTTTTCTACTGCCTCAAGAGTTTGTCAGCTTTTTTTACTAGCTGATGGATTGACTTAAATATTAGAGGCAGAAAACGGTGCCATTAGGAAAATATACGTTAGCCTTTCTCCAGCTGCTTGACTGAATAATCACTGACTGAAAAGCACTATTTTCTTTCACTGTTAAAGTCATGCACCGTACTGTCTAGATGAAATATCGGCATTACTGAGCATAAGAACATTGTTTATGTACTGTAGGGAAAAAAAACATTTGTTCAAGGCAGATAAATGGAGAGATGGATGAGAAGCATCACATTAGCAGTGAGTTTTCTTCAAGCTTTGGGTAAACTGTCTCACAGTTTCACTTTATTTAGATTTTCGCCAATATGAGTTTATTTAGGGAACAATACATGCCGTCCTGTTTCAATATAATTCCCTAAATGTGCTGTACTAGGCTGGGCTGCTGCATGCTGGCATCTAATACACTGCTTCTTACAGTCTGCTCTTCAAATCAGGACGCTCAACTTTCAATGTGTTTGTTTGTGTGAGATAGAGACATCCTTTTGTCATTTCCCTAAATCCACTTATCAGCAACACACTTGTCCTCTCTTGTTACTCACACACACACACACACACACACACATATATTCTCTTTTTATTCTTATCACACTCATCTTGTACACAAGGGTAGTTTCTCTCCCTTAACACACACACTCACAGTTCGTATCAATGTGAATGGAGAAAAAAGACAAACTATGGGACACCAGAATATGAGAAGGGGACAGGAAATCTTTCTGTTATCAGATTAAAGCTTTTACTCCAGCTGGCTCACTTTTAATTTAGCCCATGCTCCAGGGTATAAAGGCAGATATTTATGTTAACTAATCCCTTTAGGCTGTAATTGATGCAACAGTTCAATAAGCCCAAAACAAAAATGTTGTCTACCACATGTTAGTCATCTTTTTAAGAAATCTGTGGCATCACAACGACAGTATCTACAATACAAGAGAGGAAATCTTATTTTTACAAACAAAGCAAGGTATTTCATCATGTTAAATTTAAACACATTTCTACAAACTGATCAAAATTACCACGGAGAAGATCACAGTGAATTAAATAAACATTGTTGACTCTATATTTGTCAGCAGAACCTTTTTAGAAGCAGGATCAGAATTCAGTTTATTTGTATACAGTTATGTCTGTGAACTTTGCACATGTGGACGTTGCGATCCTTCAGCCTGGATCAACATTTTAGTCACAATGTCAGCATGAAAATATGGAAAAAATTAAATACTTTCAAGATACTCCACCCAAAATCTGCCCAGCACTCAACTCATAAAGGCTTGAAAGGTGCTTCTAAATTGTCCCACCTCTCTCCCGCCCATCTGTCCGATCATACTGGAGAATATGGCCGACCACACTGGCACAAAGAAACATGTCTACGTTTAGGCTAAACAATGACTACTTGGAACATACTTTTGTGCTGTTTATGCCACAGGGGTGGTTCCTATGGATGACGCAGTATTAAGGTATATGTAATATTTGAAGGATATAAATATGTGGCAAACATAATGGAAGTTTACGACCCAGAAATCCTGTTTTGCTTTCACAGCTCTGCAGTGTGCACCTGCAGTCCAGCGCGGACGCCATTTTGCATCCCTGTAATGTGATGTAGAGACAGAATATCACAGACACGTCTTTCAGCTACTAATCAGCAGAGTGATGTGGTGTTTATGCATGGTAGTGCCGATATTAATTCATTTTAACCTGGTTAATCCAGGACCATAACACTGTGTGTTGCAGCGTGTGGAATGGTGTGGACTGGCTTTACTGCAGGAACAGGAAACTGTGTGCCAATGTGGGCCCAGAGTCTTGAGCTTTTTGCTGCAACCAAACGCTCCAGATAAACTCTGTTCCTCTGAGTGATGGAGAGGAGTCGCGATTTCCACAACTTTGCTTCCTGAAGTTGTGGAAATCAGTGAAATCTGCTGTTACGTTTGGTTGACTTCAAACCCTGCATTGTGGCACATGGCTGCCTCACGCTGCTGTAGTAGTAAACCTTTAAGAGGCGACGTGTATGTCGGTTGATAATGGATTCTGTCCCTCCAGGTTCGGTGCACGCCACCTCCATAGCGGCCAGTCGTGTAGAGCAGGCTCTGTCTGAGGTCGCCTCCTCCCTGCAGAGCAGTGCCCCCAAACATGGACCCCTCCACCCCTGGATGACCCTGGCTCAGATATGGCTGCATGCAGGTATGAACACGAACAGTCACAGTACATGTGTGATGGTAAAACAGATACACACACTGGGCTGGTGTTTCTTCTGTATTTTATTTTAGCATCTTTTTAAACAGAGAGAATAAAAACTAGAGGAGATAATGTGTGGTTCCATTCTGATCATAGCCACGTTAAAAAAAACATTGTGAAAACATGTTTTCTACAGTTACCTTAACATGCAGTAGGTGGCTGGGTTAACATGCACTGAAAGAAGAGTTTTAACTTTCCATTGTTAACATTTCTCTACTCCGTTCACTTTTTCTTTTATTCAATTTTTCATTAAACAAACACACAAAACATAATATTGTACAACATAACGTAATGTTATAGGACTGGTCTATAAATAAGAGAAGAAAAAAGCGCACAGAACTTACATAATAAGAGAAACAATCTAATGAGGTTGAATGATGAATTGTTATGTACCCAGATCTGATTCGTATCATGTCCCCAAATCAGGAGTTTGTCCACAGTTGTTTTTCATAAGTCCAAAATATATTTAAATTCTTAGAGATTCCAACGTTTCTTCCATTTCTGCAGAAAAAGATCAGTTCTTCCATCGATGTAATGTACTATTTTTTTCCACAGTCACAACCTCAGAGATCAGAGATTTCCACATGGAGATGGGGGGGGGGGTTCGTCCCCAACCCACTTCACCGTGATGGCATTCCTTGCTAGCATTAAGACAGCTTGAGCAACTTCCTGATTTTGTTTAAATTCGCTTCACTTTTATCTGACCAAGGCGGTTGTGATAAGGTTATGTAACCAAGTAAAACGCACCTGCTACATCCTGAAGACTCATGTCTGAACCTGGGAATGCCTTTGAGCATGTCTCTGGTTATGTGTGAAGACAAATCAGTCATCACAGACGTAAAGTTAGTGATATTTGAGCATTAGCTTGCAGGATTGTATTTAACAGCAGTTTAACTGGAATCACACCAGATAAAATGTCCCTTGAAGTTGACTGGAGCCCGGAGTCTCATTTGCAGAGACACAAACGTAAGCAGAGTATACATAAACAGATGCTGGCAGCACACACACACACACACACACACACACACACACACACACACACACACACACACACACACACACACGCGAGTGTGTGTGCGCGTGTGTATCTCTCCAGGCTTCGCTTCCTGTCTGAGGTGGTCACTTCCAGCCTGGCGACACAGCTAATATAATCATCCAATCGCAGCACAGACGGGCAGACAGTTCAAACTCATTTCCTCTGTCTGCCTCATTCTCTGTTTGTATCATTCTATCTTCATCACAGCAATACTCTCAATTCATTAGATGACCCTGATACTGAAAATGTTTTTCTCATTGGTGCTATTTGAGGTTGAAAAATGGAGCTGTGCTTTCTCACTGCTCTGCCCCTTATTTTCTGCTTCTTCCTTTTGCAATTTTAAATATGTTCACCATTAATCGTTTTCCTTTTCCTCCGTTTGTGGCTCTTAAACCGTTTTACTTCCACTCAAGGGCTGCATATGTCTAGACTACTACTAAATTTTTAACTGTGCTACTGCAGTTCAGTTTGAGAGGTTTAAATGTTACTTGTGTTGGGGCAACATGTCATGACACATCAGTATTTATGGGATGTGCAGGCTTAGTTTTATGCGACAGAGGCTGCCAGTCTCACAGTAATTATATCAAGCTAACTGTCAATTTGATAAAGATGGCGATGTTGGGAAACCACTGCAAGATGCACCTTGTGATAAAACAAAAGGAAACTTGCTGCACTGGTTTAGTTTCATCTCCCTTCCTGTTTGTTCCTCTGATAGCTGAAGTGTACATCAGCATGTCAAAACCTGCAGAGGCCTCGGCCTGCACACAGGAAGCTGCCAACCTCTTCCCCACCTCCCATAACGTGCTGTACATGAGGGGGCAGATAGCAGAGCTGAGGGGCAACATAGACGAGGCCAAACGCTGGTATGAAGAGGCTCTGTCCATCAACCCGACACACGTCAAGACCATGCAGAGACTGGTAATGCACCAAACACACACACACACACACACACACACACACACACACACACACACACACACACACACACACACACACACACACACACACACACACTCTGACGCTGATGTTCTCCTTCTGCTCTGTCCTTGTGTTTGGTCTCTTGAGAGCATAACAAATCTTGTCCTATCTCCCGCTGTGTCTGCACAGCCTGAGGGTTTGTGTGGTTTATGTAATTAGCCAGAGTCTTCTGGGCCAGCCCTGCTCTGAAGAGAGGGAACACTGTCTCCCTCCTTTGTTCTCTCTCAGCTCACCTGGACTTTTTATTCATGATATATATCAGGTTATTCTAATCTTTCAAGGTTTGTATACTGTATACTGTCTGTATACATCCACTGTATTACCACCATTGTGCAGTGTATATTCAGCTATAGGTCCATCTTTAGTCTGTATTTTCTTGTATGATGCTATTATAATGAATACTTTTCTTTTAGTTATTGTACAGAATTTAATTGCATTGTTCTTCATTTACCTACCTCATTGTTTTTATGATTCACGTGAAGTGGCTGATGCAACACTGCAACCACATCATGGGGTCATCCCAGCAAGTTAGCATATAGAAGTAGAATACAAAACGCCCAGGCTGCATCAGGGCTGAATTACTCCACTATCCCTGAATTGGATGAATTATTATTTTTGTCATGCATACAGCTAATAGCTGCATGCTGCTTACAAGGTGTCACAGGTTCATATGAGCCTGAGAGGAGGCAGATTAGCCTCTTAATGTTCTTCCTCCCATTCTTCATCTTTCCTTTTCCCTCTTTTTTTATTCCTTGTCTTTGTGTGTCCACCTCTCACAGGGTCTGATCCTCCACCAGCTGCAGCGCTACAGTCTGTCCGAAAAAGTCCTGAGGGATGCTGTGCAGGTCAACAGGTAGGTGTGTGTGTGTGTGTGTGTGTGTGTGTGTGTGTGTGTGTGTGTGTGTGTGTGTGTGTGTGTGTGTGCGTCTGTCATAGGCTACCTTTGTGGATAATTGGGGACAGCTTGTCCAATTGGGGTCAAAAGCCGTGTCCCCAATTTGAAAAAAGCTAATTTTTGGGTCAGTGGTTGAGGTTAGGGTTAGAGTAAGTCTCCAGGAAATTAATGTAAGTCTATGTAATCTCCCCAAATGTGACAAAGCAAACATGTGTATGTGTGTGTGCCAGTGTAATGTACCTGATTGTTCTATTTTAGAGCGATAACTACATATACTTTTCCTTTTCTTTTCCTCTCTTATTCTTTCCTCTTCTTCACCTTTCCTCTCTTTTTTCCCCTTTTCCCACTTCTCTTTTCTCCCATTTCCTCCCCTCTTGATCCATCTCTCCTCTTTCCATCTCCTCTTCTCTCCTTTTCTCTCTCCACATCTCCTCTCATTGATTTCTTCTTTTCTCTCCTCATCTCCCTCTTCCTCTCCTCCTCTCCTCTCCTCTCCTGTCTTCTCTCCTCTCCTCAGTACGGCTCATGATGTGTGGAACAGTCTGGGTGAGGTGTTGCAGGCTCAGGGAAACGCTGCAGCTGCCACTGAGTGTTTCCTCACCGCCTTGGAGCTGGAGGCCAGCAGCCCCATTCTGCCCTTCACCATCATACCCAGAGCACTATGAAACACACACACACACACACACACACACACACACACACACAGAGTTATAGCCTCACTACTGTAGCACAGTGGCACAAATGATGGACCTGCAAGCTGCACTCACTCCATACACACAGCATGCCTGCATGTGACTTGCACACACCTGCACAAGGTTTTACTGCCATACTCTCAGATACACACACACACACACACACACACACACACACACACACACACACTCTATAGAAATGCAAATAGTACATATAAACATCCATACATGCTTCCCCCCTGCCCACCCACCCTTCCCACAATGCCTTGCTGTGGCTGTGACCCTTGACCATGGGTGTGTGTGAGCGCATAAGTCTGTGTGCTGACACACTGCTTGTTTATGTCGATCTGCACTTTTTGTGTGCCTGTTTGTGTCTGTGCATGTACACCCACGTCTGTGTATGTGTGCCAACATGATGCCTGTGCATATTTGTGTCTGGTTGTATGTGATTTGTAGTATGCTGTGTGTGTTTGTTGTTTTGTCCTGTTCAAAGATGTAAATAAGATTTAATTTGAGTCATTACTCCAGCATCGCTAGCATTCAGAAGCCTAAGAGTTTACATTTTGTTTACATGTACCAAAACACATACACACACACACACACACACACACACAGTTTAATTTTCTTTTCACACACTGAGGGTAAATCTAGCATATTGTACAAAAACGGATTATGGGCAAGTAAACAGTTTTAGTAATGTTTCCTTTTTAAGCCAAATATTACTGATAATCTCATTCACTCAAACACAAACACACACACACGTATGTTCACTTGTTGCTGTTCATATAGAGAGAACAGTTTCTCTATGGCTGGCTCAGGACAGCCTGATCTTTGAGAATCAACTAGAGCGTAGGCAGACATGATCAACAGATCACTGAAGAATCAATCAATCAATCAGTAAAGTCTAAATGCCAAAACACAGGCTGCATTTACACACGCAAGAGATCCGATTTTAGCAGCAAATGTTCAGTGGCTGTCTTTTTATGGAGTTTTGAATTGAAGCACATGTAATCTCATGTGTGCAGCCTTTATATGTTGGTGTAACCAGACTTTCATGACATTCTATGATTTTACAGATTTTCCTAGTATGTACAGTATCATTCAATTTCCCCATGGGAATCATTGAAATTAAGGGAATAGACATACACTTTTTTTGCATACTTGCTGAGAGTTGAGAGATGAGAAGATCAATTTCGTACTGTACAATGAATATGAAACTAGAGCTAGCAGCAGTTAGCTTAGCTTAGCATAAAGACTGGAAACAGGGGGAATTCACCTACCAGCATCTCTGCAGCCCACTAACTGACTCGTTACATCTTGTTTAATCTGTACAGAAATTTAAAAACAACAACATTCAGACTGTGGGACTGTGTTGCATGTCATGCCCCCCCCTCTCACCATTTGTCCTGTTTGTATCTCTTCACTGTATTATGAAGGAAAAAAAATGCTAATTATTGAACTTTAGAGATGCTGGTAGGTCAATTTTTTTATCTTCATGCCAAGTCAGCTAATGAAAGCTAAGCTAAACTCAGCTGCTAGTGTTAGCGTCACATTTAGTCTACAGACATGAGAGTGGTCTCGGTCTTCTAACTCAGCAAGTGGGCAAATAAATCTCTTTCTCAAAATGTCTTAACTATTGCTGTAAAATAAAAAGCCATTTCCATAGTAATAAATGTTCTTTTTTTAATGCTTGTGATCAGTTTTGAAAAGACTGACTTGTTAGCATGAGCAGCTGCACAACAGTGAAACACCACCTACAGAATCTCTCAACAGAAACTTGATAATGTTCTAGATAATCAGTAAAGTTTCATACAAACTGGAGCTCCTGTGTAACATTTCTATTTTAACAATTTGTAATTATGAATGGGAGAAATCTATTACACAGACTAAATCAGATTTTCTGTTGTGTGTAAATGCAACCACAGTGATTGTGTTGTCTTTGTGCCCTGTCACAGTCATGTTAAATAAAACCAGATGAATATAGTTTTGTTTTTTTCATTTGATTTTTTGATTATATTTACAAAGAGTTATTGTTGTATATTTGATTGTTCCAAGTGTAATATTATTGCTATTATTTTAGAAAGTAAATTATAATTCTATTTTCTGGAGAGTGATGTTACTGAGACGCTGTCAGAGGCGTGAGAGGATGAACTGACTCAGTTTGTTGATATGAGCTCTGTCAGTGAGTTCTTTGTACTGTAAATGAATGACTGAAATTAGGATGGTAATAATGACTAAGATAATAAAAGTGGTTAAATACAACTGTGGTTACTTGTATTATTTTATTATTTGACGTGCTGAATAATTAAATCCTAATTGTGTGTGTGTGTGTGTGTGTGTGTGTGTGTGTGTGTGTGGTATTCCCTCTGGCTGTGACCTCGGGGCCAGCAGTATGTGTTACTTTCTCAGGTGTATATCTGTCAGAGGATAGGTGTGTGCTCCTTTGTGTGTCTTTTATCAGAGGATTACAGCGCTGACAGGCTTCGTTCTGGAGTGTCAGGAAACCACAGCTGAGTCGCATACACACACACACACAAACGCACCACCACCACTGAGGTCCCTGCTGGACTCTCAGGTATCACAGTATAACCGTTTGTTCATGAGGTCATTTGTGCTGTGCCTCTTTTCACTTGGTGTAATCCTAAAGATGTTTTAATGTAATCTGGAAATGTGCTTTTACATTCAGAAAATAAAAATAACAGCACTTTCATATAAAAGAAATGCCAGTAAGAATTCATTTGGTGATGTGGAGGTAAGAATAGGCTAAATTCAGTTTTCAAGTGAGTGTTTATGAGATGTCTAGATTACATATAGGTGTTGTTTTAACAGTATTTACATTGGCATCTGTTACTTTTGAAATATATTCATTTAATAAACCTGATTCAGGGTCAGAGTTATTAAGTCAGATGACTCTACCTACAAAGATGCTTAATCAACTTCTACTTTTGAACAACATTTTGCCCCCTGATTGATTTAGTGAGGTAATGTTCAATGTCAGCCATGATGTATCCAAGGCTTGACTGAACTTATGATCAGATCAATGATGTTCCTCAGTGTAAGAACTACTCTGTTGTGTGAGTAGTGCTGAAAAGACAGACTTTCTTCTCTCAGAAAGGCACTTTTTTACTCTGAAAAGTCCCATCTTACAGCAATGTTTAAGATTAGTGATCACATGATTAATCATGCATGAAAAGAGGCCCTACATAGGCTCATACATAAAAAAAAAATCCTTACATGTTGTCAGTGATGTTAAAAGCTTATATGAATTTAATTTCAAGGCTAATTTTAAATATGTTAACCCCTTGCAAATTATACATGAACTACATATGTATAACTATATAAACTGACATAAAATGAAGTGGCTGAAGACAGGAAGTAAATTCTGCTGCTGGTACATCATGAGGAGACTTTTAACCCTTAAAAGTTGTTAAAACCATTGACTTACTTGTGTGGGCTTTAGACTAATTTATAAGACTAATTTAGTTTGGAACTGTCAAGTATTGAAGAAGCTTTTGGAAGGATCAGCTTTTGTAATTTCCAGAGTTTGTCATGGCTTGTTCCTTAAATGAGAAAATGGTTTAGTTTCGACTTCAACTTATTATTTTTTTTTATTTCTAAAAATCCCAAATAATATCCAAAAATGTAACTGGAAAAATATATTCACAGCTGAAGCAAAATTCTTGTCTTTAAACCCACACAGACATAAACTCCACACAGCAAAGTTAAGGCGAACACTTGAGCCACTTATTCCTCTGACTCAATGTACACCCGGTTCCTTGGCCCAAGTCCGGCCCACATACAGCATGACTGCCAGGAACATTTTCTGTGTGCGCCAGAATTGGTCCAGATGTGGAAGCAGTAGATGGCTGTCTTTCTTTATGTGGGCCGGACTTGGGCCGAGGAAACAGGTGTGTACTGAGCCTGAGGAAACACAATATGTGGCTCCGGTATTCGCCAGAATAATTTTGCCACATGTGGCTTTAAAGCCTTTCTGAAAAAGTTATTTATGGAGCCTATTGGCCTTTGTGTGTTGCTGCTGTCATGGTACTTCACAAATCACAGCATAAGATTTTTTCACCTAGGATGAGCATGTCCTGGTCCTGCTTGTTGGTCAAATACAGTATGTTCTTTCTTCTTCACACATGGCTCTGGTGCACTGTCGTTTTCTTCATCTCTATTTCCCATGGTGCCCATTCAAAATGTGCCTGTCAATGGTTTAGTTCAGTAACTGTGGGACCCACACAAATCCTGAGAGCAGGATCTTAACTTGTAATGGAGTCTCTTCTATTGTGACATTGATGATTTTAAGACTTTTTCCAGAAATTATTTTAGTTTAAACTTTTTATGGGCATACATACACAAATCCTTAAACCTATACATCATCATAAGAAAAGCTTGAGCAGTGTTCATAGAGCTTGTTGAACTAAACCTACCCCACATCAAAATTTAGAGGGTGCTGGCCTGAAGCCTTATTTCTCCTTTATTCTGGAAATATGTCATGACTAGAACATTAAGCTTTTCTATTGTAAAGATGACTGATTACTTATAACTGGGACTGCAAGTGTATGTTGCTTACTTTGATTGTTTTTTTGTTTTTTTTACATTTCCATTCACTGCAATGACTGGAAAATTTAACATCTGTCTGATGAAGTTTTGTGAATGAATGGATATACAGTTTTGGAAAGGAGACAAAGAGAGAAGACATTTTTTAAAATGACTTAATGTACTGAATATCTGTCCAATGTACTGATATGTACAACCTTCACCCTCACACACACAAACTTGCTCCCCACACCATCCTTCAGGTGAAAAACTGAAATATTTATGTGGGTGAACGCTGAAGCCAGGAGTAAGAGATTGTGTGTCTGCATGTCTGGCTGTGTATCAGTGTGTGTTTGTGTGACAATATACGTAGCATGCGCAATTGTGGGCATCACAGGATACACTAAATGTGTGTGAGATGAATTTGAGGTGAACGTGAGAAAGAGAGAATCTTCTGGACTGGAAATCCCATTAACATTGGAGTGTCAGCTCACTAATGGCAAGCAGAGAGCAGTAAGATATATTAATACACTTCAGACAGACTTTACGTAAGTCCAGCTACTATGTGTGTGTGTGTGTGTGTGTGTGTGTGTGTGTGTGTGTGTACATGGATAAATCTAACACCTCCTACACTTCTCCATCCCTGTCTTTCCTCTCTCTTCCTCAGTCTTCCCCTTTTTTACCTGTGTGCTGCAATCACAATCAGTAAATCTTATATATTATTTTAAGTACAAATATAAAGTTATACTGCTTATTGACGTAGTTGAGCCTTTAGTGTGTTTGTTAAAACTCCAACTTTCAATGGCTTCAGCTGTTGAAAAAGCCAGAGTATCAGCTTTTGAATCAGAGGACAGAGGGAGGTGTTGTAGGAGGAGAGATTTTTTATGGGTTTTAAGATGCACTGTAAAATCTGTTCTCGTTCTCTTTTCATCCCTCGCTCTCCTCCTCTCCCTCAAGTCCCAGGTTTCTATTATTGTCTTTCAACCTCTTCATCTCTTCCCCCACTTGTCTCCTCTCTCTCTCCTCTCCTCAAACTCCCACGGTTTTCTGCTCCCTCTTTCACTTCCACCCATCCCATGCCTTGGCTCTGTTGCCTAGCAACACCTCCTCATCTGCAGACAGACGTTCTCAATGATCTGGAGAAGTCCTACTGACACCCCTCCACACACACACACACACACACTTATTGTGCCCTTACATTAGTGAGAACATTAATGTCTATAATCCAGTGTTTAGGACGCTGACCTGACTTGTGAACATACACCTTTGAAATAAACAACTTTTACTTGTTGCTCTGCTGGAAGCTCTTTTTTGTTAATAGCTGTATCAACAAGGGAAAAATAATTAGGGTAACCATGGTGACATGTTTGAATAGATGGAGAGGATTTGTTCAGCAATACTTTATTCCTGACCCTTAACTCAATTTCCCATCCTTCACTTGATGTCCCTCACTGTTCAGTCACTTAGTTGCTATGCAAATTATTGAAACTGTCTGATCCTCTGATCACTGCTCATCCAGGAGATCTAGGAATGTAGGAGCTGATCAATTCCCCTCCCAATTCCCCGTTTTTGAGTGGGCTTCAGTGCCTGTGCTTATACTTTCCTCTCAATAAGACATAGCAAATAAAAAGCACAGATGAATCATTTCAATCATATCAAGCACTAATTCCTCCACAGAATCAGCTTTTACTGAAAGAATCTCATTTTTATGAAATAAACACCTAACAGACACAAAGACCCGAGACAACATTTTAGTTCATGGTATTTTATTGGAAAAACAAAATGTAAAGACTAGCATGTACAACTTGGAATGCAGATCAACTGAACTGAACAGTTGGACTGGGCCGGGCCTTGCCGCACCCACACACACACACACTTACACACGCAAACTCACACACAAACACAAGATAGAAATGCCGCAAAGCACCGACCCTGCCCCCCACTAAACTGAAATTAACCCCCTCATAGACTGACACGCATGCAGTGTTTGAGGCAATATACTGTACCTGAGCAAGTTTCAGCAAGGAACACTCACAGATTTTAGTTCACTACCAACTTCATTTTCATTATTTGTAAAAATCCACTTCAGCAAAAACTGATACTCATGATATTGTAATTGCCCCAAAAATTGCTCGTGTATCATCAATTTTAAAGCCCACCCAACCCCTCCAAAAGTCTACGACACACCCACTACCCAAGGGGCTCAAATCTATGCCCCACCCAGGCTTCACCCTCAAAAAAGGTAAACACACAAAGGATAAAGCGAGTATCCTGACATGCCAGAAACACAGATCCTAAAATGAGTTCTTATTTATTCCATTTTAATATTTTTCTTAAAAATATCTCTGTCATCACTGACTCAGGTAAGTAAACTGCAAAGGTTCCGCTGGTTCACTCACTCCCATTCATCTGTCATCTAATCCCTCCCTCTTCCTCCTCTCAGTGGGTCCCAGGCCAACCTGGGGCCCAACAACAGCCTTCTGACATTGGGCTCTCAACAGTAACCCTTCTAAAGCTGCATGCATGAAGAACAGAAAAAAAAAAGAAAAGAAAACAGGAAGTTATAGAAGAAAGGCGATTGGCCAGCCCAAATAATTATCATGACATCAGGCAGATGGAACCAGAAAGCAGAAGAGCAGTGGCCAAATCAGCTGGCTGCAGAGAGGCTGCTTGGCTAACGAGTTGAGATCTGATTGGGCAGCTCAGTGCTGGGGGGCGGGGAATACAAGCCAGTACATGCAGTTTCATTTAGGTTTTTTCTTTTTGTCTTTTACCTTTTTTGAGCTTGTTTATATGGACAGATTTTCAGTTTTCCAACATTCAGTTTAAGTTGTCTATACAGAACAGTATGAATAAATGTAGATTTTTGCAGTAAGAGGTAAGTGAAACATTTGACTGATTCTTTGTCCTTAATGGGAGCCGAGTTCATTTGGCGGTCATCATCTGAACAAATTCTGTGGGAGAAAAAAACAAAACAAAGACCCATCAGGAACAGTGTTTAACATGTGTAACACAATTAAAAACTGGTAAGACTAAAATAAACAAACACACCCCCTGCTTTTGTCTATCATCAGTGTTTGTCATCTATCATCATTTACCATACACAGGAATTAATCATAATAATAGGAATTAATGATACTAATGGTGGAGCACAGGACATGTGTGTGGATTGCTATGTGTTCCTTTATGCAAAAAAACTATTTGTGTGTTCAACATTGATCTCCTGTACCTTCATAGTTGACCTGTCCGTCACCATCAATGTCGGCTTCTCTGATCATCTCATCTACTTCCTCATCTGTCAGCTTCTCTCCCAGGTTGGTCATCACATGACGCAGTTCTGCTGCACTAATGTAACCGTTGCCATCCTGAACAAGAGAAAGACAAGTGGTCAGTTAAACACACATATAAGCATTACAGTCAGTCACACAAATTCTAAAACAGTCGGCCATGTATCTAAAGATCTGGCAAGTTCAGATTAGGGAGTTTTATTCAATGGTGCTAAACTGCCAATAAGAAAACCACAGTGTAATTAAGAAACAATTATTTTATCCATTCACCTTCATAAAATGAACAAAATGCAGACACACCCAGGCCTACCTTATCAAAGACTCTGAATGCCTCCCTGATCTCCTCCTCACTGTCAGTGTCCTTCATTTTCCTTGCCATCATTGTAAGAAACTCAGGGAAGTCAATGGTCCCGTTACCTAGGAGAGAGAAGGACAGATAGGCAAGTTACACATAAAACTGATTGACTGTTGATATACCAAGTGAAGTTTAACAAATAAATCCTTCCCCATGTCAAAGGGGAACTAGCATACCATCTGCATCCACCTCATTAATCATGTCCTGGAGTTCAGCCTCAGTTGGGTTTTGACCCAGTGACCTCATGACAGTGCCCAGTTCCTTAGTGGTGATGGTGCCATCGCCATCCTTATCAAAAAGGGAGAAGGCCTCCTTGAACTCTGGAAAGTTAAAAAAAAAAAAAAAAAATACAGTGGGTGTAAAAATATTAACCAGAGCATGCATGTAAGAAAATCTGTGTTTAATGTTCAAGTTTGTAAAATTGTATTTTGTATTGCCAGCTTACCTGCAATTTGCTCCTCTGTAAGTTGGTCAGCCTAAAAAAACAAAACACAAAGACGATTCCGTTAAAACAAGCAGTTGTCAGGTGTAATGAGCATCTAAACCAAGAAGCACTTGAGATGAGATCCTGGTATGATGTACATTTTGAGCTAAACACACAATGAATGTTCATTTTTTAAACTTTGGGGCTCAAAGCAACACAATTACCACTATGAACCACAAACCATTCCAAAAACACCAACAGTAGAAGTCGTTTTTCGCCATGTTCATGCCATACATGAACACCAATATACCACCAAGTGATAATAAAAGGTTTAGTTAGCCCATTCATTCTTTGTGTAAATCTGTGTACAACCTTTATGTCATCAAAGTGGATATCTGTGAGGTCTGCTACAAGCTTCACTGCTTTTGGTTCTGCTTTTTTTGCATCTCTGCATCCACCTCCTCTTCCTCCTCCATCCAACCTTAACCCACTTCCTCCTCTGCGCTGCTTCAGATCTACAGCTCTTCCTCCTGCAGCTCCCTTAGTAACTCCTGTTTTAGTGGTAAGGCCATCCAGCGCCCCTCGCACCATCACCAAGCCTTCAGCAAGGCACTCGGCCCGCTTGCTGTTCTGGATGCCCTGTTTTTTAACCTCGGCTAGCTCGGCCTTGGCTCTCTGCAGGCAGTTCCTCAGGTCCTGCATCTCTCGGACTAGGCTGTCCATGCGGCTGGATGATGTGTCCATCAGCATCTGTAGAAAGGCTCTGTAGTTCCTCTCCTGCTGCTGGATGAGCTCCTTGTAATAGTGTTGTTGTTCATCCAAGAGGTCATAGATGGTGGACAGGCTCACCAGCTCATCCTCTGCTGGGTACAGAGCCACTTTCTTAGGCAGCATGATGAGGGAAGGATGGTAAGAAAGGTAGGAATGATGTCTTAGCATGGGAGGATTAATTGGATGAAAAAAGTGATGGCCAGACATCTATCAGTTGGTGTTGATTGGTAAAACAGATTGAAGGTGACACAGATCAACAACCGTAGATTTTTCCATCTCTCTGAATGGTTACATTACTGTATGGATGAGGAAAAAACTTCATTTGAGTAAACAGGTCCTGGACAGGTAGATAGTTGGACGAACACTTGAATGGTGATCAGATGACTGGATAATTGCAGGACTTTTCTTTCATTCCTTCCACAGTGATGAATGGCTGGATAGATGACAGACGTTTTCACAATCCTTCTGGTGTGGCAAAGGTGAGCAGATCCGCACTAACCTAGCGACGTCTCACTCTTCAGTGTAGCTGGATGACGAGCTGATGGAATAGTGCTTCTGTTGATGTTCGCCTGGTTACAAATCCATCCATCTGTCTATCTCCCAATAAATCTGTCTGCGTACCTGTCCATCTTTCTTTCTGTCCTTGTGTCTTGCAGCACTGTGAGTGTACTTGGCCAGACGCTGCCCTTCTCTGGCTCCATCTGACTCCAGCTGGGTGAAACTCTGGAGAACACCACTCCCTGTTCCTCCATGTCAGAGTTTGTGTGTGTGTGTGTGTGTGTGTGTGCCTAGCTGTGACAGTCAGAGGTTTAGCTGTCTGTCCATCCCTCCAACAGATGTAGAGGAAGATGGATGCACTGATGAAGTGTCCACCTCCTGCAGAAGTGCAACAAATGACAACTGCCTTCAACAGATTGACAGAGAAAGAACGTGTGTGTGTGCGTGTGGCCAGGAGGCCAGGCCAGAGGAGGTCATCCAAATCTGTCAGGAAAATTGATTTGAGGTGTGTGAGAGTAACAGTGTCCAAACCGGGGGGAGGTCACAGGGGTTTTGTGTGTGTCTATATGCATGTGTTAATCTGTGGCCTGTCATCTCACTGCTAAAGTTGCAGCTCCTAGGGAGGATCAGTTGGCTGGACATCTGACCTCCTAGATGGCATCACTGGTCATCTCTTTGGCAGGGCCCCTATCGACACAGTTACAACAGTTTCTGCGAGCGGCTATTTTTCCCCAGGATTTTGAAATAAAATATTTCAACTACAAGGTATTAGCATTATCAAGCAATAATTATAATGAATCTTTCAGAATTTGGCTAATGATAATGATAGTGATAATGATGTGTTTATATGTGCTCTAAGGATGGTTAACAAGCTGCTAACCCTCTAATATGCAGGCCAAATTCCTCTCAAGGCACTGCAATGCCTGGCAATACAGACCACATACCTGCTGCAAGTGTTGCATGTAAGCCCTGTGATTTATCTTAACAGCAACCATGGACAGTATTAAGGAATTTAAGGGGAAAATGGAACTCAAGTTTTATTAAAATTTACCTATTCCAACACTTCCACTAAATAAATGAAGATTAATCACTGATTAAATTAAATGGTCTTTTTTTTTTTTTTTTTAAATAAATTTTTTTTTAAATAACTCTTTAGAAATTACTATTTGAAAAAATGGGTGGTAATGCAGAGCTATTTGCAGATGTGTGAAAAATGTATGCATGTCCATTGAGTTCACACTGTGATCAAAGCTGACTGTGAGCATACAACAATGCCCATTTTGTCTCCCGTATATTGTCACTTCAAGAAGGCTGATGATAAACACATCTGATTCACACTCCAACAGCAGTAAGCTGACTCACATGACAAGTCGTTCTGCTTTAAACAAATCCCACAAATGTAAAGGAACTGTGAGAACTGCAAAAGTGATGCAACAGACTTCTTGGTACTTCCTGTATCATACTTTGCCAACCCTGTCGCTATAGCAAACACAAAACAACCATGTACCTAGGGTAACTAATCCAAGAAGTAGTTGCAGAAATTAAAACTACAGAAACCTACAAATGGCTCAGTTTTTTCAGCTAATATAGCTGACTTTATCTGAGGTAACCCAAAATTATAATCTACAATAAATCTTTGCAAAGTAATGCCTGTCATGTTACAAATACTTACATAAGAAAATTAAAATTGGATTTGCACACTACTGAGACCAACAACCATAAAACTCAGTCATTTCAGTCCACTGGTTTTTGACCCAAGCCTTCAGGAAACAGGGACCTGCTGGCTTTTAGATTATAACACATTACTGCATGTAGTGAACAGCTGGGACAGTGTTGTGTGGCACTCCAGGCCACAGAAAATATCAACTATAAACGTGAATGAAAATAACATGTTGCTGCCTGATTTGTTAAAAAAAAAAAAAAAGGTATTTGCATAGCTGATTAAGTTTACTGAAGCAGAGGGCTATGTCTGCATGATAAGTGAGCGAGGAGTCTATGATATGTTCAGCGGATCGCATCTGTCAAACAAGGTTTGTGTTCATTTAAAACTTAGATGTAGCCTGAAGAAAAGGTCCACTATACCATATAATCACATTTTTACACATGACAAATCACTGCAAGTATGTAAATGTATGCAACTGCCTTCACAAAGTCTAAACTACAGATCATAACCGGAGTATGATGATACCATGACTATTCCAGGGACAATATAAGAAGCGGACATTGTGCATTTATAGACAAACAAACCAGATTTCACATTTTTGCAGACAGTTCTCCACCCGTAATGGTAGGAAAACACCTGCTGTATAACTGTTTGAGGTTGTAGGAATAAAACACAATTGTCTTCTTGCTTGCAATGTTCAGATGTTCTTCAGTTATTCATCAATCAGTACTCAGTAAATATGACCTGAAACAAGTGAACTGTCATCTGCATGTTCAAATATCAGGTTTAACAGTATCTAACATATATCTCTACATTCCGTGTGACCACATACAGGTGTTACACCATATACTGTGACCTAATTGAAACCGTCAGTGGTAACACTGCAGTTTTCACAGTGATTATATATTACACGTCTTTGATAGCTTGTATAGATAATTATGAAGCTATGAAAAAATGTCGCCCTACATAAATACTATCAAATGGAGGACATTATTTTATAACGGTGTAACTAGTGTACATCTGCATGTTCCCCACAACACCTCACCCATCTTTTCATGTCTGGACGTCTAATGTGAATCACTCTGGTCACAAATTTCGGTGTAACACCAGCTTCAAAAATTCGGTGTTAAAATTCAACACTGACAACTGGGCTTTCAGCGTTATTCCAGAAACCGACTAACATACTCACTGGCTACAGTACTCTTGAAGAAGAAATGTATAGCTGGCTGATATTACACACGTCAGATACCGGAAAATCACTATTTGGAGGAGTAACATTAGCTGTGATGCTAACACTAGGAACCAACCGAAGCGCCATAACTACTTTCAATATGTGGACACCTGCAACAAGCAGTACAAGAAAGGCCAAAATCAACTTCCGTTATAATTTCAGCAACTGTAACGTGATTAGCTTTCGCTCGCAGCAATGAGCCGCTAGGTCTTGCCGCCAGTGTTAACAGCTAGTTACCTAGCTAACTGAAAGGTGCAAACGAGTCCATTCCACTCGCGCTCTCTGCAATGAAGGCTTCAGTTTATTAAACAAAACGACTATCCGAGAGAGACTTAAGAACCATTGCCTAGCATTCAGTCAACTCCACACAATGTCAAGTCGCACATATCACAAACTAAGGTTGATTCAATACTCACCATGTCTGTTAGAGTTAGAAACGTCGGTCTGCTATCGCTACAGGAGAGAGGAAATGGACGGTTGCCACTGAACAAGGCTGGCTGGAGGCGGGCAGGCAAGACGAAGCACCGCTGCAAGTCTCAGTGTATTCCTCCGCACAGTGGAGAAATTTGCTCAGTCAGTGAGGCGTCCTTGCGCTTTCTTCGTCCTCATACACGTGCATACGCGAATGCACACCCATGAACATGTTTTACACAGGGAAGTTACTTTGAACTTAGGTTTTCTAAGTTAAAAAGGTAGTCACTATTTAGATAGAGAGGCAAAGTACAGGTATAATTCATTGTTTTGATGTAAAAGGGTTGACATGCTGCAATACATCCTCTGTTTTAGTGCTCATACAGTCCTGCATGGATGACGAATTTTTGAGGCCATCCCGGAAGTTGGCTTCACCCTGGTTCCCTCGGCCAAAAGCCAACGGGATTTTTACATTGGTTTTTGGATTTGAGCCGAAAATACAAAGTCAGGCCTGTATTTTATGTCGTAGAATAAAACTTTACAATGTCTTGAGTTTATGTTAACTATAGACCTTATTTAAGACAATAACAAAAACCCATTCAAAAAACCCATAGACTTGGGGCAAGGGAACAGGGAGTGCTGAACTGTTAACCTATTCCATATTTTAGGACTAATTTTTGCAGCACTCTTATTAAGATGAGAGTGACAACAATACATAGTCTGTGTTCGTTTGTGATTTAATTAGATACATTTTTATTAGGAATTTGCCCAAAAATAAGTGCGCATGAAACAAGATTTTTATATGAAGTCCTGCTACAGGACATGTCCAAAAAATAACTAATACTGCAGGATCTGCCTGAGTTGATATTGTACTTCAATGTTGCACATTCCCCAACAAATTTGCATGCATGCATTAAACCTGAGGCCCAAGGGCAGTTGCCCACTATGCCCTATTGGTAATCCAGCCTTGATGTTGTGTAATCAGAGTCCTAGAAAAGTCATCTGGTGTGTAACATCAGTATCACCAAATAAAATGAAATGAAGCCTACCTCTCTGTGATTAGACATACCCAGCAATAAGTCTGAACTACCGTCAACTAAATGAAACTGTGGGCTAAATTTAGGATCTGTTTAAAATCACTAATCAAAATAACCCTGCTAATTATTATTGCTTTAAATTTAGGAAATAATAATGCTTATCTAGCTTTAAATGAGGGACAAAGAAAGATGAAACCATAGTGGAGAAACTTAAACCTCCACTCCACTGATGTTATGTTACTTTTAAATTCAATTTCACACATTGGAACTTCATGCATCAGTCAAGCAGTTGGTCTGTTAGGCTGCAAACCCATATGGCCTATGCAGGTACTACAGCAGGACATTTTCACATGGCAGTAGTGCCAGTGTCACTACAAGCCTGTTAATATTGGAGACTAGCTAAAAGAGTCCATTTTGTGGTGAACTATCAATCAATAAGTCCATCAAACAGCAGAATAAGGTAAATTTTCCCTGCATTCTCCCTAACTAAAACAGAAAGATAGGATGTGTTTTTGCTGTGTCAGAATCCACACAAATACATGTTATTTCACACCATTACGTTATATTTTATTGATGAAATTAATACATTTCTATGGTTATATTCTAGGACAGTCAAAATAGTATCATATGATCATGTGTATCTATGTCCCAGAGCCGGAAACCACAGACAGATAAAAAATTTTATTGAGTTATTAGTCAGATTTTTGTGTTTGGGAGACTTTCTCATAAATATTGATTGAAGTGTCTTGAATAACATATAGCATATGATTTCCTATGGACACTGAGTGCTGTTGCTTGTCAAACAGGCTCTAATATCTGTCTACTCTAAGACTCTTATTGTATTATCTTCTGTGTGGCCACATGTCCCATCCACTGGCACCAATCATAAAGTCTGCTGATGTCTCTTGGCCAATTGGCTGCCATTACATCTTGCATCAAAATCATATTCAGACAGTGTTTGTGTAATCTGAACCTGTTTAACTGCAACAGGCATCTAATATTACCTGTATGCAGTGACATAATATAGGCCTAAAATTGAATATGACAGCAGTATCATTTATACAAATACAACTACAAATTAATTGTATTTCAAAAACATTATCATTTTGTCTCTAGCCATACGATTCAACACTGTGATAGGCTATACACTGTATGTGTCATAAATACAGCCAAGTGAAATGTAGTGGAGGATGAACATCTTTGTGGAAAAAGACATTCATAACTTTTATTAAAATCTAGTTACATAAGTTATTGTTAAAATGTCGACAAAAGTGATTTTGAAGGGGTTACCGGGCACAGAACGCACAACTTTGTGGCAGAGCAACACTGAGAGTGGCGGACTATTTTGTGTTACACGGAGTTTTATGCAAGCGGAAGGATACGTTCTAAACATTGCGTCTGACGGCACTGTTGCGGGTTTGTTTTTGAGAGGCGGATTCTGATTGGTCAGAGCAGACCCGCAATATTCTGCACACTGTACAGAGGCCGCCGATTGGTCAGGGCGGATCTGCAATGCGTCAAACCACAGCGCGGCAACGGCGGCAGGAGGGAGCGACTCACCGATGTCACTTGCTCAGGACCCAATGAAGTGCAGTATGTGGTATGAAGTTGTCCGATGATGGTGCTCTCAAGAAAAGCTATAAACTGGTGTAACGCAAGCCAAGCGAGCAGCCCCTCCCGACCGGTACACTTCGAACGGGCACTAGTCAGTAGAACAAGCCTTTCAATCTGCAGCCATTCAAAACCATAAAAACAGTAGAAACTTGTAAAGCCTTCAATATTTTCCTTCAATATCTTTGTTTTGCTTTATGGTAACCCTATGTATATAGTTTGGTTTTGTCCTTTTGAAATACTTTAATTTTTTATTTTTGTTTCATCATCCTTCTTTATATGTTGCATTTATTCCCTTTTATTGTACTTATGTTCTTTGTATCTACATTTTCACTATAATCGTATTCCTGAAGTTTTTCATTTTCAATGTTTAATTGTTTTAAATAGATGAAATTGATAATGTTTTAAATGATAAAGCATTTTGAAAAAAAGATCTGCAGCCAATCTAAGACAATATACAATTAATAAACAAGACAATACAATTGTAATTACTTTGGTCATGGTTCGTGGTTATACATGATTTCTCAGTAATGAAGCAACCTCAAAAAAATTACTAACTATAAAGTCAACCTAAATTAAATAATATCTCATTTTTTAAACAATGTGCTTGTGGTATTGACTTAAATAAAATGTGCAGGTTCCTTCTTGAGAGTCAGATGTTTGTAGAGATGTCATTTGCACTCCATCTTTAATCAGTGGTCTGCATGTTAGAATGATTTTCTGCAGTCTGAGGCCCCAAGAGGAAGGAATGGAGTGGAAAACAAAGGGTGTTAATCCCAGGAAAGTCATGGGAACTCACATGGAATCAAAGCTGATTTCAAAGTCAAAAATAATTCTTTAACATGAATCAAAAAAGTTTTCTGACTGGAGTGGCTTTAGCATTTTTTAAAGGTCAGAGCAGAGGCCATTTACAAGTGACTTAGTTAAGTCTTTAATCAGTCATGTCACTGGGAGAAAACTATTCCCTGAAATGACACTTGTTGATGTTCTGACTGATGAGCACTCAGTATTTATTGCTACATTGTTACAGGAGTACTCAGTAGCTTACTCATGGGTTGGACCACACCCATCTTCAAACTCTTCATTTTGATCTCAACATGTGCACATAAATGTTTATGGAAATGTGACAGTGGGGTAAAACTAGGAAATAGGGCACCACTGTTCTTGCACATAAGAGCTTATGCCTAAAATATCAACATATGATTTAGGAAAATAATTGTGCATCACCACAAAGTATGTGACTTCATCTTGCCTTATACTCTGCATAGACACACACGCATATATATATACACAGGTCCCTGAATACAGTGTGTCAATGTGATCCTTAAGTTGCACTTGAGAGTGAATTATGAAATATTGAATCTTTTGAGTACCACCTGCCATTAGAAGCAGTGTCAAACATATTGAACTGTGTGTGTGTGTACGTGTGCGTGTGTCTGTGTGTTTAAACAGGCTCATCCTACACCCTCAAAGGCTTTGCAGCCTATGGAGCCCAGCTGCTTCAGGGTTTTCTTTAGCTGCAAGAAAAAAAGAAAGTGAATCTGATAATAATATTGAGTTCAGCTCTGTGAGGGTGATGAGGTTTGGGGTGAAATAAGTTAAACACAATTTTAACAATGATTTTATCACAGTGCCAGACAGGAGACAATTACAGCTGCATCCTGTGACATTTTGCACACAACCCTTTTACACCGGTCAAAACACCAGCTAACACTCGCTAACATCTCACTTTTGTCTGCATCGGTAAAGGGTACAATCAGCATTCACTCCCAGGTCAAGTGACTCTGCAGTAGTGATGGGTATATTTATTGGCTCCAGCTCCGATCAGCAGTGATGTAAACACAACACCTGCGTAGGGGGTTAGGGAGCTGTACCTCACAGGGCGTCTCCTCTGCTCCAGCTCTCAGGTGCTGCCATGGCTCAGAACAGTCAGGGCCTTGTCTCACCTAATCCCACTGAAACCATTTTCTGTTGCTACTGCCATGCCTGTCCCATTCCCTTCTCCTGCCTAACTGCCAGTCCTAAGTAGTTATGTAAATTCTTGTTACAAGTAACTACAACGAGGAATATGATTTTGTCAGGACAGTTTCTTCATCATTTCCCAAAGTAACGTTTCTCCCAATAACACATCTGAACATGCAACAGGGGAATGTGTCACAGTTGTTATGTCAGAGTCCCCGACAGACTTAACAGACATAAAAAGATGCACTCATACAGAAGCGGAGACAATGAACAACATGAAGTTACTGCCCTAACTAAACCTTTGTGCCCACAGCACAAACTGCTGAATCACCAGTGGCACACTGTCAGGATTGTGAGAGCATTTAATTTCTTCACCTAAATAGGATGTTTTGATCAACGATTCGATGGTGACCCAGCTCTTCTTCTAAAATCCCGAGCTCTGGGAAATTAGCGAGATTAGAAGAGTCATTTCTGGAGCCTCACACAAAGACAAAGATAGATCAGACAGAAAGAGCCGGGCATGGTTCAGAAACTCTGCCACAATAAGACTATAAGAAATTTACGCCATCTTATTGAACCAAATGGATTACACCACAGGTGGTGATTAAAATAAAACCTAATCAGTGGATTGATTCAATCATGCCCCATGTATAGTAAAGGATAATACAATTGCTGAAAATGTATTCCTCATTAAATGGACTCATTACACTAACACTATTTCAACCTACATTACAACTTCTGTTTAACCTGCTGGTACATTATCATAGCAATTATAACCAGATTGATATTATTTAGATTGTAGGAGAAATCAATATCAGAAAATATCGAAAGGAATCGACCTCCATTCCCTCACATTTATGAAAGCTCAGTAAAGTAGAATTTTAAGTCCTTTAAGTTGTGAATTTAATGCCAAAGCTGTTCTGTTCTATTTGCCCATATCCCATACAGAGGGAGAACATTTTATAGCCCCCAAAATCATATAAGAATATAGAGCTACTGATGTATACAGTTTGTTCTGTGATGAGAGTAATAGGATATATAAAGAAGGCAAGTGAAAATTTCCAGGTAATTCACAGGTGTGTTTTCAGATCAGGCCCGAGCCAAAGAGGGAGTGTATGGATAGAAATCTAGAAACCCCGGCTATACAGGCCAAACAACTGAGGTAGAATTACCCATGTTTAAAAAGTAATTCTTCAAAAGAACGGGATTAAAAAACATACTTCAACTCTGACAGATTTTAGTGGAAAAATTACAATTTTATAAACACTGCAAGTTCATTTTCTACTCAGCATGTCTGGGTAAAATTATCTCTCACCTATATGCATGACTACACATCTTTTCACCTCATCTTCATCAACGCCAGGAGATGATCGTCACTCTGTGGTTTTTCTGGTCTTTTTTTATGCTTCTCATTTATCTTTGTATTATTTACAGTTTTTTTTTAATCAGAATGAGAATATTGAGAATGTTGAGCTCTTTTCAATCACATAATAGAAACATGTCACAAAGTTTTATAATAAATTCAAGTATTTGCTGTAAGCTTATAGTCATAAACAAATTTACAGCACACACAACAATCAAATGAGAATCATATTTATTGACAATGTCAGGTACTAAAACACAGTTCTATTTGCTGTTAAAATAAATCATTTTTAGATATTATGTACAAACGATGGCTCTTTGTGCATCTTTAGGTAAGATTACTGCAACTTCACTGTTCAATACAGCAACTGTGTGTGTGTGTGTGTGTGTTCAGTCTTCCAGTAGTATATCCAGCTCTTCTAGAGGCAGTCTGAGACGGAGTTCTTTCTCTGTCATCAGATCTACAAACTCCTGCAGATGCTCAGGGAACAGCTGGACTGCATCCATGTACAAACCCTGACCACACACGTGCCATACACACACAAACAAAGAGAAAGAGAGAGATAATTCATTTTGTATACATACAGTTTAAAAATTAAGTAGACAGAGGTTAGAAACTGGTGACTCACCTTCACCCAGGGAATATTCTGTAAAGCCTTGTAGAAGATCCCTGTGGCTTTATCCACCTTCCCTTCTGACACCTACAAATACACACACATTACATACACACAGCACAGGCATAAGCCTTTACTGATGGTCAATATTTGTGCATCCAAATGTGCAAATTACACAAAGTAAGTCTGTATACGCTGGCCTTACTGTGTGTGTTAGTTCTCACACTTCTACCTCCAAGTCAATATTTGGAAAATGAGACAAAAACATATGTAGCACTCTGAGGTGAGAGATTAAAAAGCTAAATGACACACAGAACAAAATGGGATCTTAAAGGAACAGCAGGTGTTTTGTTTCCTTTGAAAATATTCTAAATAAATACATTAATATTAATAATTTCTTTTGTTTTATTTAGGAGGATAACTGACAGAGTGATCAGGCCTCGGCTCATTTTTGACTGGTATCAATATAAATAAGTTGAAGTCAGTGGAGCGTCCTCACAAGAACAGTCAACATGCGTAAGTGTTTGTGTGTGCTGTTTGCCATCTCACCAGGAAGTGCATGTACATCCTCCAAAGTAAAGGACAACGAGCACCCTTCTCTGTTGCTATGGCGCTTTCAAACAGTCCACGGATACGGTTGCTGAGGCCATTCTCTGGTAGGATGGGCAAGGCAGCGTCATGGGAACAAGACCTAGAGAGACAATTTTTTTTTTTTAATTGATGCAAATGGGTTTTATAATCAGTAATATGTCATGTTAATTTTGAGAGAGAATATTTGTCAAAGTTTTCTTGGATTATCACACACAAAAAGAAAGAAGAGATAAAACTATGATTATAGCATCTTGATTGCATTTCTTTTAACGCTGGTACAGTGTTTATTCTCGTGTAACATGAGAGCAGGAAAACACTACCCACAACTACCCATCATCCTTTCTCTTCTTACCTCTGAGCAGCGTCCACCAGCTGCTTCCTTTGTTGTTCAGCAACAATGGCAAAGAGGCGTGGCACCATACTGCTGTTGTCCCTGGTTACAGAGTGAAAAAAACGACGCGCCCGGCCAGCACTATGGTAACGGTTCTCCACCTGAAAACAGATCGCATGAGGGTCATGGTGTCCAAATAAACAAGTTCAGATTCTATAGAGAATAAGCTGAAAGAGCTGAAAGCACGGCTAGAGAAGGAGCACATTCTGAATGACTGAGTGGTTTGATGATTAAAATAAATGTATTTAGTTTTGGCATCTTGTGAGCAGACCACAGCTTACCTGTACATATATGCTCCAGAGAGGGGCGCTGCTGGGCCAGGTTGAAAGAGCAGAGGTCAACATTTGTCTCAGTGTGGCCAGTGGAAACACACTGATACTGTTGTGGTACCTCAGCAGGGCTGCCTGCTGCACTGCTAATATCTGACACTCAGAGGCCAGTTTACTGACATAGAGCCTGCTGGTTTGGCTGCAATCAGCTGCAGAGTTTTTAGCCTCAGTGCTCACAAGGTTAGCTTCCTCATTACTGTTGAATTGCTTGTCAAGTGTTAGTGTGCGATGCAGCTCCTCCATCTTTTCTCTGGCCTGGCTGTAGACGGCGTTGGTTGCTTGGACTCCCACTGTGAGGTACTGGAACAGAGCGTAGCAGCCCACCAGACCACTCAGCCTCAGTTTCTCACCCAGTAAGTCTTCTTGACCTAGTGGTGGAGGAATGAGATTAGAAATTAATCAAATCAATAACTGATTATGTGGGTCCTACATTTAAAGGGGGAGGACTTTTGAGACGTTTGTTTCTTAAATTTGCAGTATCTTAATGATGCCTTGTGTTTTTCCATCCATCTGATCCAGTGGTATGCAATGTAAAAGAGGCCAATCAGTTAGACAATTCTTTTTCTAATTTTCTATTCAAATAATTCTACCAATATTGTATCATTTGAGTCTAAATGACTTATCGTTGAAGGATAATACAAGTGTTGCTCCATGACCACTTACAAATAAAGTATAGGACACATTACTACTGACCATTTTCTACAGTCTGTTATAGTTGACAAAAAATAAAGGCAACTAAATACTGTACCACATGTTATGGTTAACATGGCCTACAGAGTTGATTGGAAAACATTGGTTGCATGGGAGGAGCTAAATAAGTATGGATTTCAAACAGTGGCAGGGTAGGTTTGAAAAAACACCGAATTACAGGATTTGTTGTAAATGGGCTAAAACATGCAAAGCGGCTCTACTGAACAGAAACACAGACACAGAAACACAGATGTTGTTGAGAACATGAACCTTTTCTGTTGGTCTGAGGGTTGCTGAGGACTTGGTCCAGTGCTGACAAGCTGGCTGTCAGAGCCTGTTCATAAGACCTCCTGGCCTTCAGGATAGATACTGGAGAGAGGGCCTGGGATGATGAGGAAGAGGATGAGGAGGTTCCTTCTGCTAGCCTGGTTAGCACCAACACAGCTGGGGACGCAGTTACATCAGTAAGTCCCCCTCCTCGCACGGCAGCTCCGTCCTCCACCTCTAGCTGGGACCACAGCTGGCACAGCTCACAGAGGGTGGGGCTACTCAACCCCTTGGTTCCCCCTATCGCTGCGGCTGTGGAGAAGACTTTGCGAGCTTCGTCAAGGTTGCCCAGCATCCACTCCAGGTGGGCGTACTCCCGCCACAGCACCAATGAGGAGCGGTTGTCGGGTTCTTTGAGCAGTCGCTTGGCAACCCGCTTGCTGCTCTTGCCTTGAGAACGGAGGCGCTTTTTGTTGCCGCTGCGCAGGCAGTGCAAGACCTGACACATACATAAATACAAATACAAATAAGTAAATTAATGTCAATGTCAGACACTTTTCTGACCTCAAAACAAGTTGACCTGAATTCTTTTCTTCAAGTTTGATTATAAGTTAGAATCAGATTCTCACCTTGAGTTTCTCGTACTGCATCCAGCTGAGCGACAGAACGGCTCGGTGGAGGGGAGGAAGGACAGGTTGGACCATATTGAACACATTGGTAACAAACCTCTCACCCTGCTTTCCAAGCCCCACCCATTTCCTGGTTCCCTGAAGAGTGGTCATGTGACCTACAGAGTTAACCCCGCGGTCAGGTAGATCGTGGGAGTTCAGAGGACACTGGAGCTCATTACCTAGGATGTGACATGGAACCAAATTGATCACTGCCTTCATCTCAATAATATGCTTCTAACTATTTAAAAAGAACAAACAGTTAGTTTGTATTACTCTTTCTGAGTGTGTTTTTACCCTGAGTGAGCAAAGACAGGTTCTCCAGCAGCAGGCTAGGCTGACAGGGGGCAGGAGAGAGCACAGAGTCCACAGGCAGCCCCAGGAATGACAAGAAATGGAGAAGAAGACAGAGCTGGAGCTCTGGTGAGGACAGACAAATCAGGGATGGACCGATGTCATCAAACAACACCTAGAATTGGAGAGAGAGAGAAAGAGAGCAGAAGAGAGGTGGTCTGTCTATCTAGCAACTTCAATTTAACACACAGTAAAGCCAATTCCAAAACTCCACCCATTCCTGTCTGTCTTTCCGTCCAGCAGCATGTACCTGTCTGTCTGGGTCCTCACAGTCCTCTTCTGATTGGCCCTTAGCTTTGTCAGGTCTCCAGGGCAACCAGTGAGCTGCTTCACGCAATGCCTCCACATCCAGCCACACTGTTCCTCGGGGCTGGCTCCGATCCTTCACCTCCTCCTCATCCTCTTCCTCCTCCTCTTCGTCATCTGTGGACACACACACACACAGACACAGACACAGACACACAGACAAAACATGACACTCAGTTTCAAACCTTATTATTATGCAGTAATGCAGGACCCCTGTGTGTGTGTGTGTGTGTGTGTGTTTTACCTGCACTGGGCTGTAGCCATCCCCCACGTTCTTGTTGGAGCATCCAGGCTTTCCAGCCTCTGGCCCCCAACTCCCCAACCCTCGCTTCCCCACTGTCCCAGAACGGCTCAAAGAACTCAACCTGTGCACGCACACGCACACGCACACGCACACGCACACACACACACACACACACACACACACATGCAAAGACATAGGTAAATGTCTTTTTGTATTTCTACTGTGCCTATAAAAAGTATTTACTCTTTATTTGGAATTTGTTGATACTGATTGAGAGAAATAAGACAAATCCAAGCCACACACATTTCTACCAACTGCTCTACATAAAATAATCCTCACAAGAATGCAAAGCAAAGGAAAATCTTACAAAATGAGGACACTTTGGTGGTTCTCACTTCATTAAAGGGAGAGTTCGTTTTTTTTTTTAGATGAGAATATCTCTCATATCTGTCTGTTTAAAGTTTGCTGCAAACAAACACACAAACAAACCTGCTGCTTGGTGGACAGTTCTCGTACACTGTCAGGTTTGTAGAAAGTAAAGTCGATCATGGCCTGAAACAGAGAAACCGCCTTCTCTGAGTGACCCGACTGACGCAGGAAATGACACTGTTGGGTGAAGATATCTGGACAGAAAGATACAAACAGGCAAAACGACAGTGACATTTTAACAACATTAAATAAGCATTGAGCATACAAAGAAAATGTTTAGTTTTCTCCTCAAACAAATGAGAATATGATGTATCAAAAGTTCAAATGTCCAGTGTGTACGTGTGTATATGAGGGCGGAGGTTTTTCTTGCTATGGCAGAAGGACATGATGAAACTGGGCCGACTGGTAAACTCTACTCAGGGAGACTCAGTGTGGAACTGTTATTCACTAATCAGTCCTCAGTGGAAAAGTAAAGGCTGAACAAAATCTCTGTTACCCAACATATCCTCCTCAGTCCCTGGCAGGGCTGGATGAGAGACCATGCTGCCGTCCCCCACAGAGCTCAGTGTGCTTAGACACTTCCCGTAGGCAGAGTTGACCTTTGACACAGTGAAGTTGCTGAAGTAGCTCTGGGTGAAGAGCAGATACTCTCTCCATAGGGGGGCACTGTTTGGGTGGAGAAACACCTGAGGTACAACAGATAAAACACGAGTTAACTTTGTTCAAATGACAATAAGATTTAGTCTACAGACACACTCCAACATAGGCACTCGTCATTTTTACACTCTGGTTTGGATCAAAGAAAACAAACCAGAGCCGCTCTTGCAAATTGAGTGTGCAGCACTGAACATAGTTTACATACAGTAGCACTGGGTGAATACGAAACAACAACCGCAGACTGACCAGTTTCTTCCATTCTTTGGCCAGAACTGAGGGCTCCCACAGCTCCTGGCAGATCCTGAGCCTCTCCAGCTGCAGAGTGATGCAGCTGGGGTTGGTTTCCACAGCGCGCTCTGCGATGCTCAGCTTTTTCTCCAGGACCGCTCGGTAGGAAGACTTGCGGCGCTCAGTTGAATCGTTGTCCTGTTGCTCCTCCTCACCTCCAAACTCTGCTGAACTCACCTCATCCTAGAGAGGGAGAGAGGAGATGAGAAAGATGAGCCGCAATGCTGAATATCCTGAGAAGTGACTTTGTTTTTGAAAATTAATGAACAGAGTTCAGATAAATCATTAGTTTGCTGATTATTACAGGCTGAATGACAATGAATTATATATTATATATTTATTGCTGTTTGAGAACATTTTTTGAAAATGATAGAGACCAGCTCATTTAGGAAATGACTGAGTGTTTTTTTTTTTTTAATGACTTTATACTGTATGTACATTTAGGTCTTCAGTAGAAGTTATTGGTCTGAGGGCTGGGTGTCACAAGTGTAGCAACTTTGAAACTTGCACTAACACATTTGCAGTTTTGATCTTTACCTGGAGTTTGTGATGATTAGAAAAATATAGAATAAGCCTTTCCTTTAATATCCTTATATGCAAATTCTGAAAGTTAGACTTAAGATCTTTCTTTAAACACTGAACCCTGAGGTAGTTGGCAAAGTACACGCTGAGGTGAATAGGGAAAGAAAAGGCATATTATAATGTACAAGTGTACAAATGACAAACAAGTACTGACACATATACATCCATACGAACACCAATACGCTGCTCCAGTGCATCGTGTCAGTTCATAGCTGATTGTAAGGCAAGTAAAACTGAATTAAGAAGTCGTGTTTGTAATAACAAAAGTCTTCCTACCTGGTATCGTATGAATTTTATCCATAGCTGTGTGTCTGCTGGCTGTTCTCTCAGCTGCCTGTTAAACTCCTCAGTCCTCCTGGTCATAAGCAGAGCACTCTGCCCTGTCTGTACGTCCTGTTTCTGCTGCTCTGTCTGGTCCTGCTGTCCCTTCCCCTGCAGCCAGAGGGCCGTGGAGGAGTCATACACACCGAGTGGATTTACCGATGAGGTCTGCACTCTGTCACCTGGATTGACACAGTGAAGGTTTGAAGTTAGATGTAAGGGGTAAAAGAAAAGATGAAGGTATGTTGCAGGGATGTCTGACACAGAAAAAATTTGCTCAATTGCTGATATTGTCTTAATGTGAAATTGCGGTCTGTACAGTTGAAGATAAATTCCACCCTTTAAGGCCAATCAAAGCCATTGTTGTGGCTAAATCTCTTACCTGTCTCTCCTCCTATGTTCTCGCCCTCATCATCACCCAGAGGGAGGAAGGAGGAGGAGCTGGTGACATCACTACACTCAGGATTTGTTGGTAATGTAGGAGCAGCGGACTTGGACCTCAGCAACTGGCGACTAACTCTAGAGAAATATCTGTCCTCTGCTCTCTTCTTGTCCCCGCCTTTCTGTTTCTTATTTGACTCGGACTCCTGCCAGCTGACTCCCTGTCTGCGAGGATCCAGACCCAACGACGAGCTGCCTTTCCTCCTGTACCTGGAACACACACACACACACACACACACACACACACACACACACACACACACACAGCTTCACAACTATAGTTCTAGTTCATGTAGAATTTTATGGTTTTTATTCTTAAGACCCAAAGATCCAGAGAGCCCTTCTGAACAGTAAGTGATGTTAGTAATAAACTGTAGAGGCAGGTAATAAGCATGAGCAGGGATGGTCACTAAGACAGTGTGTGTTTGTGTGTATGTTACCTTGCTACATCTCCTCTGTACAAGGACTTATATGTCCAGTTGGCTGGGTCTGGTTTGCGGTCCACACAGAACGGATGCTCTGTGGGCGACTGGAGGTCATCCAACCAGGAGAAACGACTTGCTACTGAAACAGCCTGTGACCTGGCAGACAGGCAGAGTGAATACACACACACAATCCCACACACACCAACCATAAAAACAGAGTAGACACCAGCGAATGCTATTGTGTACAAAATTAAGAGTGCAAGCTTCTGTGATGCAAACGTGTGTGTCGATACCTATTTGCCTCTTCTTCCTTTTTGAGATCACTGGGGTAGATGGTATCAGAGTCAGACCCACTGCTATCTGAACACCTCCCAGTCTTCTTCTTGTGTTTTCTCTTCTTTTTCCTCTTCTTTTCACTCTTCTTCTTCTTCTTTTTTTGGGGTGCATTGTCCTCTTTTTCCTTCTCCGCCTCCGCAGAGCTCACCTCTCTGTCTACACTTGAGGATCATAAGGTTATTTCAATGTTAAAGTGAGTGAGAACACATTTAAACTTCACAGCTGCCTCAAGCAAAAATGCATTTTACTAATTTCCAACATATTACCTTGAGTACTTTTTACTAGAAAAGTGTTAAGAGTAATGAGCTTTTTTCAGCTAATTTCTTAAGTTAGTATCCAGAGGGAAGTAAAACATGTAAATAAGAAGAATTACAAACAGAAAAACAAAACAAGAAAAACATAGAGAAAGGCATAATGACAATCAACAAAAAGAAAAAAAAATGTTTTTTACCTTGAGTCCTTCTCTAAAAACCGTCTGTGAAGGGAGAGGGCATCCCCGGTCTGAAAACTCTTATTTTTCAGCCACTCTAACTCTAAGGGGAGAGAGTGGACAACAAAAGAGTGTTACACAGTAATCAGGAAGACTGAGGGATCATGATGGTGATTATCAACCACTGAATGTGTTGATGTGCAGTGTAGTATCATGGTTGTGACTGGGTATTTTAATTCTGTGTTGAAGCAACATATCCTGGTAATGCAGGGGATACACTTATCTTCTCTTACAACAGAGAGAAACTGAATTTTCTACAGTGGTAACTACATCAACCAAACTGAGTTGACTGCATCAGAGGATCAGACACCTGGACAATATGAGAATCATGTTATTATGGAGCTGAAGAGTCTGATTTCTCTATGTTCCATGTAAAGCCCCCCAATATGATCATAACCAGGATACGACAGATGTGACACTAGCATCATATCTGAGAGGAACAAATAGTCAGACGTTTCACGTAGCGGTGTGTAAATATATTGATCAGAAAGTCAGTTAACGCTAAAGTTTGTCATTCAGCTTCAACCGTAGGCAGACGGTGGGGTAGCTAATATAAGCTAGCTCGTGGCTCAGCAGGTGTATCCTCTATGTGTAAAGACAACACAGCAAAAAAGTTATCGATATTAAAATGTGTACTACACGAAGACGCTTTCACCTTTGGACGAATCTTCAGCTTTATTAATCGCTGTTTCTGCAAACGCTGGAAACAGAGCCATGGTGGTATATCGCATATAAACAGTCGCAGGGTTGTGACGTCATTAGACAGCCGGTTTACTGACCAATTAAGTGAGATTTACACACAAAAAAAGATCTTGATAGGTACATTTTTCACTCACAAATGCCAGTGTTAACTTAAAGACTTTATATATCAGTTAAACTATACGTAACAAAACTCAAACTTATTATTATAACACATAACTAAAATTATAATTTTCCTCGAAAAACATGTGTATCTTTGTTTTTTTTCTCTCTCTTTTTGAAATTCCTATTTATACGTTATGTCCACTAACAAAGTTTTCAAGTTTTTTGGGAGAAAAATTGAGAACTCTTTTTGATCTCTCTGTTATGAATTGTGCTCTAAAATTAAAATGGCTGAATTCCTTTATTCTGCATAGGTTGGTTTTGCATCCCCAATACAATTTTTCAAAAAAAGCACAACAAACCTTTCACTATGTTATTATGATTTATACAAACCTCCTGTGAAACTCTTAAACTTTCACCAGCAAATTCTCCTTTACTCTCCGACATACCACAGAGTACACCCACGCGGAACAACAGGTAAGAGGCCTACACACCCACTAACCAAAAAATCATTGTTGGTGGGGGCCTGGTTATGAGTCAAATGGTCTGTGACAAATTAATTAATTAATGGATTTGGACCTATCCTAATCAGCTAAGAAGAAAATGCTTTGCAATAATATAAAGATGAAGAGACAGTAAAAAAAATTATATTTGTCTCATCAAGCTCCCTGAGAAGCCAAAAAAGTGAGTCTTAAAATCTTGAATGACGTCTATCAACCTAATGAATCCTTGCATAAAAGATTCAGTTGGAATAATAACTACAAATTTTCTTCCAGTATGAATTAGTTTAGGACTAATTCTGACTTCAATCAAAAAGTTTAATATTGTGTCCAATGAATGTAGGCTAATGTCAGTTAAAACCTGGAACAAGGAGAAACACTGTTGTTAAATTGTGTTAAATAATTTGATTTGGTAACCATTTTATTCATAGACTGTAATGTAATTGTAATGATAGAACACATGAACCCATTGAAGAATGAACTGAAATTACTAGTAAAATCACTTGACTGAATAAAGACACACTAGTGCGTCAGGTGAGTATTTTTATAACGCTCTCCACCGCCCTCTTGTGGCGAAGGAAGCTACAACAATTATTTATCCCATTTCCTTCGTAGAGAGTAGAGGATTAATTGGATTACTTACTTGTGACTAAATAAACATGAAATCCCACTAATTTGTGTATACATAATCGAGATTTACTGTTATAACAACACGGTGGGAAAAGTGAAGTTATAAGCTTGTGCCTCTGGCTAAATTGAGGTGTAGGGAACAAGTGTTTTGTATTATGTTCGGGATTCCGGTGCCAGCATAACAACCTATCACTTCAATGTTGGGTTAAGATTAAGAATTTTTATTATCGTTTCCATTGTTACCTTTCCTGTGCAGAGCAGCAGAGTGGCTTATAGAACAGGGATCAAGGCTAAAATTAAAATCACTGTAACATTTCCTGTTTGGATTTCCACTGTAACTTAAATGTTGCACACACACAAAAGAGAAAAGAGGGTTAAGGGTGTCTCTGCAGAAACATTGTTGTGTGTTGAATTCTATTTTTTGTTACCTAGACAACGGAGCTCCCAGAGTACTATCCAATCAGAACTCGAAACCAAGTTTTCTCGACCAATCAGATACCGGTTGTGTTTTGACTGACATTTAGTTGATCCAATTGCTTTTATCGGCCGTCTGTAGTTGGCAAAGCTCCTGCCTTCCCAGGTTAGTCCGTTGCTGGAGTGCAAGAGCGGTTACTACTCTGTCTGTTTCATTTGTTGTCTAGAAGTTTTTAACTTCGACCAAAATGAGGGAAATCGTACACCTGCAGGCGGGCCAGTGTGGAAACCAAATCGGAGCTAAGGTTCGAGAGACTTCGTTCGTTAGTTTGAAAGTGACTCACTGCAAAGGAGCGTGAATGTTAAATTTGGTTTAGGCGGGCTGCTAAATTAGCTTACTTAGCGATAGAGCTAATGATAGCCTGGATGTCCACACGACCGTTAGGGTTGACTAGGATAAGTCATGCTAGCTCACCAGCTAATGTAACCATTGCATTTAATTCTCTTTTTCCGGCTCTAGTTCTGGGAGGTGATAAGTGACGAACATGGCATCGACCCGTCCGGGACGTACCATGGGGACAGCGACCTGCAACTGGAGCGAATCAACGTGTATTACAACGAGGCAACAGGTGAACTTCACTTTGCTAAGTGTTCCGAACTACAGCGTTAGATTATCTAATTTCTAAGGGAGTCAAGGTAATTCAATACCTCCGGGTTGTTAGTACCGCATGAGTCCAGCAGGGGGTCCTTGTTCTAGAAATCAGTCTTGAATCCCATGGTACTTTCCTGACTCACCTTCCTAGTTACCGTCGCCCCGTCTCTATGGTACAAGAAATCAACAAACCACCAGCTAACGATAATATCCCAGAGAGATATGACAACCTTAGCTTTAAGATATCATGAGATTTTAAGACCCAATATAAGCGACTGATTTTAAAACGAGACACGTTGTAAGCAAATAAAAAGCAACTGAACGTTAAATATGAGGGATTATAGTAGAACATGTTTATGAACAGGTTTCTGGTCCATAAGCAAATTAGAAACAGTTCCTAAGCCACTTTTGCAATGGGTTATTAGTTTATCACTGTACTTGTGTCTTCTGTTAGCATACTGTGCTGTCTTGACTTGCCGTGCAAACTTCACAACAGAGTTTATAATTGATGTAAAACTATAAATTTAGTGTCAAACAGCTTAACCCTAACTTGGTTCAGACTTTAAGTTATCATATCACTCAGCTTGTAAAATGACCACAGTAGTTAGAAATAGAAACTGAAGCTTCTTGTGTTGGTCTAAAACATTTTTTTTTACTTTGTTCGGTGAACATTAAAAAAATTGTGTGTAAATTGTCTCCTATAAGCACTTCTTTTTGTGCCTGTGCTTCCATTGCCAGGTGGGAAGTATGTCCCTCGTGCAGTGCTGGTGGACTTGGAGCCAGGAACGATGGACTCTGTGAGGTCTGGTCCATTTGGCCAGGTCTTTAGACCTGACAACTTTGTCTTTGGTAAGAATTAAAATGTAAAAATTCATCTGAATTTTAACTGGGGCTGATTGCCATACTGCGATTAAATACTTACTTTGAAACTGGAAATGAGTAGTTTTCCACACTTCTGCAAGAGTAAAGTCATTGATGTTGAATTTATGCACTGCTCATTACCAGTTAATTGTGTTGTAATTTGCAAATATGATTAAATCATATTTTAAATAGAAAAGGATCAGGATGGTTTTGACACCACATCTGTGATACAGGTCTATATTTGCATTAATATTTATTATTTATTTGTATAACACAGGCCAGAGCGGAGCAGGTAATAACTGGGCTAAAGGCCACTACACTGAAGGAGCCGAGCTGGTGGACTCAGTCCTGGATGTGGTGAGGAAGGAGGCAGAGAGCTGCGACTGCCTTCAGGGCTTCCAGCTCACGCACTCCCTCGGGGGAGGCACCGGCTCTGGCATGGGCACACTGCTCATTAGCAAAATCCGAGAGGAGTATCCAGACCGTATCATGAACACTTTTAGTGTGGTGCCCTCACCCAAGGTACACATAATCCATTAAAATGAAATTAAATGTTTGTCCCTCCACCTGTTTCCTCTGTGCTTTAACGCTCTTCCCTCTTCCTCTCTTTGTTTCCTCTTTCCTTTCCTTCCCCAGGTGTCAGACACAGTGGTGGAGCCATACAATGCCACCCTATCTGTCCACCAGCTGGTCGAGAACACTGATGAGACCTACTGCATTGATAATGAGGCCCTGTATGACATCTGCTTCCGCACGCTGAAACTCACCACACCCACCTATGGCGACCTCAACCACCTTGTTTCTGCCACCATGAGTGGGGTGACCACCTGCCTGCGCTTCCCCGGCCAGCTCAATGCTGATCTGAGGAAACTGGCTGTCAACATGGTGCCCTTCCCGAGGCTGCACTTCTTCATGCCAGGCTTTGCTCCCCTGACCAGCCGGGGCAGCCAGCAGTACAGGTAGAGAGGCAGGAGCCTGCTGTTCAGAGTCTGTATCAGACCAGCAAGTTGTATTTTAATGCATCTGAAATAATTCCTAATTGAATTATCTCTCTTTTTCTAGGGCGTTGACAGTTCCTGAACTCACACAGCAGATGTTCGATGCAAAGAACATGATGGCTGCTTGCGATCCACGCCACGGGCGCTACCTCACAGTTGCTGCCATCTTCCGAGGCCGCATGTCCATGAAGGAGGTGGACGAGCAGATGCTGAACGTGCAGAACAAGAACAGCAGCTACTTTGTGGAGTGGATCCCCAATAATGTCAAGACAGCCGTCTGTGACATCCCTCCTCGTGGCCTCAAGATGGCCGCAACTTTCATTGGCAACAGCACAGCCATTCAGGAGCTCTTCAAACGCATCTCGGAGCAGTTCACCGCCATGTTCCGCCGCAAGGCCTTCCTCCACTGGTAAGTGAAAGAAGACTGATGACAGGACTGTGGGGAGCAGTTTGTGTACTTGTGGTTGTCTGTTCTTACCCAGAATTCATACATGAATGTATAATACTTGTAAAAAATGTAGTATTTACTTTACTTTCATTGTTTCAGGTACACGGGTGAGGGCATGGACGAGATGGAGTTCACGGAGGCTGAGAGCAACATGAACGACCTGGTGTCCGAGTACCAGCAGTATCAAGATGCCACTGCTGAGGAAGAGGGCGAGTTTGAGGAGGAGGGCGAAGAGGACATGGCCTAGACGCCTACCATGACCCTTTTCTTACTATGCAAGAGTTTGAGGCTGGGCAATATGGTTCAATTGATGCATTATTGATAATTGTTTTAAAATCAGTCATTTCTATAGCAATGCTAAAAAGAAAATGACACAATAATTCCAGAGAAAGTTGCTAAATGATGACATTGAAATATTGTCCAGCCTTAATAGGAGTGCAAATGATTTCTCCAGCCATGGTTCTTAGATGTTGTCTGTTCTGTTTTCACACTTCTTTTTTTTTCCTGTTTTCAGTTCCCTTTCAGTGCGTCTTCCTTACTGTTTTGGATATAAATGTTTTTAACCTCTCCTCTTTCCTGTCTCTTTTGAGGGTATCACCTAAATGTCACTCCCCCATGACTGGCAACATTCAGCATCAGTCATATATTCATGAAAAAACAAAAACTACATAACGACATAATGTTAAAATTGTAAGTTAACGGTTAGCGTAACCTCTCCGGTATACGTGTTAGGAAATTCCATTCCTTGTTGCATTTCAAAGTCCACACCCCATTTGCTTGTCCAGTTTGCCCTGGATCAGTTTGACTCCTACTGTTACAGCTCTGTTCATTCATAGCAGACACAGAATGAAACATTGACCAGTTCAAGGCACTTTTTTGCTGAATTTGGCACTTACTGTGTTTAATATGAAAGGTCACTTTTTAAGCAAAATTCAATCATTTCATTTACTGAAAAAAAAACTTTAAAATGCACTGAAAGCTATAAATAGTGTCAGGAACTGGTCACTGTTACGTCAGTGTCACTGTGCTTGGTCTGTAATGTTACTGACATCAAAGGTGTAGATTGATTTTAATAAAGTTTTTTGAATTGGTGCTAAACTGGAATACTGCTACTTTTGTCTTATTTAAAAATGTAATTGGATTTATCATTCCTGGTACAGATGGGTGAATTATTCATCACATAATTATAATGTTCTATGAGCTTTCATGTTTTTGTGTGTTTACAAACTTACTGTAAGATGTAGAGCTACAAGGTGTTATTCATTTTGATTGATACCAGTCAGCAGGCTGTAGAGGATACTGATGGTAAGTCTGAATTAGAAATAAAATGCAGAAACATGTCAGTGGACGTCAGTCACAGTTCTGGTATTTGACCGTCTCAGCCTGAAAAATATTAACCTTTGACTTGTGAGTAGAATGTTTTGAGTGAACGTCTTTTGCAGGACAAATGAGTACTGCTCAATGTAAGATGGTATTTGTAGAACGGCAACACTTATTTCAGAAAATGTGTTTAGAAGCTGTAAAGCTGTCTGTGTGAGGGGAGCAGGTGTTTATCTTCAACCTGTGCACCGATCTAATCAGCCAGAGAGTGAAAACAACAACAGGTGTGGCTGTGGCTCAGGAGGTAGAGTGGGTCTTCCACTAATTAGAAGGAGAAAGAAATTGCCCCTGATGACTGTTCCATCAGTGTACAACTGCGCCTATGAGTGTGATGTACGAATGTGAGTGAATGGGTGAATGTGGCAAGTACTGTAAAGCGCTTTGAGTGGTCTGTAAGACTAGAAAAGTGCTATAAAAGTGTAAGTCCATTTTCACAGAGGACGTTTTGAAAGAGGAAAGTCACCAGTACACCCTGAAAAAATTTTACTATCATGTCACACTGGGACACTTGAGTACAGCAGAGCCACTGTCAACATATGACAAGCCAAAATGTCTGCTGTGAAACAAGCCTTTTCTCTCTGCCTAATAGAGCAGTGACATGATGACTTTGTCCCAAAACAGAAATCATTTTCCCGTTAAACTAATTTTAGGTTGATGGCTGTTTGAGAATATAATTCTATGTGACAAATTTCTCCAAATGTAGGCAGCATTGGCAGCATACATCATGCATCAAGTGTCCAATTACAGTCAGTCTCAGTAAATAATTGTTTCAGGTGAACGTTGCGGCAGCAGACTCCTGTGAGACATGAAAAAACTGGTTATTTTAATGTTAACGTTAAACATATGTGCCAACCATATTCCTATCACATACTGTGTATAGATATGCATATGATGATCATATCTATTCATGCAAAATCAGTGATGGAAGCCTGTTGTATGAGGTTTTAGTCCCTCTGATCAAAGGAAGTCATCCGGCAGATCAAGCGACAGATCTGATAACGTCCAACATCCTGATCCACCAACTCTCACTTTGCTTTAACCTTTATGAAACCACACAAGCATTCAGGAGCACAACATATATAGTATGTTTTAAGGGAGCTGTATCCAACTCTTTGAAAGTAGAGTACTGAATCACAATGAGTCTTTTATTTTGTAGCTCTAATTTGTGTAGTTGTTGCATGTGTCTCTTGAAATTATGTAAAACAATTATACATTTATTTTGGCTTTTATCATAACAATAAAGATACAAGCAGAGTTGTATTTAAGTACACACATCTCACATGTAGTGATATATTCACAGCATATAGAAAAGAAAGTGTGTCATTGTGTCGCCTGTTCACTGCAGCAGCAGGAAAATGATCATGAGTATTTGAATGACAGATAACAAATGGAGCTAATCATGCTACAACGCTTTTTGTTCCTGTTTCCTTTGTTAACACGAAGACAGGAGTGAGTTCCTATCTCTTCACTGTGGTTACCTCTGAATTCTCAATTTGTTTTTTGTGTCCTGTAAGCTGCTGAATGGAGAGAATCTGACACATTAAACCTGAAGGTGAACTACATTTATGGATGGTAACTAACAGAGAAATAAGTCTGAGAAAATAGAAACTCTGTACGATCGAAATGTAATGCTTTGTGATTCTTAATCTGCATTTCAAAAGATAAATAAAATATGATAAAAGAGCCAAACATTTAAATATATTGATTAAAAATACTAAATCAGTTGCATACAAAAGCAGATGATCATCATTTAATATTTTAATAAAAACATTAAATATACATTGGTAGTGATATATAGATCAGGTCATGTGTTCAGTTCGTGCCTTTTCTTTAATGGTTCACATTTTGATATTTTTTATTTATCTATTTATTGTTTTAGTTTTGTCTGGGTCAATTTATACCATCAAATTATAGTTTTAATCAATCATTTCAGGACCGCGAATCATCCATTCATTTAACTGTTTTGTTCAATTTGTAAAACTAAAAAACAAAATAACCCTTCTTTTTTCTTTTTTTATAGGCTTTAAGAAAGAACCATCTGTCTTTTCTCACTAACATCTTGAAATACAATTAATCCATTTAACAAGAAAATCAAACCAAAAAAACAGACTTATTTCTGTTTTACCGTTATTTTCTTTGGTTCTGTCTCCCTGCAGTATGCATGCACAGCCTGGACGGCAGAGTGAAAGGAAGGGTTGATTAAGCATTTTTTAGTAATGATTCAAGTTGAAAATTAAGGCAAATTTCAAGAGACGAAAAGAACTGATTTATGGATGATAACCTGTGTCTGCTGGTGGAGCAGAGGTGTGACCTTTGTCCATAGACAGTGTGCAAGTCTGTGAATGAGGGCAGACTGGAGCTCATGAGAGCACAGCATGTTCAGTGTGTGTTTAGTGTTGGGTCCCATTGTAAGGTGAAGTAAAGTGTGTGTTCTCTTGTGTGTCCCAGCTCCAGATTTCAGGAACTTTCATGTCGTTAACACAACTCTCCACTAGGCAGAGCTGTTTCCATGGAGCGCTGGATCACAGGATCATTAGTTTTTGTCTCAGTTTCATTTTAAAATGCACCAATGCTTCAGTTTAAATCAAGATGAGAGTGACATGTTGGAGGCATTTTGTACATGATTTGTTTGGACTAAATCAGTCATGTTAGGATAGTTACTAAAAACCTTCTTGTTCTTTCAGGTGAAGAATTATATTTGTTTTTTTTAACGGCAGTCATAAGAATGATTAACATGTCATTACTATTGCCACAGACGACTTTTTTTGTGTTCATGTGTATTTCCAAACTGCTTTTAAACCTATATTTTTATTTTGCTTTTTACTCATATTTGAGTAACTGCAGCAACTTCAATGTGTAACAGATGGCAAGATGTTTGAAACCAAGATTCACCATTACTAGACCAAAACATGAATGCTTCATGTTCAGCAGGCAGTGATCGTTTAGACAGAAATCATCATGGAATATTTGCCTTAATCTTTTGCTGATTTGTGGACTCCTTTAGTTTTGTTCCTCTGAAACCACTTTTGAAGCCCCTGGCTGTATATTATATATTATAATATTTTATATATTATAATATTATATATCCAAAATAAACAGAGCAGGGGACGAAAGACGAGAATAGTACTTTAACAAGGAGAGAAATGGGGAAGCAAAGCTTAATTAATGCTGATGTTCACAGATAAACTGATATAAAACACATTTAAATACACACAAAAAAAACTTTACACATTTTATAAATCAATGTTTCAAAACTTCAGTTACACTCTCATCATCACATTTCATTTCCATCATGTTTTCAATATAAATCCTCTGACTTGAAACCAAGGAAAAGAACTTATAATACTTAATGGCAATATAACATTTTGTGCATGACAATAAAACATCCTGGTCTTGAGTTTAAGACATCAGTGATAATGTGACGGTGTGTTACAGTTTGCTGTTTAAAGAGATTCACACACATTTCCACAACTCTTTGTCAGGATAATGCTAATGGCTAATGTCTCTCAGTTGAGACTGTGAATGCTTAAATGTCATCAATGTAATTGATAGAGCACTGGAGAGATGTCGGCGTGGTGTGATTTGCAGTGCATTCAGAAAGTATCCAGACCCCTTCAGTGTTTTCATATTCTATGTTGCAGCCTGACAAAATAATTTAAATTAATCCCCCCCCCTCATCAATTTACACTCAAAACCTCATAATGACAAAGCAAAAACAGAATTTTAGAAATGTATTAAAAATGAAAAAAAAATGAAAAAGGAAAAACTGAACTATCACATTAACATTAGTATTCAGACTTTGCTATGACACTTGAAATTTAGCTCAGGTTTCCCTCATTTCTCTTAATTGAGAAATCTTTCTTTGAGACGTTTCTACACCTTGATTGGAGTCCTCCTGTGTTAATTCGGCTGATTGGACATGATTCGTAAAGGCACACACCTGTCTTAGTAAGGTCTCACAGCTGACAATGAATATCAGAGCAGAAAACAAGAGGAGGAAGGAGCTGCCTGCAGAGCTCTGACAGGCTTGTGTCAGGACACAGGATCTCTGGACATCAGCCAGAGGGACCATCGGGTTCCTGGTCACCTCTAGTATCTAACCACTTCTCCCCCGACAGCAGTTTGGCCTGGTGGCCAGCTCTAGGAAGTGTCCTGGTTGTTATAAACTTCTTCCATTTAAGAATTATGGAAGTCACAAATGCTTTTTTGTAGTCTTCCACAGATCTGTGCCTAGACATGTTTTTTATCTCTGCAGGCAGCTCCTTCCTCCTCATGATTTGGTTTCTGCTCTGATATTCATATCAGCTGTGAGACCTTATATAGACAGGTGTGTGCCTTTCTAAATCATGTCCAATCAGCTGTATTTACCACAGGTGGACTCCAATCAAGGTGTAGAAACATCTCAAAGATGATCAAAAGAAATGGGAGGAACCTGAGCTAAATTTCAAGTGTCACAGCAAAGTGTCTGCAGCACAACAACATGTGGAAAAAACTGAAGGGGTCTGAATACTTTGTGATTGCACTGTATGACTCACTGTAACTCATTTACACTGTAACATGGATTTTATATCAAATGTTAACATGAGGCAAAAGTAAAGGCACATTGGCCTCCATGACAAAATATCCAAAATGACAAATGAGAATTTATTATCACAAAAAGAGAGAAATCTCAACAGTAACATACGTCTTAGATATTTAACTTTCTGGTCAACCAGCAGAATTCTGACATGAAGATTTCTGTTTTCAAAAAATCCAAGATACAACCTCTAAACTGTAAGAGAGGGCAGTCACCAGTGTGTCATGGACATTACAGTATGTGAAGGCATGAAAGTTCAGTATGTCCAGACATTGTCTGTTGTTAGTAAAATATCTCACAATGTTTTTGGGTTTATTACACAATGTTCTGTCTATGGAGTGAGTCACCAGGACTCCCTGTGTACAAATGAAATTGGTAAATATGTTAGGCACATCGTCATAACACTTGTTTTATATTGTATATATTCCCATTGAAAAACATACTACACCATAAAACATGCAGCTATAATATAGAAAACCTTGGATTAGGGTTAGGAAAAGTACTTTGAGTTGTCTGCTGCTCTTTCAAATCTCCAGACCGGATTTCCGCAGTTTAGCGAACAAAGGCAAATGGAAGAAAAAAGCTAAACAAAAACAGGGAATAATGTCCCACAGGAGGACATAATGGCACTGAAGAATGAGACATAAAAGGGAATGAAGGAAGGCGTCCATACTCAACGGTTTAAATACATTACTGCCAGAGGGAATAAGGGGATTAGAGGAAACCATGGAGAGAAAAAACGCCGGTAAACGCCCATGAAGATGGAGAGTGAAAGACAGAGGGAGAAGGGTTGTTGTTGGGAAGGAAATAAGGCCACATAGGATGAAGAATATAAAAAGGGGAGCAACATAATAACAGACTAATAACTAACTAACTATTTAAGAATGAAACAACAAAACGTGAGGCACTGATATATACTGATTTAACAATATACTGATAAATATCTGTTTAACAACATATTAGATTATATATTGGCTTTTAATCAAATGTCAGATGTCATCCATCTTGAATGTGATGAATTTGATGCAGATTTTTCAAACTACATATTTAATCTTTAATTCATCAATACTACAGTGGCTGTGAGGACTGGTTCACCTACACTAGTTTTGTGCAGCTACGCATGAATACACCTCATGACTGAATAACAAAAGCTGCTCAGATTTCATTCTTTCAGGTTTTGGTGTTTTTTTTTTCAAATCCTTAAATACCTGTATCAGCCTTAAAAACTTTATACCAGTCAAAACTCTCCATGTGAGCAACTGCAGATGCAAAGAGGAGCAACAACTATAAAGCAGCCCTGCTCACAGCAGCTCAGACTGTTTGTTGTTCCCACTGGTCTAATATTGTGATAAACCGTACATCTGACAGGTTTGGCATTCACCATTACTGGTAGTCAATCAACCCAATACATGTGATAAATGCTGCATTAACAATGAACTCATTAACACTCCCTTTTCCATATTAAACAGTATCAGATGTTTGTAAACTCATTGTGCATTTATGTGAGGAGCAGATGGCCACTGAGGTAACTAAATACAATTATCCCACAATCCCAGTTCTGCAAAAATGTCTCTCTTTGTGTAAGAGTGTCATTTCATCATATCTCTGTTTGTTCTGTCTTTGAAAGCCTGGTGGTCCGAGTCCGAACCCGAACTCCCCGCTTCACAGACCTGTCAGCCTCAGTCTGCGATGACTGATAGGTGTATGTACAGTTGGAATTCACTGTGAGCGTTTCTGGTACAGAGAGGATCATGGGTAGGCAGACAGGCTTTATATCACTGTAAGCTGTTATTATTAGTGCTGGCTGAGGACTGACGCTGGGCTGCATCCTGTTCCTGATGAACCTCTCTGACGGCCAGGATGCGTGTGAGCATGCTCTGTAGAGTGGTTCCCTCTAGTGGCTGAGCAGTGTACCAGTGTGAACTGTTGAGGTAAACAGAATGGAAACAGAAAAAGTCAGAAAAATCTACATTTCATCCACTTTTCAGTGGCAACATTAAGACATTCTGCATGTATGCAGCTCCAAGTGACACCGAAGAAACTGTATGAATTTTCTTAATTCACCATTATGTCATGTTTCCTTCTCTGGGAAGGTTGAGATGGTGAGGAGACTAAACCACAGTATCAGCGGTAAATCCCTCTTTCTCTGTGAGGATTTTGCTGCCTTTTTCTAAAATTTGGATTCTTGTGTAACCTCACCAATACTACTTTGTTTGGGCAAATAGGGTGAATTTATGGCATCTTAGATTGTATATCTTATTTTATAATCACTTATTGCATTTTTAAATTGATCCCATTTTTGAAGACTAAAAAGTAGACCGTAGATATGCTAACAGTGCTAAATGATTATTCACTTGACATACAGCAGACAACATAACAATACACCCCTGTGCTATATTACTAAAATGATAAATGATTCAAAATTATACCATCTTACAATAAGTGTATTATTTTGAAGTTGAAATGTAAGGCATTTGATCGTATATATAATTAAAATCAAACAGGTTAGAAAGACTGCAGAGCTTCAATGCAATGAAAGTGAGTTTACCTGTGATCAATGTAACAAATTTGATGACACCTGTGATTTCCAGTCAAGACTACACAACAAGGTGATATAAATAACGTGTGGACACCACAGCTTCCACAGCTGTGGCCTCAATTGTATCTAATGCAACATGGCTCCAGGTGGTAAGAAAATACCTGAACAAGTAAGACACCAGATTGTGAGACTTGAGGTGAGGAGCTATATCACCGATAACAGAGGGCACAGTGGAGGTGTGTGAAGGTGTAAGGACTTTTGTTGGTTTTTTAAAATGGACCTTTCATTGTAGTTTAATTAGTCAAACATTTCTGTTTTTCAAAGTAAAAGCATCCAGTCTTCTTGGGATTTGGATAAAAAAAATTAAATTGTATTGCATTACATTTTTTAGGCTGTCACTATTTCCAGTGTCTTTGTTGTAAGTAATGTTAGAGTGCCAATTTTATCTATATTTTCATGTGAAGCACTCTGTGCATGAATATTCTTTTATTGTGAAGCACTCTGAGCTTCTACAATTGCTGCTATGGAAATGAATTATTTTATTATTATTATTAAAAAAACTTTTTTCCACTATCCCCCACCACTTTCTGCCTCTCTCCGAGCGTTGAGAATAGGAAGACTTGGAAGACTTTCTCTCTGTCTCTCCTCTAATTTTCTGGACAACTGCTCGTCCACTTCACTTCAAACTTGGCAGGTTTATTGCTGAGGACCTGAGGAAGTGAAGTGTGAAGTTGTTTGGATGAGCAGTTGTTGAGATCCAAACCCAAACATAATCTAACCCTCACATTAACATGTCACATGAACAGTGATGTCATCAGTGAGTCTCAGAATGTGGCTTTGAACACAGATGAACAGTGATGATGTCATCAGTGAGTCTCAGAATGTGGCTTTGAACACAGATGAAGAGTGATGTCATCAGCTTCCTTTGATTTTGGTTCTAGCAGCTACATTTAGAAGGAAACATTTCTCTTGCGTCAGTTGGTGAAGTGAAGAACGACAAAAGTTTTTTTTAAAAGTACTTCATTCTGTGTTTCCCTGGAATCCAATACCTGAGGACCATGAGAAAAGCATCCAACACCATGAGCTCAAGGAGCACACGGTACCGCTACCGTACACTGGCTCCCATCTCACAGGTGGATGACACCCTGTTTGGGAGCCTTAAACCAAGTCCACCGGAGAAACCTGAAATCTCCCTGGCCATGCCTCAAGAGGGAGAGACGGCTCGAGACAGACAGAGCCAAATGGAGAGACATCAGCTCCGAGAGAACCAGGAGAGAGTCGACCTGGAAGACCTCGACCAGAGGAGAAAGAACCAGCAGCGTCAGCAGATGAAACTCAATGCTGAGACTGTACGGGCCGAGGAGCAGAGGAGAGAGGAGCGGGAGGAAGAGCTGCTGAGATCCAGACTGAGGGCCCAGAGAGAGAAAGAGCTGGCTGTGATTAAAGAACGAGAGGAAGCTCTGCTGAGGACAATACTCAGACAGAAGGAGGAGGAAGACAAGCTACGTCAGAGAGTGCTGCGCAAGACTGTCCACCAACAGCTGTGGGAACGTGAGCAGTCAGCAATGTCCAGGCGAAGACAGAGCATCAGCGCAGCCGATCAGCTGATCATGGAGGAACAGCAACGACGTATGCGCCTCCATGAGATTGCAGAGGAGACGCTGATGGAGCTGAGGTTCATCGGGATCCCTGAAAAATACTGCCGGAGAGTGGCAGTGTTTCCAAGGCCCCGCACACAGGATTCAACCAGGATCAACACCACTGAGTCTGAGCTGAGGCCAACCTGCCTCCCACCCATCAGCAGATCAGCTAAAGCCCCCGTCTGCAAACTCCAGCCGGCCTCTGCTACGTCATCGTACACCCGCCTCCCGCCCATCAGGTCCAAACACCAGTGATCTGGACCAGCCTGATCCTCCATGTTCTGCCAGCCCCTCTCCCTTCCTTACCCTCCCCCATTTCCCTTCCTTACCCTAACCCTTACCCTCCTTCCCCCTCCTTAACCTCCCCATTTTCCCTTCCTTACCCTAACCTTTACCCTTCCACCCCTCCATTTCTCTCCTCTTTTCCTTTCATTTCTTCTAAGTTTATATATGTGGGTTTTTCTCCCACAATCCCAAAAACTTGAAAAGTGATTTGTTTCTTTGTTTTTTTTTGTTGTTGCAATTTTCAAGTTTAACTACATTCTTTCATAAATAAACTATGAAAAAAATATAGTACAATGTCTGGACTTACATATTGTTTCCATTTCTGTTGCTACAGTTCTTTGACGATATGCACTCTAAAACCCAGAATATTTACAGTGAAGATAATTTCAAATTAGGATAAACACAAGAAACATCTATATATAACTTGTTTATGTCAACATGTCAACCAAAGAAAACCTTGGGTCTGAAATCTCAGCTACTCTTCAACCAATCGATAAAGATAAAAATAGAATTTGCAACACGACATATTGAAACATGTCAACTCTCATATGTTCACACTCAAAGCCTCATGTGTTTAACATGAAAGTGGACGGATCATTCTGACACAGACGAGTTATAGTAGTTGATACAACTACCTTTTCCTTGGGGGAGAAGCATGCCTGTTGTTTACATGCTATTCAGATGTGCTAGTTACCAATGACTTCTCACTCTTCCTCCTCTATCTCTTGCCCAGTGTGTCTTATATTTAGTTATTCCTCTGCCTCCTTTAGTGATAATGGTTCATGTAATAAATGCAGTTTATTTGACCTAGTGGAGGTGAGGCTCAGTGAACTGGAAGGGCCACTCTGCTTTCCTGCAGCTTCAGGTTTATACCCGGTCTTGTTTCTAGATATTTGAGCTAACACCAGTTATATTGCTCAGAGTCCCACTGTAGTTCATTTATGCTATTTAAAGAAATTGTTTGACCTTTTGAGAATTAAGCTTATTCACTTTCTTGCCGAGAGTTACATGAAAAGACCAATATCACTCTCATATCTGTCCAAGAAATATGACACTACAGCCAGTAGCTGGTAAGCTTAGTTTAGACTAGAAATAAGGGGAAACAGTTGGCTTCACAATGGTAAGGTAACAAAATCCTCCTAGCAGCACCTCCAAAGCTCACAGGTCGACACATTATATATTATTTGTGAGGTTTTACGGAGGGTTATGACGGATTTTTTTCTTTGCAGTATGTTTTCTTAGCACAGAGCCAGGCTAGCTGTTTCCCCCTGTTTCCAGTATTTGTGCTAAGCTAAACTAACTGGCTGCTTGCTGTAGCATCATATTTAGTGTAAAAACATGAGAGCAATATCAATCATGTAAATCTCCACAACAAAGTGAATAACTTTATTTCCCAAATGTTCAAATCATCAGCTGTAACCCTTCTTATATAGAGCCAAGTCGATAATCAGCAGGTACAGACAGGCTACCTCTAACTTGTTTTGTCTCTTAGAGCTTCCAAAGCAAAGCCCTGGTAATAAGTGACACATTCAAGAAGGAAAAATCAGACATCATTGAGTCTCTTTAACGTTAGAGGACCGACTCTGACCTGTGTGTGTGCACATTCTGTTCAGGCTGGAGGTAAAACACGTCAGTTCTCTTCTTCACAGACTCCGGGCTGTTGGAGAGGACAGAGAAGATGTTTGTCACGTCTTAGCTGGAGTTAATAGTGTTAGGTTTGCAGGTAACCTGTGTCTCACCATCTAGAGAGGTAGAACTCGTAGAGTCTGACAGGACAGTGCAGAGGGTTGGTGACATTTTCTAGCATCTCCATGTCTCCCTCATTCTCTGCTCTGCTCTCTCTTTTTCTGAGTCGCTCTTGAAACAACAGTAAATAGCAAAACTTATTTAGTGAGTATTTCCAAACACATTACGTTTTTAAGGCAGGGAGTCAATTTGTAAATCTGTTTTGAGGTTCAGTAGTGTGAAGCAATTTTATTGCCCACCTGTGTCCTCCCGGCTGGGCGTGGCAGAGCTGCTTCTCTGGTGCTGGAGGTAGTGGACTTTGCCAGTTCGGTTGCAGGCTTTAGAGCGTCGAGTGAAGTTGATAAAGGAGAGACTTTGGTGCTGCGCCAGCGTAGTGAAGTGGAAGGTTTTGGTGCAGAAGAAGAGCAGTGTGTTGAGCAACACTATGGGGGAGTAGGCGCCCAACTGCTTACACTCCCACAGGTAAGACTCTTCAACACGGGAGGAAACAACACCAACTGTAGGAGGAAATAGGAAACAGGGAAAGAGTTGAGAGAAATATGTGGCTCTTCAGCTGCAAAATGCCCCACTGTGTTCATCAGCTAGTCGCTAACTTTACCTAACAGTGGATATATCAGCTTCCTGTTTCTGCTGGACATCACTAACAAGAGTGATGAGAGTGAAACAAACCAGTAAAAATGCACTATGACAACCTCTATTCTATTATAGGTCAACTCATTGTTAATACAAAAATATTGGTTAGTACACCTTTAAAGTTGCACATAATCTGAAACAAGTGCAGGAAAAGGGTCTCTGACACAACCAATTAAAACTTAAAACTATTTCATATTAAAACATTGAATGGCAATTGTAGAAAAAAGCCTACCATAAATAGCATCAAGAATGTGGTGTGACTGTGTCAATGATCATACCGCTTGGTAGTAATTTAGGCCTCCAGAGTTGCAGCATCCCAGTGATCTCAGTGGCAAATTGACTGTAGAGCTCGTCAGTGAAGATGTTCTGTATGCGGCCCTGCATGAACAGATACTGTCCAAAGAGCAGGAGACATAAAAGAATGAGTCAATAAACAGAACGCGTCAGAAAAAGTGCCGCATGTGTGTGTGTGTGTGTGTGTGTGTGTGTGTGTGGACCTGTTGTATCCCCAGACAGAGGTAGAAGATGCTGTCTGGGCTGTAGGTCTCTCCATTGGGCCGTCTCACTTCTCGGACGAAGCGAGACAGAGCAAAGCTCAGCTCAGCAGAGTCACACTGAAGGATGTCTTCTTTAATATCCACTAGATTGGCTACAGGTGGAGAGAATGTAAAATATGACTGCTATAGAATAAAAAACAATCAACAGATCCGAGTAAAAGACAAGAGGAAGTAAATCTAAAATAGTAAAGAGAACTGAGGCTCACACTCTTGTGGCTGTTTGTTGCGCTGTTGGACCCAGCTCTTCCAGGCTTTAACCCCATACAGGTGGTTCAGTTTGGAGGCGGCGGGGGTCACCACTGCAGTGCGCTCCGATGAAACAGTCCGCCTTCGACCCTGGATAAACAGAGACGCAATGACTACTGGGTGGAGAATGAAAAGTTGACTGAGAAGAAAATTGCACTTTCTGGGTAATAATTGGTGTACTTGTAAGTAGTAAGTTTTTCTGGTCCCATAAATACATGTCGAATTTAAGACTGTCATAACATAATAGGACAAGGTGGTTCTCTGTGTTAAAAAGAGAACCCAGTGCTGAAGTTCCTATAGCACTTGAACGCACCATGTCACAACATCAGGTGTCAGCCAGAGAATCACAGAGCAGCCTGCAAGAAAACTTGTCTCCATACAAATCAGAAGGTTTTTAAAGGTTAAAATCTAATGCTGATAAAATGAATCTGAGATTATCCAACGACCGCTGACCTATCAGGAGATTCATACCCGTTTCCGGCCGTAGAAACCCTCTCTGGGTCTCTTTACTCCTCTCTGTGGAGCAGGCAACTTCTGACCCAGTGATTCTGCAGAAAAACACACACAAAACACTTTTGAGTGAGTTTTGTCCTTAGTAAACTTACTTAAATGTGTTTGGGCGCTGGCATCCTAAACAATCACAAGTCAGCAACTACATGTCATCCATTTTTTCAACAGATTTGGTGTTAACTATCACTTTACATTTCATGATATCTCACCAGACGGTAAGTCAGTCTCCAAGTCCATCATGGGAGAGGAGGGCGGTTGATGCTCAGCACTGGTGGTAGGCTGGGCATTAAGCTGGGGATCAGTTGAGTCTGTGCCCCTCTCTGAACTTACAGTGAAAGGCGGGTCGGCTTGTACTTGTACTGCTTTTTGAGTGTCTTCATCTTCATGGATTATGGGAGTGACCACTTGTGACCTTGTGTCTCCACTATGAGAACCGCTCTGGTCTGTAGCAGACATACAAAAATAAAACACAGATGAGCTTCTTGCTTTGTTACTGTGGCAAAAATATCTAAGACTTAACAGAACTTAAATATGTACAAAGATCCACTTCTCTCAAACACTCGCCTGCACTGGAATCTTTCTGTTTTTCTTCTTTAACAGCAATTGGCTGTGATTGGACAGCTGCATCTTTCATGTCCTTCTTCTGTGGTGGTACCAGCACAGGTACTGGAACCTGGAGAAAAAATGTAAGAAAAGACTTCACATTTCATTTTCTGCTGCAAAGATTTAACACGCAGTCTTTTAATCATTAAACTTTTACAGAATGAGAATGTAATGGGACGTACAGGCATGGGCATAGCCATCGGAACAGGTGTGTGCTGGGAGTACATGTTCATAGGCACTGGGATGAAGACCGGCACTGGGACTGGTACCATGACCACCTTCACATTCTCCTCTCCTGCTGAGGAGAGAACTGAGGGCAGAGCCAGAGCTGGAGGAGGGAGAGAGGGAGGGAGAAATGACAGACAGGGAAAAATAGGTATCAATAGGAAAGAGATACAGTAAGACGGGAAGATAATCAAGATTGACTCCGGTATTGAATTGAAACCATAATTTTGAAAAGGACAAATAAAAAAAGTTGTATTTACCCTTAAAACTTTTAAGGACAAGGTTACTATTTTTTATTTTTTATTAAATAAATATCTCCACCCACAAAGGAGGTCATCTTTTCACCCGTGTTTGGTTGTTTGTTTGTCAGCACGATTATGCAAAAAGTACAGAACCATTTCGGACTTTACTTAGTGAGCCAGGGAAGAATCTATTAAATTATATGAGGCAGATTCTGATAATTTATTATGAATTTGAATTGTTTTCTCTGTAGTCTGGTGTATGTTGTTTGACATCAGCCTTGGCGGAGGACCCTTCTTGTTTAAAAATACATTCATAAATTCATTCATATTTAGCATGGGCAAAATATTTCGTGATTAAAGTATTTTTTATGTATATTTTTATTGTTTATGTATGCCTTATTTTTATGTATCTACATATCATATTCATCATCATCAAGCTGTAAGAGTATATCAAAAATGACTATAAAATGAGAACATAGCTCATAATCTCTACCTGGTGAGAGGTAACGTTTTACCATACACCCCTCAGCTCTTTACTAATATCTCATAATGAATGAACAGTCTTGATTTATTGAAAATAAATTTACACTACACATTTAAGGAAACAAACAGAAACATCATCTACTGATACCTGACTGCCGATGTTTATTTGAAGGAAATCAACTAGCTGTAGTTTCCTGTTTATACTAATAAGTCTACATTAAGGGATCGACCTATGCACCAGCAGTCATCACCAGTACTCAACATATTTATTTTTCTTTTACAACATTGAGATTTCCTCAGTTTCAAGTGATTCGAGTGACCAGTGTCAAACTGATATCATCATCTGCTGCTGGCTCTCCTTACAGACACTGATATGGCTATTTACATGTACAGTACAGATCAGGAGTTAGTGTTAATAAATCTGCTGAGGCTGTTTCCCTGTTGCCGTTTCCCCTTACCTTAATCTGAACCAGTCATTTATAATAATTCCTAACCTGACCGCAAACGTAACCCAACGCTATCCATCCAAACAAATGTATTACCAGGATATGGCCAGCAGATGTTGCCAGTTTTGAAACAGTGAATCATTTTCAAGACAATTGCTATATATACCGTTTATAGTGCTTCAGAAAGCGCTGCCTCCCACATCACTGGTCGCACCTGTCTGCACTTATTTCATTTAACAATGACAGATGCTTCTGTGATGTGGAGAAATCAAAAGTTAATATTTTCTAAGATCCTTGATAATTTAGTAGAGACTGATCTAAGATTGACATGTGGGTGCAGATTAGTAGTTTGTTTGTAACTTTTAAACAACACTGATATATGAACCTTATAGTCATTACTATCTATTCATTCTATGCTCGTTTTACAAGGCATTACACTTATTACTATGTCCATCCATCATCAGACTGATGGAGGTTGTCTGTATGTGAAATCTGGCAGGTAAAATCTGAGAAATAAATCGCCCCAAACACATTTTCCCTCAAATTAAATTTATTGACATATTTTTTTGCATTTAACAAACAAGAACAACCTATTCAAAGTGTTGACAATGTTCTTTGGAAAAAAAAACAAAACAAAACAATCTGATCCATGTCAGTTTAACCGAAAACAATGTAAAAAACAAAACATGCACATACAGTACAGAGGTTAAAAAAACACAAGAGACAGTAGGTTGTAAAATAAGTAAAAAGTAAACATCAAAGATGTAATACAGGGCTGCAATCAACTCATGTTCAACTCAAACTTCAACCAAGCCGGAGCGGACTTGCTTTGACAGCAGACGGATGAACTGAGGTCAGCCTTGGTTCACATGACTGCATCAGTAGTGAGGTACCTCAAAGAATTTAAGCTTAAACTTTCATACATCACACATTCATATTAAATCATATCAGCCTCTGGTAAATAAGGCAGTAATGCTGCATCCAAACTACGATTTCCATCTAAGAACGACTTTTTACAAACCCTGCAGTGGGTCCAGATGCCTCTCTCTGGGAAAATGGTCGGATTTTTTAACAACTAAGTGTTTTCTATTTTGTCATGTCAATCAGATGCGATCAAATTCAACTGCACAACATTAAATAATTAAAATTGCCACAAACATAAATTTTGAGCTTTTGATGATTATTTTTTTTATATTATTTTTTGTCATGCAAACTGCCACTGTACTGGCTATGCAAGATCAACCTAACTTACTCTAATAATAATGCTTTCTTTTGCCATGTTTGAGCTGCTATTACTGTGACCATTTACTCATCTAGCCACTTTTACCTCATCATTCACCATTTATTAAAAGTACACTTCTTTTAGTGAATCTGGAATTAGAAAAGGAACTCTAGCATGGTGCCTATGTAGACACAGAGTCTACAGATAAAATTTGCCCTGGTCTTACAATGACTTTGAATGGAACAAACAAATCATTTAATACTTATTCAGCACTCAAGTATAACACACAAAGTAAAAGGACATTATTGGCACAGTTGCTTGGATCCAGCCACATGAACCTGCATTTCCTTGTGAAACAAATCAGCTTGCTGGCATTTGCTATTGGTTTAGGAGCCATTTCCCAAACACATTAGAATTAGGTGTGGACCATAAAAACTGTTTATATATTACGTTTGGGGAAAACGAATCCTGTGGTCTGTATCTGGGGAAGCAGCTAGGCACAAGTGACCTTAATAAATATAAGAGCCAGGTTACAGACTGTATGACAGGTGTTCTTCTGCAGTGAAATAGACAATTAGTGAATAACTTTTCAGCCTGTAACCTGAAGTGACATCACATCATTGGACATGGGTGATTGCAAAACATACCTGTGTGTGCCATACAGGCAATTTCCTGAGGCAATTTACACAACATAAACAAATCACTGGGACATTAGATTTGTGAGTTTTAGGACACTTGACAAATGCACCAGGGTCGGAATCAGATTTTATGGCATTTCACGTATTTTGACATGATTTAAGAGGAATTATTTTTTCCTTACATATTACAGTACTGTCTGTTGGTCAAGGTATTTGTCTAGACAGTCTGTCGATCACTCATGGACCACTAAGGTACAACACATAAAATAAACACCTTTAATGGGAAGGTGATACAGACAGCCATGAGAATATGGTCTTCAAAACCATCATAAATACTGATATCACTTGTTCATTATAAAAACACAGAAACACCCCTTCAAGTGCATAATTTCACAGCACTACCAGTTCGCAAATACACATTCACGTAACGACTGAAAACGAACGGTCATTCTGCCTCTGCTGTCAATCAAGTTTTGGGTTAAACTTAAACAGACAATGACAACAATAATGAAAAGATAAAGTTAAGGTCACTGAAATAGTGTAGGTGTAAACATAAGCAGTTAACCCTGTAGCTTGTTAATCTTTGTCCAGGGTGAGGGTAGGAGATGAATTCTCGTGTCAGCAGATCAGGAGGCTGTGGAGAGAAAAACTTGGGTGACACACTCGACCCTCTTAAGAAGTCAGTGTAATTTACTTGAAAAACGCACATCACTTTCAACAGATCATGTCAGTAGATAACTGCTGTTACTCTGACTGTAATATCATTAACATAGTTGTAGGTATCACACTTTACACACACTATACAAACATGAAATAGGAAACCTTTAATACTCTGGTGCAAACAACAGCTTTTTTAATATCTGATGCTGAAATTTTAGAGAATAACTGAGCTTATTCAGAAGGCTCACCTTGTGCTTCCAGTTCAGGAGCTGTTTTGTAGATCAGTCTGGTGTGGTAGAGTTCAAAACAGGGCACAGGACAGAGGCTGGGCTCTCCTGAACACGTCTTACAGTAATATGAAGTTTGCCTTCTCGCTGTTGCACTACTCTTCTCACAGTCTTTTGTGTCAGAGTGCTCCTCATCTTTTCTCTTCCCATCTTTCTCATTTTGTACCTCCTCTTCCGTTTTCTTCTCTGGCTCCTCCTCCTCCATCTTCTGCTTCTTTCTCTGCTCTTCTTCCTCTTCCTCCACCTTCTTCCTTTTGTATTTTGAGCACACCTTGCAGTCAGAGTCAGTCTCCCTCTTGCCCAAGAAATGCCGTCCGGTCAGGCGTGCCGGCACACCATTACATGGCTGTGTATCTCCCTGAGGTTTGGGTGACGGTGGTGGCGATGTGGATGCTTCAGCGGATGGTTGTGAGGGGCTATCTAGCAGAGCTGGTGCAATTATTGAAACAGCTAGTTGTGAACAACAAATAAGTGAATGAACCAAAAAATGAATGAATGAATGAAATAGATGCTGCATTGGATTGTGACAAGCTACATGTAAATTGCATTTATTTATTTTTTGTCTTCATGTTCTTAACTGTCTTTTGTAAAGCACTTTGTTTTACCTTGTTGTTGAAAGGTAATATGCTAATAAAACTTGCCTGGTGACAAAAGGACACAGCAACCACGGCCTGGAGGAGCATGGCTACTTTCATGAGAGATACTTAAACTAGGTTTTATATATTATATATAGGGCTGGGTATCAAACTTTCATACTTTCGTGGACCAACTGAATTGGTTTGACCCTATCGATGTTCAAAAATGCCTCATCATTCTAATAATGCTGGTGATTGGCTGTTTATTTACACAAACACATTTCAGTGTGTAAAGAGCTTAAAAATAAAACTACAGTAAAACTAAAATTTGAACCATAATGTGATATGTAATTTTCTTTTTGTTAAAATGGATTTGATGAAATTGGTACACAAAAATGAAATTGTTAAGAATCGTCAGGTAAGTCAAGGTATCGGTGTCAGTACCAATATTGAAAATTTCTGACTGATACCCAGGCCTTATAATATACTAGTATATAATATAATAGCATAATAATATATACTAGTATATGCACTATATTGATTGATGCATGACTGATGCCAAATATTCTGCATTAAAATAGCAATTTACATTTCTAACCATTTTTCAGGATTAAAATGTTTTTCCGTCAGAGTTGTATCATTGTCTTGACAGAAAAGTCTGAGATTTTATACTAAATAGAAGATCAATATTAGACCAGTGTATCAAATAATATTAAAGTTCAACCAAGCGCAATATTATATTCTGCGATGCATTTAGGTAAACATAGCAAATGCTTCAAAGTGCAAACAGTGTGTAAACAGGAGGAGATTTCTTTTGGAGAGATTTTTCCACACTTCAAGCAGAACTGGTGATTCAGCACCATCAGAGATTGACAATATCACATTAACAGAAATGGTGGAAATAGTAGAAAATTGTATAAAACTGTTTCAATCTCTATGGAGACAGATTTAAAATACTTAATACTTCAAACATGTTTCAAATGTCTGAATGAACAATGTAGAGTGTGTTCACCTGTTATGCAGTGGCTTCAGAAAGTATTCAGATCCTTTCACTTTTTGGACACTGAAGGAAACTGAAGGAGTCTGATACTTTTTGAAGCCACTGTGTTTAAATCCTTTCGTGCAGTTTCTTTGTCAGGATGCTGCTGGTCAGTGTGTAGCTCAGCTTCTGCTCTGTTCTGTGTAAACAAGGTGTAATGAGTCTAAACTATCAGAACCTGTTCAAGTGTTTTTTTAAGTTACCTGCTGATGCAGTGGAAGGTGTGGGCAGCTGGCACATGCTTTCTTGGTCCATAGTGAAGGGTCGACACAGAACCGACTTGTTCTTCATTTGACGTCGGCGAGACACAGGCACACGCATGGCGTCGGTCTGAGTACTGGCCTGGACACAGACATCAGAAATAAACAGCAAGAATAAGCAAAGAAGATCTGATCTGGTTCTTCATCATACATACTATAAGTCGCAAGACAGTTTCTTATTTCTGATCAAATATGTAGAAAAATAACTTTTGGGTGCTGCAGCAGTTAAACATAACTGAGTCAAGATCTAGAGTTATGTGTTAGATCTACCCTGAGTCAAACAGACACACACAAAGTACATACGTGGTCGAGGTTCTTGCCGTCAACGTTGGAGGTTGGAAGTGCTCCTGCAAAAGAGGAAGAAAGATATAACAGATCTGCATGCATATCCTAAATACATAAACAATTACCTAACAATCCTATATTACATTAGATTACATTCCAATGTAAAAAAATTCTACCTCTTACTATAGGGACAGAGCTTGGTTTAGTAATCCTATCATGCTGGAAAGTTGTAAGGAACTGAAAGAAACAACTGGAGAAGGGAGCTCTGCTCTGTTTTCTCTGCTGGCATCATGACCTTGACCAGGACGAGCAGCCCAAAAACAAGAGAATCAGAGATGTACTTTGAAAACACCCACCCAGGGCTATATGTATGAACTCACCAGTCAGAGCAGTATCTGCTGACACACTGGGCTGGGTGGCAGAGCCACTTGCTAATGAGACGACATCAGCAATGACAGGATTCATCTTGGAGGAGTGGTGGGGCTGAGTTGGAGCTGAAGGGAGAGAGAAAGAAGAGGGGATCATACCTGAGATAAGATGATAAATTTAATGATTTAATTTAACATCCAAGTCCAGTTAAAAAAAAGAATGTTTAACATTTTTTAACCTGGACCTTATTTTCTTAAAATTTCAGACAAAGCCATTTCTTTTCTTTTTCATTATTATTTCAAACAGTCAAAACCAAAAAAGCTACTTAAACATGTACTTGCCGCAGAGTAGTTCCCACACTGCGATGGGAACCATGCCACATCACATTTCCACTGATTCAATGTTTTAACTAGCATGAGATTGTTACATCATGTAACACTAATGTGACACAATTTACCATACGGTGTCTGTGGGGCCGTTCCAGTACCATTACTGCTGGCGTGCTGGCTTGTCTCAAAATGCAGGCAGCAGTACTGTAGAAGGCAGGGCAAGTTGCAGAAGTTGCGGACTGAACCCAAACACTGCAGCTTCTCCGTCATGTAGCCCTGTTTCCTGCAACTGTCACATCTCCCCATCTGGACCAGAAGAAGAAGGAGGTGGACAGAGAGAAGATGGAGAAAGAAATTAAAGATAAACTACAAAAAAAACAAAAAAACATATCGAACACACACTAAGAGGCTTCTTTTGGATCAGTGTACTGGGACATCCAACTCCTCACCCCGTAGTAGAGTACAGTGTACTGAGACATGCAGTGGGGTCTACAGAACTCCTCCATCCTGCCTCCGTAATGGCTGTGCAGCATCTTCTGGCCGATGCCAGAGCAGTAGGTGCAGGGACGCCAGGGATGATCCTTGTTACGAGAGGTCAGGTCATGTTTGAAGAGGAGCTTACAGCCTGGAACACACAATGGGTGGGGTATTACATTATTTAAATTAGGGTGCTATAAAGATACATTTCTGTCCACAAGACTAATGACAGATCTTGTCCAATGAGTCACTGAAATACATGAAAATAATATAGAGGGGAGGGAAAGGGGTAACAGCCATATCTGTGTTTACTCACTTTCACTGCAGAAGACCAGGTCCTGTTGGTTGTAGCTGATGGTGTCAAAGTGGACCTTGTCCTGTTTACAGCACTCACACAGCGCCAGGATATTCTTCTGGGTTTTATACTGTTCACAGCACGTCTTACTGCAGAACATAGAAATACGACCCTGCAAGAAAATTTATCATTAATATCATCATCTTGTGTAACACGTGTGTGTGTGTGTGTGTGTGTGTGTGTGTCTGTGTGTGTGCGTGTGTGTGTGTGTGTGTGTGTGTGGACACTCTATATGTATGTGTATATATATATATATATATATATACACATACATATAGAGTGTCCACACACACACACACACACACACACGCACACACACAGACACACACACACACACACACACACACGCACACACACAGACACACACACACACACACACACACACGCACACACACAGACACACACACACACACACACACACACGCACACACACAGACACACACACACACACACACACACACGCACACACACAGACACACACACACACACACACACACACACACGACCTGTGCTCCTTACTTGGTGACTGAATAGCAGTGGCTTGGTGTTAAACTGTTTGCTGCACTGATGGCAGGTCAGTTTGGAGGTGTCACTGTGCCCACCCTCTGTTGGTTTCTGGGGCTGACCAGGGGGGGCTCTGGCCTGGGCTTGCCCTGGGACAGAGGGGGAGGACATGGCTGGGTAGGGAGGCACCAGTGGGGGCACTGAGGTATGACTGGGATGATGGCCTTGGTAGGGGACTGAAGAGGGGTAGTCCTGAGGGATGGGGGGAACTGAGCTGGCGCCGACAGAGGGCCCTGGTTTGGGGGCATCTCTGATGGAGGGGTCCCTGAGAGAGAAGGTTCCATTGGTCAGGTCTGGCTGAGGTGGGTGCCCGGACTTCTAAAAAGACATGGAGGAAAAGAGTGATGTTAAATCTACGAGAAGACAAGGTTCAAACCAACACATGCTCCATCAACAAGTTTTGCTAGATGAAAATAAAACTTCCTTTGCTACTGATGCCCTTACTCTGTATATAGAAACACAGTCATAGGAGCAGAAGTTACGAATGGTGCCGTCCACCATGGCCAGATGATACTGAGGAACAGCTGACACCTTGCACAGGCAGCACGGGAATGCAGTACCTTAGAGAGGAGAGTAACAAGACAAACAAATATATCAAAAGCAATATTCAATTAACAGAAATAAATATTGCAAATAGTATGTAAACATGCATTTATGTACACTGAAAAATAATCAAATGAGCCTTCTCTGTCTTTGGTTGTGATACAGGATGCAGTAAAAAAAACTTTTTCTAAGTCAAGTCAAGTCAAAGTCTATTTCTATAGCACATTTACAAACAACCTCAGTTGACCAAAGTGCTGTACAAGCTCTACAAATATAAGTATAGTCAACAATCCCTAGTAACATGAATCAGCAATAAATATGAGCTAAAATACACAATGATCAAAGGTCTGGGCAGCTCTTACGTGGAAAGGTAGGCTGTTCCACAGATAAGGGGCCGCCACCAAAAAGTCTCTATCGCCTCTGTATTTGAGCCTGGATCTAGGAATTTCCAGGAGCAACAACCCAGCTAACCTGGCATGTGAGTGTGTGTCTCTGCAGTGTGTCCACCTACCAGTGAGAACATGTCGGGGAGGTCGACTCAGCTCCACACAAGCAGGTGAACAGTAAAGTTGAATTTTGCCCCTTTGGTCTCGTTCCATGATGGTTGAGGACACTACTGCCATCTTGTGACAGTAGGGACACTCGGCCATCTTTCTGCAGGTCTGTATGAAAACAGAGTGTTTTAGGGGTTTTACAGTTGTTTTTTTTCTGATATTACATCATTTCTGGACACTGAGGCTGAAGTTCTGAGTTACCTCTTATTGCCATATGAAGCCACTAATATGCAAAAATGGTTAGTTGTTAGTGTTAAATTTACACATCCCCGTCATAAATCCCGAAACATCTTCATTTCAAAAGGAACCAAAGGAGATTCTAAAAAATGAGTTTTTATACACCCATACCTGTTTGTAGGTGCCAATGCAGGTTGGACCACAGAAGTTGAGCTGAGATCTTTCGATCGTGAGCGTCTGACAGGAGCCTGAGTTGCTATTACAGTAAAGTCCACAGCCCTCGCAGCAGTTCATGGCTAACTGACGCATCTTGCGCCATGTTACAAAACAAGCATCACTACAGAGTCTGTGCAGGCGACCTTGATGGGTGACCTCATGTTCAATCTGCTGTAGAAATGATCCCAGTCAAACACAAGGACAAGAAAGAGAGTAAGATGAAGAGGGGTAAAGATTCAGATGCTGACTTGGCTTATCAGGCACATTGACCAAATCTGTTTTTACTGTAGCTACCTCCTTATGTCTCTTACCCTATTGGTGACTCTACAGACACTGCAAAATGGTTTTTCAGGTAGTCGCTCCACTGGTTTCTCAGGCAGCTTCTCAGGCTTCCTCTCCACTCGCTTGTCAGCCCATTTGTCAGGAATCTTGTCAGAATGTTTCTTTTTGTGTCTAAAGACAGACAAACAGAACTGGCCACAAAAGTGCATGTAGGTGCTGTCGTCTGCTGGAATCGTGATCATGTCCCTGGGCTGAACGATCTCCCTGCAAAGCAAAAGGCACAAGGAATAAATACAGTGGTCTGGAGCCAACAAAGTGGCAAACAGGAAAAAAGTTAAATATCTAATTCCAGTTGACAGACATTATTCTTAATATGCATTCAAGCTTAAATGTTTCAAGGAAACGGTACCTCCAAGTTCATTATCTGGACAAAGAGTACGGAATTAGTGAGAAAAGATTTATTTATTCTTACGACATTATTAACAAGAGCTTTCACAAACACATGGACAACGGACCGATCTGTCATAGTTGGACCGGCCATTGGGAACACCAGGTCAAATCCTGCTGCATCGGTGGACTGTCAATAAATCCATAAAGTTTTTACTGTTCCCGTCTGTCTCTTTACCGGACCTCTGTGTGTGAGACTGTCATTGAGGGTGTGCATGAGAACATGATGCATGCATGTGCTGAGACCGCGCTCACTGCCAATCACAATATGTAATCAACCGACTCAGGTTGAGTCAGTGAAAGTCGGTGTCTTTTTTTTTTTTGACACACAGTGAAGCAACAAATATTGTTCAGTTATTTATTTGTCACAAAGTACTTGGCAATTAAAATATATGTAGTGGAGCTCCTTTTGTATGGTATTTTATAATAATTCATTTAAAAACAAATAAATAATAAAACCAAAACCAACAACCCACAGAAAACATTATTTTGAGGAAAATAGCTTTTCAAAAGTATGTTAATGTTTAAGTTAAGACTCTGATTTGATATGCCAAACAGAATATTTTTTTGTATAGGCTACAATAGAATGATCTAAAACCCAAATGTAGGTACACACATTTTGTTTTTGCTATCAATGTGATGAAAATACCTCACTGCCTTGTGACAATCTTTACAGTTCCATATTTCATGGTTGAAAAACAAACTACTGATGTATTCATCTACTTAACTTTATGGTCAGCAACAGCAAGACAGCCTTTAAACAAACATAACAAACATTTTGCTTTTAACTCAGAGCTACATGGTTACCTGTCAAGACAAGGGCAACCCTGTAGCACAAGGGAAAAGCACAACATGATTATTTTCATGTGGTAAATGAATACACCTCTTATAAGCAAAGTACGAGAATATGGTAGATACATCAAACCCATAGCTAAAGGAAACCCTGATATGAAGCTCATGCTGATTTCAAGTGAAGACAAAGATGTACCTGTTGCACTGGAAACAGGATCTGTTCTTGGTGGCTGGAGGCAGATGTCCGGTCAGACAGACTGTGGAGCAGAAGAGCTGCGTCGAACCTTTTCTTTGGAAAGCGGTTTGGCCTTTCAGCAGAACCTAGAATCATTCACAGAACCATGAAACACAAAAATGACAAGAAATACAAAAGCTGCATCATTGCCCGAAGTCCTGACACGTTTAATTTCATCATTTCTAATAACCATGTCATTAATATAGCTGGCCAGTAGATTACTTATGATGCTTCCCTGTCAACATTCTACGTTAATAACATGCATCAAACAGTGGTGGTGTTAATTATTATTATTATTATTATTATTATTATTATTATTATTATTATTATTATTATTATTATTATTAATAAATTTCAACTTTTGACATTAATGGCAGTTTTTCATCAACAATGTGCACATCTGTGTAGCAGGATTTTACAACAGTACCTTAGAGCAGCCACTGCAGCGAACACTACCAGGAACAGGGGGCTGAGGTGGGCGTGGGGGTACTGGTGCCAGAGCTGGTAGTGAACTTGGGATTGGAGCTGGTGGTCTGACCGGAACAGGACCCATAGCTTGTAAGACAGTACCTCTACCTGGAATAAAAATGGCCGCTGGAGGGGGGGCTGGGATTGCTGCTGGCACTTGAGTGGATAAGAGGAGAAAGGTTGGTAAAGACGAGAAGTCATTTTGTGTAATTCTGATGACATTTAACAATAAGAAACAGGCATAGAAAATTTGCAGTTTTGAACAACTGACGGCTGATGTTCCTGAGGCACTTTGACTCATTACAGCTGGACAAGCACAGGTATATCTGATAACATTAACAAAGGCTCTACTCTATTTAAAAGTGCACAGTGGAGTTTTCTTGAAAACAAACATAACACACACCAGCATTCTAATGTGCGAGACAAACTTTTATGGTACATTTTTTGTGTCTTGTGCTGTTTTTTGGTGTTTTCTTTCTGGGTTTCGTGCAGCTCTGTATGTATTCTATTGTTGAGTTTGATGCATTGTCTAGGGATGGGTGTTGCAAGCAATAGCTTAGGCTATAATGCTGTGGTATACAGCACTGGTTAATGTTATCCCTATACAAATAAACATTAAAATACAAATACATTATAAAAAATGGAGACCCACTCATAAAAAACAATGTCTATAGTATTGCTAAACATCAAAACTCCCCAGGTTACAATCAAGTTCCTCAAATAAACTACAAGACTGAATCAACATGCACATTACCAGTGTCCTGGAACTGGAAAATCATAATGCAGTTATTACTAAGTTAAATTCCTATTTTTCCTGCTATATGTTGGAAAAGTTCTACTCGTTAAGCTTGGCCAAACTAAGCCAATTGATGTTGTAGGCAGTAACAAACTGCCAATGCCATTTCCTGTACCCCTGCTTTTGGCCACCTTGTGGTCTTATTATGAATATTAACAGTGCCCGTAAAATCAAAGGGGCATTTCATCCCAGTGATACAATATGACCACTACAAAACAACAATTGTAGTATTAAAAGGGAGAAAAACATTACACAGTGAAAGCAGAAACTTATCAACTCACCAGCAGGGGACACAAAGGTGTTTGCTCCTCCTACAGAGTAGACAGAGCTGATCCTCAGTTCTTCCTGGAATAATCAAACATAAGAAATCAGATTTTGTTTGGTGGTTCATTGTGACTTCCTCACCTCTGCAGAGTGAAGTGTCCCAAATCATGTTTAAAAGTAAAAATTACTGATGTAATGTGCCTTAATTTTGGTTGGTGCAACAGCGGTGCCCTATATACACACAATGTCTACATGTACAGAGGTTGGGCTTTCACTCCTTAGACATGCCTCCCTATGGTGACAGCACAGCAGCTGACGTGAATGAGCTTCTACCTTTCTCTCTGAGTGGTTTATTTTACAGGTAAATACAGCCAAAATCAGAGCACATTCTTTGTCTTTGACTTAGGGTGATTTTGTCAGATTATGTTGTAGTTATAAAAATCTGGATTTTAGCAGCTGGACATGTTTTGGGAGTTAACATGTAGGCTTAATAGGCTGTGTCTCAGTCACTATTTCAACCACTGTCTGACAACAGAAACAGGAAAACATGTAAATGAGAACAACTTTACTGGGAATTTGGTTGTGTTAAAATACTATATATACATCATATATATATACACACACATACATATAGATAGGAGAGAAGCAAACAGATAAAGAGCTGAAACCGGCTGACACTAGGCAGAATACCTAGACCTACAGTCTAGCCTTACACTAGGTTCTGGCCTCGTCTTGTTTCATTGACAATCAGCACACAGTATGGGCTGTCAGCAGCTTTAGTCTAATTATATTGTTATTCACCGCATGGATCTTATCTAAAATTCAATCTAAAAAAAAAAAAAAAAAATGAAAAAAAGTAAACAAGAGATGCATACTGATGACATCCTCTCCCCACACCTACCTCCTGATGCTCCAGCTCCTCTTTGATCTGCCTGATGGAACTCTGAGGCAGTAAAGCAGCGTCGTAGCCCTCATCAATGGGCTCATCTTTAATATTGATAGTAGGAGACATTGGGGGATTACTGTCCTCCACTGGAGCTGCTTCTGACCTCTGAAATAATAAGAATATTCATGATGAATCACTGAGGATTAAAAAAGGATTTTAAAAGCAGTTATTTGACTATCCCCACCTCTCCCTGCTGGCTGTCTTCTGTCTCCTCTGCCTGGGTCAGGACGCCTCCATCTGACAGAAAAGGAGAAATCGTTCTTTTACAAACAATACACACTTAAACCAAGAGTTTACAACTACACATGCTCTGCACAGGCTACCATAAATGCCAGGAAATGATGCATACAATTTCAGGGCACACTTAAAACAGTTTTTCAAAGCATTTTACATGGCTTTTATTTGATTCCTTTGGAAAAATAGTCCTAGTACATTCAGCTGTATTCCCACCTGACCTCAAAGAAGTTAAATCTCCTGTTATATGTTGTACTTGAACAACTAAAAAAAAACGCTAATTAAATAAAGACAAAATATAAGAAAATAGAGAGAAAAACTAAACTAACAGGGCTACCACTTTTGGACAGTCTAATTATGTGCTGAGAAAACCAATTCAAAATGTGTCTAATAAAAAGTTGGTTCTGTAAAGTTTTACTTTGCATTGGTAAATTCTGTGGTCATTACCTCATGAAAAAGCAAAAAGTCAAGGTAAAAAATTCCATAAATGGGTAAAATCACCAATTATTATGCAGAGCAGCTCTTACTGAACAATTCTCTCACCTGCTGGTTCAACAAACGCTTATCATTTGGGTGCTGATAAACCCCAGCCAGAGGCAATGGTAGCACACACTGCACAAACAGATTTAACAAGACTAGACCAGAGCCTAGTATGTGACTGGACCGTGCACGGTCACTGGGCAAGATTGAGGACATAGTTGAAAACTGTTGTGGAACCGCTGCAAACAATTACTGTGCTTTTGATGGTAAGTGGTTAAAGCCTGCTGGAAAAGTCACTTAATGTTGCCAGATGACATAATACGTGTATTAGCATATTCGTGACATCATCACGTCATCATCACTGCCTAGTGCCATCTGGTTTCAGCCCTTTGTGTTTGCTTCTCTCCACCTCTCTGTGCTCACATATACAGTATTTTAATACAGAATTCCCAGTAAAGTTGTTCTCATTTACATGTTTTCCTGTTTCTGTTGTCAGACAGTCGTTGAAAATAGTGACTGAAACACGGCCCATTAAGACTGGACTTTAACCAGCAGTCACTTCCAAGCCATTTCCAACCTGCTGCTCTGCTGCTAAAATCCTGAAAATATAACCATGATGTTGACAATACACATAGTTTAAAGACAACAGCTGTGCAGTGATTTAGGCTATATTTACTAGTAAAATTATCACACTGAACAGAACAGTCACACAGGTTTGTCTCTTGCTTGCTGGGCCTTACTGTGGACGCTGCTATGGAAAGTAGCTAAAGTTTGTCCAAAACGTTGCAAGATTTGTTGCTAGGTGCTTTTTTGAAGAAAAAACAAAAACAAAAAAAGTCGCTTAAGTGGTCTGAAAATGAAAGCTGTTACAGTTACACTATAAATGCCCCCTGATGACATAACAGAAAATGTTTGTGCCAAATCATTTTGAAAGAGCAACAGCCAATGGGAAAAGCCCAACAGTTGGTTGGTGTAACTCACTCTGTGGCTCATCCTGCCAAAGAAAATGGTCAAAATTGAAGTAGCTGACTTTAAATCACAAGTATGGGTCCACTTGCTAGTTACACAGGCTTTCTGGTAAAATGTGCAGTCTCCAAACCCAAATAACGCTGATGACATCATCTGGGTTATTTTCTCAGGCTTCAACAATTTCCCCCCACAGCCACAGAGGACATTATACAACTGTTTTCATAGGCTGAATAAAACTTTCAGTGATGAAGTAACTGAACTTGATGTGTAAAATGGGTGGAGTGCCCTTTTAATAACAGCTCAAAAACCAATTGTTTTGGTAGCTCAAGGCCCTGTGAAGATACTGAGATACAATACTGTGGATAGACAATTGCTATCATGCATTGGTGATCAATCTTGTCCTCTAAAACTGTCTAAATTCTGCTGTGTATGCAGCCTTACCTCTGCTGTTGTCAGGTGTGTGGTCCTGGGAGGAGTGGGAGGTGTTGGCAGAACCAACGCTATCTTCCCTCTCTCGCTCCTCCTCCACCCCTCTGGGCTCATGAGCAAAGCGATCGGCTCGACTTGCGTTGTTCCCCTCTTCTGGTTGGCTTCTTTTTCTGTTTGCCTTACTCACATCGACATCCTCCAGGGTGCCCATTGGCAGGGCAAAGTGCCAGTCTTCATCTTCTTCTTCTGGCCCATACATTGGAAGGCCATCCAGGGCGTCATCAAATGCTGCCCCTCCGCTTCCTCCTCCGCCTCCTTCGTTGGTCCTCATGTTAAAGGAGGAGGGTCGGTCAGAGGAAGGCGAAGAAATGCGGGGGAAGGATGACTCTCCCACCCCCTCATCCATCTTTTCTTCTTGTCTGCTGCCATTGCTGTCCTCTTCTTCTACCTGTTGGTGTTCCTCTTGCCCTGAAGTTTCATCTACTCCTTTTGTCTCCTCCTGACCTCCACTCCTGGAGGAGGTGGCAGAACCCCTGGAGGACTCAGCAAAGTCTCCCAATCCCATCACTTCGTCAAACACTCTGGAGAGGCGCTCTTCGTGCTGTCAGGAAGAGAGGAGTAAGTTAAACATTTTAAGGGGCAAACTCATGTCAGCTTTCTTGGGATGATGCACTTTACACCTCAAAATGCACACCACCTGGGTATATTAACAGCCCCCAAAGTATATTTGCTGACCCATTTTTAGCATTTTCTATTATTATTTTTAATCCATCTGAGATAATGACATCCGCGATCGATTAAATGATGGACAATCTCCCCTTGTCTACTCCTCCTGTACCTGTTCGTTCTGCTATCGTGAGAAGGGTCTACTAACAATTACATATGTTCTGCACAGGGTAAGTGAATATTATCATTCTTTAAGCACTAATATGTTTTACATCTAATTTCTGTATGGTTAAATTAATGCCAAGTGTCTGTTTTTCAGACTGAAAGTGGAGCACCTGGCTGCATGTCTGTGAATGTTGATGAATGGACCTGTCTTACTCTTCCCATGTGGGTAGATGGACGGGAGGGTTGAAGGGGTTAGATCTGTGAAACATGATATTTATTGTTTGTCACATGTAGTAAAGCATTTTGGTGCTGGCCCTTTCTGCCAGCTACCACAAGTACCTGGGCAAAACACTGTTTTACCCTGAGTAAATACACATATAAACTAAACCACAATATATATTTTTTTACAAAACCTAAAGTCTTTCCTCATATTTAAAATGATCTAAAGTGATTTGCTATTGATATTCTTAGATGTATGAGGTAATACCTGACCATCATGGATTAACATTTATCCCAGTTAGGATCTGGAAGATACAGATACAGATATATCCATCTGCCCCAAGATTGTGGCACAAAAGGCATTTTTTCAGTTCTCAATATATAAACAAAGTAAATGTCACTACTATATTTATGTATGTTTAAGTTTATAATATCAATTAATGCTACTACTCCTTCATTATAAAACAGGCTTGACATTAAAACTATATTCCACATTTTATCAAATTAATTAACTATCACATTTCAATAGTCTTAAACAGTTTGTCACTAACCTGACCTGAGCTGCACACAGGGAAGGCTGTATGTTCACATTAGGCACTGAAAGACTCACACTAATGTATCAATGGTTATGGTGTTATATTTAGACCTTTGTCCAGTCATAGCAGAAAAAGCACAGGTGGAACTGATAACATTAATGATGCCTCTCTTCCATTTAAGTGTCACCTAACGTTATTATTTACACCTGTACTTTTCTTGCTATGACATGTCAAAATGCCTGTTGTGGAAACTACTGGTGTAAGTACTGCACACACTGCAGCTCTTTCTTCACCCCCAAAACGGACTTGACAGTTTTAAATTCATCTGACCAGCAGGTGCCCCTGCTGTACACAGTCTGCCTCCAGCAACAAACCTATTTTCCACACGACTGGGTAGAAAGCCAACTGTTCCCCATCACCTCGATACAGTAACATATGACAGAACAGAATAGTAACACAGTAATGACAGTACCAAGCACAACTATCAACTAAGTCTGCTGTCAGTAGTGAGATGGCAAAACCTAATTTTGGCTCTTTAAGTGTTAATAAATTCTAGGTTATCTCTTAATGCTTGGGATAGGAACATTAAGGAACAACTCCTAGCTTTACTGACTATAACCTCTACGTGTCAACGTTTTGTGGAACTAGGTATACTAGCCTTGCTGTTATTATATCTTGTAATTACATATAGTAATGACTAAAGGCCTCATTGTGGACAATCGATTGGTGGGGGGCATCCCACCAAACTCCAGTTAAATTTGGGAATATATCGCGTTCTATCATATTTGTAATTATATACAAACACGCAAAAACCAAACAATCAACTAGGACATTGTAATAGTTGCTGGAGACTGCATGTACAATAGCATTTAAGAGACTTGGATTGCAACATTCAACTTAATTAAAATCTCCACTTTTTATTGTTCGCAGCAGCCCTCTGAGATGCAAAGGGCTATGTGGGAGCAGCAATCGGCTGCAAGACCTAAGTAGCATTGCTGGATAGATACAGGCTGTTTGGATTCAAAAGACCAGCGTCACGCTGTGCTGAATGTATTAATTTGTTCATTATCAAATTGTCAGGCTGTTAAATGGAGCTTGGCGTAGTGGCATGCATCAGCGCTGGAAGCTACAGGGTTGTATGCTAGCGAGCTAACGTTAGCTTAAATATGCACATCTCGCCCGGAAGCTAGCCCACATTAACTAAATGTCATATTATGTAGCTAGATCAGCTAATCAGTTAGCTTGCCGTCTGGTTGTTGCTGTAATTACATACTGTGTGTGTATTTCTTACCTTCAAACGTTTAAGTCTAAATTCCTCAGAGTCCGCCATGTTTTAATTATGCTGCAGACACCGCGCTTCTCTACACCCACCCACCTCTGAGGGTTATGGGTTATGTATGCAAGTAGCAGGCAACAAAAAGGATGCTGCTGTAACATCAATGAAGAAACAAGCTAGACGGCTAACGCTAGTAAGTTAACTGTATCAAATTGTAAGCACAAGCTCCCCCTAATGTTTTAAGATATACCTTTTAAGATATCACACAGTTTTACATATAAACCCTCCAGTAAGTACAAAACCGACAACGACGAAGAAACATTTTGATGAGAAAGATTTAACGTTACCGTATGTTAGGAACTGCGGTCGAGTGAGCCGCAGTTTGGGTTTTCTTGCGCGTCTCCTCCTCCACTTACGGCACGGGTGCTGGTAGCGGCCAAAATAGTTTCTGCAATTTATGGAAACTTATTGAAAACAGTTTTAGGAGCTATTTACTAGTTTGTTTGTTGTTTTTTTCTGATATATTTATTTGTTCTAATTTTTGATAGTTTTTTCCTTTGTTAGTAATTTGTTTATTTATATTATTTGCTTGCTAGCACCGTTATTTTTTTTTTAACTAGTATTTTATTTATTTGGGTAACATTATGGGTTCCTGAGGTTATTTATGGAGGTAGACAGATTTACGACCAGTATGCACATGGGTGGGTCTACGGTTTTTCTTTACCAGATCAGGAGAGGTAGCAGGAAACACAAACACCATTGACAGTACAGTCTCTGACCAGCTATGGCCAAGGAAATATGGTCATGGGTGAGCCATCTACTGTACTCACTTGGTTTAAGTACCCCACTACTTAATGAAAACAATATATCATCTTTATGTCTTTGACATGTCATTTACTTAACAAAGTCTTTCATATATGGCCTGGTGGTCTCCTGTCTCTTTGAGATCACAACAAATCTTTTGTCGGCCAATCATCAGGTGCACTGCTCCCTTTAAGTTTCACAGTAGCCGCAACCTTGCCATCCACTTGTGTAGTAGGCTACTTGTGTCCTGTGGCCCTTCACTGATGGAGGTACCACAAACTCTGACACCTTTACCATTTCCCAGTGATCCATCAGTCCTGGTATCCATTTAGGCCCACATCCATAGTTTTGTATATGGACAGTTTTTCTGACTGTACACTAATGAATATCTAAACTCTTTGAGATGACTTTATAACCCTTTCCAACTTCATGCAAACGAACAATTCTTGATCGTAGATCTTCTGAGAGCTCTTTGTTGCGGGGCATGGTTCACATCAGCAGATGCTTTTAGATTAGTTCTGTGCAATTTAGACAAACAGCATTAGGACAATTAAGAGGACCACAAGGAGAGAAGACAGCGTCCTGTCATCCTCAGTCTCACTATTCTACATTAGTTATTTTTTAAGTTAGATCACAGTTAATTCAAAATCATTAGCAAGGTGTTTTCATCTTTTCAGGACTCCAGTCCAGCAGAAGGCGATCTTAACAAATCTACGACTGTACCGTAAAAACGAGGGTATCGAACAAACTACAAAAAACAACCCCAAAAAACTAAAACAAAAGCAAGCAAAAATGTGGACATACAACATACATGTATATAATGAGGTCCCATCAAAACTCTAACAACTACGCGGTGATAATGAGCGTTTTTCAGAAAGTTGGGTCGCATTTATAGTATCCACTACGGTATCCAACAGATTTCAGTGCATAGAAATACACAAACTAGAACAGAATGCACCCTGTCTGTTAGTGAAAACCCAATCTATGGATGTGTACTTTTATGTAGGACGACCCGAATCTTTCATCCGGGTTAAGCAGTCATCTAGACGTTTTCAGGAAGCAGTAGAAAGGGGCAGTTGAGTCAACATTTGTTGTTGTTGTAACTTACGCTGCGCCCACTCCCTGTCTCACAGTCTGGTCCGCGGACCAGCGGCGTGTTTGTCTCGGTGTAGGCTGAAGTCTCTTCACCGGCGGATGAATGGCAATGACTGCAGTGAGAGCGGTGGCAGCAGCGGGGGGCCCGGCGTCTTTGTCCCGGTTTAGGGGAGCGCTGGTCGCGGCTGTGCTCGGTGACTGTGTCGGCGGAGAGTTTGAAGGAGCGGAGGAGGTTCCCATGGAGAGTGTGCTGCAGCACCTGAACAGCCTGGACGATGAGACTAAAGGAAACGGTTAGTGAGAGCATGGGATTTCATAACAGTCCGGCCCCACACTGTAAGGTGCTGTTGATAACCGTGGAACAGATGCACGGTAACAGAAACACTGACCCCGGCCTCCTGCTCTCTTCACCCATGTCAAGATGTAGAGCTTGGGAAGCCTTACACAGTAGGAAAATGAATGCTATAGGCCTACAGTCCGGCCATTACTCAGATACCAGATATTAAACTAATGCATGCGTTGTAGATTATCAAAATTAGAAATGACATTCATTTTTATTTTATTGGAGAAGTAATTTAAGCACTAATTCTGGACTACAAAATTTGCAGCTGCAGTCTATATTATAGAACAGCGCTGGAATACTTGTAAAGATGATATGTATAATGCACCTTATATATATATATATATACATATACATGTATGTGTGTGTGTGTGTCATAGGCATTCTTGAATATAGTGATGACACGGCAATGGCTCGTTGTGTGGTCCAGTCCCTACTCACCCGTACCGGTTTTGATGAGCAGGACATGGCCCGCAGGTATACAAGAGCCACTGCTGACGTGTGTATGTATTGTAGTGCATCAAAGGTTTGTGAAGTAAATTGAGGACAGCATTCACAAACACGCAGACTGAAGCTCAGGTATCTCGTCCCTCTAGGTTTGCTAAGGAGTACAGTGCATCTCCTGGTCGTGGTTATGGTTCTGGGGTGATCCAGGTGCTGAAGAAGCTGTCCTCCCCCCAACTCAGTGATGTGTACCAGCCAGCCAGGGACCAGTTTAATGGTCGGGGCTCCTTTGGGAATGGGGGGGCCATGAGGGCGGCTCCCTTCGCACTGGCTTTCCCTGACCTGGATGATGTTAAAAGGGTGAGCAGAGGGTGTCTTTGTGGACTCAAAGCACGTTATAAATGACATACATGACACAAGATGTCTTAAGAATATTTTATCATTTCATTAATACTATAAGTCATGCACTCCATTGTGCTGGTTCCTAGGGAGTCATTGTCGATATATATTAATACTTTTTCTTTGCTGGTTCATGCTTTTTCTTATCTGTATTTTTATAAACAGTTAACATTATTACTGGAGTTGTTTTTTCATTATCTACAAATAGGAGGAATATATCACTGACTCCTCTTCTTCTGTAGTGTCAGTTCAGTTCAGTTCAGCTTCAGCCGCCCCACATGATACCCCTGTACATGACTCTCATGTTTTACCCTAAAAACTCTAGTTTTAATGTCTTTGTCAATTATCTGGGATGCGAATACATCAGATTTCAACACAATCAGAGGAAGTAAAAGTTGGTGTTTTTACAGCCTGGTGCTGACAGCAGTGAAACTGAGAGTGTTGGAGCAGCCAACAGAAATGAGTCGCACTGCCCTGCCTTGTGCTGTCTAGCGTTGTACTGCCCTCTGTTTCCACCATTCGTCTCTTCTCCCATCACAGTTAGTTTTATGGTTTGGTAATTCGAGTCGACTCAGGGTCTTATTGACTGATGCATCGACTTTTAGTGGACAGCTCTACAAACCTCCTGACAGCCAATCTCCAGGTGCATAAATAATGACTACTACTTAACAACCACGCTACACAAAGAGGTATCAGGAGACACCTAGTGTTGTTACAGGGGTTGGTAAGTATGTTAAATTGTTTGAGAACGTGTATTTGTTTGTTGTTACATGTCGGCTGCTGTGACACAGTAAACCAGAGGTGTGACCAAGTTTACTTTTACTGTCCTAATTGGACACTTGACTCACAAGTCTCAAGTAAATTATTAAATCTACACATAAGGTCATGTCAGAAAGCATTTATCAGCTCCAGCACCAATTCACTTCATGAAATTTAAAAAATAATGCATGAGTTTCATGTTGCTTTAATGATAGCTTTAAAGGTAAGTATACATTTCATCTCAGATCCTACCTATAATTACATAATCATATATCAAATCCTACTCAAGTCAATTTGAAAGAGGATCCAAATCAAGTAAATAGTCTGATAGTTCTTTTCATAAATCAGTTCTCAAATAAATAAAGTACAAAGCAGATCATGTTTTCTCGCTCCCAGTCAGCTCATGTACATAACAGTGTTAATATATAACGTGCAACTCTTAGAGAAAGATGAAGACTCAGACCTGTCTTTGTGGTTTGTGGTTTGTGGCTCAGCACTTATACAGAGATCAATGGTCCCCACAAAGTGAGCGCCTCGAAATGAGAACCACCCAGTCTCTTATACTATAGCAAACAAGAATGTGGGGATTACATTTCCCCATTACAGTAAGAAGACAGGATACAAATACAATTACACTAAAATCTTCCACTGCATAACACAGAGACTGTGACATGTGACACTGTGGTTACCTTACCACAGGAACAAGGGTTTTATTTTGGTTCTGCTGTGATTGACAACCTAAGCTTCACTTCTGCATAAAACAGGACAAAATAACAGTGTTTATTAAAGTATTTATCCGTAAACCACATGTTTACCTTCAGATTTCCTCTAAATTATGACTCGCAATGAAACACACCAAGTTGCCTGGAAGATGAGTTGGTCTGATTTCTCTCTCGTTTTCTTTCCTGTCCAGTTTGCTCGCCTGGGCGCCATGCTGACCCACTCCTGCTCTCTGGGTTATAACGGAGCAGTGCTGCAGGCGTTGGCTGTGCACCTCTCCCTGCAGGGGGCGCTAGACTTACCTCAGCAGTTCATTAGCAGGCTAATCACAGAGATGGAGGAAGTGGAGGACGATGAGGCGACACGCAGTGATGCCAGAATGTGAGTACTACGTGATGAAAGCCTCCGTGTGTCTGTGCTGAGGCAGACGTAGAGGCTTTAAGATGTCTGTTGGATCTGAAGTTTGGTGTTGTTTTTCAGCATCAGTCAGTGTAAGTGTTAAACATGATGTGTCTATACAGCTTGAAGGAAGCAGACAAGCCATTCTGTGAGCGCCTCCACAGAGTTAGAGACCTGATGGACAGGAGCAAGGTCAGCATAGAGGAGGTCATCTCTGAACTGGGTTAGTATCTGTTTCAGTATATTTCTGTTGAACTTCTCATCCAGCTTTTCACCTGTTGTCCATCCCTCCTTAATCATCTTTCTTATATTCTGTCACTTTGTGTGATTTAGGCTGAGAACAGAGCAGAATTTTAACATATTGTAAAAATGTTGCCTATAGCCACGTGCATTTCAATCTTTCCAGTCTGTGAACCTGTCTTCCCTTCCAGGTAATGGCATCGCTGCACTCCACTCAGTCCCCACGGCCATCTTCTGTGTCCTCCACTGCCTGCAGCCCCGGGAATGCCTTCCGGAGAACTACGGCGGCCTGGAGAGGACAATAGCGTACAGCCTGGCCCTAGGAGGGGACACGGACACCATCGCCTGCATGGCCGGGGCCATCGCCGGGGCTCACTACGGCATCGAGGCCATTCCACAGTCCTGGATGAAGTGCTGTGAGGGGGCAGAGGACGCGCACATGAACGCGGAGCGGCTTCACATGCTGTACCACCAGTCGTCACAGGGGGGCGGGAGTGGGACAGGGGAGAAGAGCTGTGCAAACGGTACAGAGAAGAAAACTGAAGCAGAGTAATGCTTCAAATGGATTTTGACAAAAGGACCCTCATACACAGAAACAGATTAAACATACACAAGAGACACTTTGTCATTTTCCATTTCAGACTTTTTTTGTCTGCAGATGCAAACACTTTACATTATACCCAATCCCCCTGTCCTTCCCTTTCCTGTTTTGTGTTGAACAATCTTTTGTCATGTGAAATTGCACTATGAATTGGCCATGTGTTGTTATCCTTTATCCTTTTGGTGGATAACAATTATTTAATAAACTTTTTTTTTTTTAAATTCACACAATTTGTATGAGTGTCTTTGTATTTAAGACTCACAGGGAGCATTTGTTTCAGGAAGGTCATCTCCATCAAGATATTATTATTATTTATCTTGTAGCCCAGTGTCCACTCACAGTGGATTAAGACAATAGCAAAATATACTGCACATAAAGTGAGTGATGCACAAGGCTGAATATGGAGAAAAATGGAGGACAGCCAGTTTTGGAAAACAAGACTAAGAATCTGCAGCCGTGCTCGGGGCTGTGAGGCTGTACTAACGAACAGCAGTACTGTGAGCTAATTGCTAACATCAGCATAGTAACATGCTCACCTGCTGATGTTTAGCAGCTGTAATGTTAATTTGTTTACCATCTTAGCTTAACGTATTAACAATAACCACAAAGTACAGCAATGGCTGATGAGAACGTTGTTAACTTTGCAGGTTTTAAGACATAAAATCACATGATAAAACATTGGACAGAAACAGTTTGACTTGATGAAGCAATGAAATGTTAAAGGATCACCAATGTTTTTACAGTTCATCCTCAGGGGGACAGGAATGTGTGTACCAAACTTTATTGCAAACCATCCAATAAAAAAATGTCAGTCTGCTGGTGGTGCAGGGGGAAAAGTCAGTGGATCACCTCCATTCATCCTCTGGGAAGCAGGGATGTCTGTACAACTTGCATGGCAATCCATCCTTGAAATATCTCAGACTGGACCAAAGTGGTGACTCAACATACCAACACTGTGGAGTCATTCCACCAGCATGTCTAAAAAATACAAACCTTGTTTTCTTTTCATGCACTGTCTCTGAAGCACAGCTGATAATGTATAACTTTATTGAAATCACAAGTCACATCTTGTTCTTTAAAACTGTAACACATGATATTTAAAACAGTAACTGTTTAACTGTTTCTTTTTTATTTGATGCTCTGTGATGAACGTTTTTCTGCTGCTTTTTCTGCTTAAAAATGCAGCAATTACCTTGTGGTGCTTTTTCTCACTTTGGCTCATTATAAGTGTTTGGAGAACAGTAGAAACTCTGTTCAGAGTTTGCATCTTGTACAAGAACACAGGAAGTCGTGATTACCGCTTCTCGCTCACTTCCAAATTAATGTATTATCATTCAAGAAAAAAAAACTTGATACTTAATTGGACATTTTCTGTACAGACCTGGGTGTTTTCTTGTAAATAAAATCTGTTCAAGATTCATTTTCATGGATCTGGAGTGTTTAACAAATGAACATTTATAATGAACTGAAATAGAAATCTGTTGCACAGGCAAACTTAAGAAACATTTTCCCACATTCTCTCTGATTTGAGTCAGAAGTCAGCAAAATAAATACTGAGTGCACTTGTGCAAAAAGGCAACACATACCAGGAAATTCAAAGAAAATTATTGATGCTTTTTGGAGATTTTTACAAGCATCTTGCGTTTACCAGCACTAGCTTATAAAAGGTTAAAGCAGAAGAGAGAAATGGGAGGTAATACTGTTATTATGTTATTGTATGAAGAATGTAACCTGCAATGTTTGAGTGTCATAACAAAAACAGGTGTAGTTAAAAAAAAAAACGCATGCATAAGAAGTGGAAATCACAGGTTTTTCTCTGCCGGGGCGACCTCTAGGAAGAGCTGCAGGAACACTGTTAACTTGGTCAACAGGCTGGGGCAGAGCTTGTAATGGATAAAGGGTATGTAGATTATGATTCCACTGAAGATAAATAAAGTCACATAGAGGTATTCAATCTGAGGATTGTCTATGATCGGTGCCAGCACGAGGAATATTGCTGCAATGAGGACCAGGATGGGGAGTATAATGGGAACCTGTGGAGAGAGGTAGAGACAAGCATGACAGCAGGCTGTGAGTCTCATGCAGTGTTAAAAAAAAGAGAGAAATGTGTGTGACACTGACCCTGTATGGCCTGGGGAGTTCTGGCTTCTTGATCTTCAGATAGAGGAGTCCAGACAGGGTGATGGCGTAGAAAAACCAGGCGGTGAAACTGACAACAGCAGTAAAGATAAATGTCAGACAAACACAAACAGACTGTTTCTTTTCCTAAAGTAACGAAGAAAAAAACCCAGACCCGGCCTTCACCTGAAGAAGTTGACGATACTCTGGAAGTCTCCAGGGATCAGCACCACCAGAGACACGATGGTGGTGAAGATCAGCGCTGGCGATGGAGTCAGTCTGCGGACGTGAGCCATGGACAGAATATCTGGCTACGGAACAAACAAACAAACAAACAAACAAACAAACACACAAACAAAACCCTGTCACAACAATCTTATACTCAACAGTCAAACATATTTTTTATAGCATGAAGAAATTCTCACCATGTGCCCTTCCCTGGCAGCAACAAAGCACACACGGCCTCCGCTGAAGAAGGTCCCGTTCAGGGAACCAAAAGCTGACAATGCTGCAGCCACAGACATGATCCACCCCCAGCTCCCTAACACCTTATTCCTGAGGGAAAACGTGGAAGTTGTAGACATCTGCTTCAAATAGAAAGTATATCATGGGGCTTGGGTACATTACTCTGATTTTATTTTCACTGTTTAAAAGGTCATTAGGGATTTCTAAACTACACTAAATCAAAAGTCTTATCAGATTAAAGCCTGTTTGATAAAAACAACAAGTCAATCTAGATGAATCTAGACCCATCTACCACAGTCTGTGACATCATCATCAGGGGCTGCCTTACCCCCAGGTAACTGCCACTGCGCTGGAAGACATGAGCTCTTTGGGGGTCATCACTGTCAGGTAGCTCACGTTCACCAGCAAGTACAAGCCGGTCACCAGAGAAATGGCGATCACCACTGCCCGAGGGAGATTGACCTGAGAATAAAAAAGACAAAATGTTTAGGTTTTGATCAGTATGCTGGAATCAGGTTAAATAAGGATTTAGGCAGAAGTTAGACTCCAATGTTGAATGAAATTATTAAAAAGTCTGAGTGCAACCAAGAGCAATAAGTGCTGTGAACATTTAGAGTTGAACCATGATTACAGAGAGGTCTGAAAACATATGGAAAAATAATCAAAACGCATCACCTGTGTATCAACCCTTCACACAGTATCTTGTATAGAAGAAATTGTGCATGAGGATGTGCAAATGATTAAAGTAGTGTGACTGAATAATGCAGCATTTACTTGAATATGACAGTGATGAATGCAAAGAATTAATCAACAACCAAGCTTAAATTATTCAGGGTCTGTCAGCTAAGAAGTAAATGTTTTAACCATAAGCATTTACCATCAGTCCTTGAGTCACCTCCTACCTTCCTATTTAAAAAAACACACTGCCCTACAAACCCTCATTGGTTGTTGTTTTTATTAGGTAAGATTAATCTAAAAGCTCTGCTAAGCAAACTGTCTCAGACACTGAGCATCAACAATTATCTTGCAACAGTTACATTAATAATAAATGTATAAGACATTTACTTTGGAAAGCAACCACAAATCATTCAAAGCTCTATAAAGCTCTTTCAGTAAGAGTCAGCAAAACCAAAAATTTTATGCATTCAGCTCAAGCTGCCATGAACAAGAAACCCTATCAAACACAAAGATTAACCACTGTCATTAACTTGAAAATGATTTACATCACATTTTTTATGAAGGCTAAAATTCCCACAATCAGGGTCACATTGATATCACATCTCATCACTGCAGAATAAAATCAGTTAATAAAACAGTTTGGCTCTTGAACCTCTACAGTCATTGTTTGTTTTTACATAATCAATTTTAATTTTCGGTCACATAAAAGTACAGCCAAGATCCATAGAAATTATGTGAATAAAGAAAAACATTAACTATAACGTCATCTGACATGGGAAACCTTCTGTGTGACCTGCTATTCTTGCCAAATAATATTATGTTATATTTCAACTGCCGCTTGTTGCTTTATTCTTGTATTTTATATAAAAGATACACTGCACACATGCACATGATAAAAACACTGGCGAATGCTCACCTTCGTCACACTTAGATAAGACTTCAACCTCATTGTGCTTTACGATCACACTCTTCGATTGCCTTTACACACACACATGCACAATCCATCTTCTCACACTCTCACCTCTGGTCTTTCCAGCTCCTCAGTGACATAGTTCAGGTTGTACCAGCCAGCATAAGACCAGAGTCCTTGATAGAAAGCCATTCCTAAAGTGCTCAAAGAGTACTGAGTCCCTTTAAATGCATTCTCAACTTTCAAATTCTCCACAATGACAGAGCTGCTCTGTATGAGCTCCACTAACCCTCCGATTACTATGAATGTCAGTGTCAGCACTTTGGCCACCAAGAAGACCACCTGGATTCTCAGAGCGATGCGGACATTCAAAATATTGGCTATGGCCACAACCAGTATAGTCACGGCAGCAGCACACTTCACTACCAGCTGTGGAGGAGGGCAGCCTGTGTAAAAAGGTGCTACAGCATACTCTGCTATGCTAATTGCCATTGCTGCAATGCTGAACGGCTTCACAACCAAGATAAAAGTGAAAGCTGCAAAAAAAGCAGGACCTGAACCATAGATCCTCAGTATGTAGATGAAGTCCCCACCAGATTCAGATATGATTGTTCCAAGCTCAGTGTAGGACAGCGCTCCAAACAAAGCTACAACTCCTGAAAGAGCCCAGATCACAAGACTCGCTCCAGGGCTTCCAACGTAGCCCAGAACAAACTGTGGGGACATGAATATACCGGAGCCGATCATTGTTCCTGAAACCAGTGCTACACCACCAATCAACCCAATTTCCCGTTTCATTTTCAGGCCGTCAGGTTCTTTGTCCGCCATGGCCACACAGATCACAGAGCACAAGGTTAAGACACCGTAGTTGTAATTCAGCCTTACAGAGCAGACACCCAGACAAAAAAGTATTCACACACACAGAGACTAAAAGCTTGACATATCATAAAATGTAGATGATCACAGGGCAGTAAAAACTCTTTATTGTAGTCTTCTTGAATTTAACATTAACTCGACTGTAGCTGTAAATCTGTCTACATCCAGGTCTTGACTCAAAGTTCCCATCTGAACTTATCATGCAATCTCTTATCTGGATATAATCATTCCTGTGTCATTCAACGGTTCTATTATTCAAGCAGCACTTTCACTCATTGTGTTATTTACTGTCAGGCCTTAAAAAAAGATCTATGTGAGAGGTGAGGTTCCTGGGCAATGTGAATTTTTTCTTGCTTTGTTGAATGAGTCAACAAGACCAATAAACAATGATGAACAATATATAAACAATAAACCAAGGTAAATCAAAATTTTTACTAGTGAGAGAAATAAAACAAAGAAATGGTTTTGAGGTAAATTAATATTAATATTTCAACAGTACAAAATAAGCATCTGTCTGTTTTTATGAACATATACATATACAAACTTTTATTTACCGTTAATAGGCTATCAGTCTCATGTGAAAGGTGATCCATTAGTTTGAAAAACAAACAAACAAAAACATTTTTTTTTGTAATATGTGAAAGTGTGAGAGTTGGATGCTGATCTAAGCATCGTTGAATTGAAGAGTCTAGCCTTGCTAATTTTAGATTTTGAGAAAAAATGTACAGCTGAGTTTATGAAAATAATATTATAGCTAACAATATTAGCTCGCTGTAACACTAGCTTGCTAGCTTTAATTCTTTGTGAGTGTGGGCTAAGCATCTGTGGTGATGTTACATCATTTTAATTATTCACTTGCTTTTGTATGTAACAGGATTTTTATGTCAGTAATTTAAACATCAATGATAATAAAGCTGAAATAATGTTTTTAACTGTCTGTGTCGTAGGCCCATCAATTTGAAATCAGTTGGCAATAATCAAACATTTCTAAAAAGAATGTGTCATATAACATTTATGTTGCAGTTAAAGTAAGACCAACATCAAAATTTGAAAATAAAGTTAATCTAATGCATGAACGCCAAGTTTGTATAGATTAAAATGAGTCATGAAGCAAGATGCCCCCCAGGGGCTTCTTTATCTTCCCCCGGTCCTGGGGGAGGATGCCCCTTCACAAGATTTTACATTTAGCTTTATAACAACACAGTGTAGTCTGTTATGATTTAATTACCTTCTACATGTGTTGACTTAAGGATTCTTGTGTACGTATTATATTGATATTCAAGATATATATAATTTAAAAGAAAATAGACATTGTTCTTATGGGGGTGTCTTACCCCAGTTTACTCTAATCTTGATCGTAGATCTGAAGTCTTAGTAGTTTGCATAGACATTTTCATAAGTATATAATCTAACAATTTGATATTTGCCAACAGTATAATTGTGTTATTTCATGAAATAGATGAAAAGTAAACTTTCTTACCTCTGGATGTTTCAGCTCTTCAGTTAAATAATTCAAAGTATTCCAACCATCATAGGACCACAAGCCCTGATAGAAAGCAATACCAATGGAGCTGACACCAACATTCGTCCCATCAAAGGAATTATCAAAGTTCTGCGTGTTGCCCTGGAAAAGCATCACAACACCTCCGAGTGCGATCACTGCCATTGCCAGCACTTTGACTACCATGGACATCACCTGGATGGAGGTGGCCAAGCGGACACTCAGACAGTTAACTATGGCCAGCATCATGATTCCTCCTGCAGCCACACACTTCACCACCAGCTGTGGAGGGATGCAGCCCTCGTAAAACGGGGCCACAACATATTCAGCAAAACTAAGGGCAATTCCTGTGGCACTGGCAGGCCTCATGACAATGATGAAGCTGAAGACAAACATGAAAGCCACCACTTTCCCTGCCGTCCGCAGCATGTAGATATACTCTCCTCCAGACTCCGGTATGACTGTGCCCAGTTCAGCATAGCAGAGCCCCCCCAGCATGGCTATGAACCCACAGCAAGCCCAGACAATAAGGCTGGCTCCAGGGCTGCCAATGGTGGACAGCACATACTGGGGGGATATGAAGATCCCAGATCCCATCATGGTTCCAGCAATGAATGACACAGCTCCTATGATCCCCACTTCTCTCTTCAGATTGAGCTTCTGGTTGTCACTCTCCATTGTTTGATAGCTGGTGTCTCCTTAGAGGCATTCACAGTGGACACTGCACATGTGTAGACCTAGCTACAGATTAACTGCTCTCTGTTGGGTAATGTCAGGGCTGTGTCCACAGTAGGAGGTGAAACATCAGCCACTAAACCAAGGTGTGGCGAGGTTGTTTGTCAGTAACAATTCTCTGGATAGACAATCACCTGAAAACTAATTTAAAATATACTGTTGCTTCGTCGTATTAGAGGTTATTGTTCTGGCTGATGGGAATATTGAGGAATATTTTTCTGCTTGTCTGTAAAGTATTATAGGGCAAAGACATACTGAAAATGTGTTTTATCCGATTTCACTTCTCATACTCCTATTAATTGGTCTGTCTATTGACCTGACATGTTCTCCAATGTTTCCTTTAAAGAAATATAATGCTCCTCCTGCCATGGGCAGTAGGGGAATAAATACATACATGTGCACTACAAATTAATAATTATGTTTTTCTAAATTGACAAAATGAAAATACATTTACTGCATATTTATTTTAAATCTATTTTTGCATGCTTCTCCTTGTGCTATTGTGGGTTAGCTCTGGGTGCTCCTGTGTTCGACCCTCAGTCCAAACACATAGAGGTAAACAATATCCAGTGGTGTGAATGTGTCCTGTAAATGTGTTTGTTTGTCTGTATGTGTTAGTCCTGGGACAGACTGGCGACCTGTCCAGGATGTCTCCTACCTCTAACTCAGCCTGAGATGAGATCGGATGTTTGTGCAAGATAAGTGTGTATAGAAAATGGATGAGATCTTATTTACTCTTATATTAATTCATTTCTGAAATTCAGCCATGTAATGCAGATGTGTTAGCTGGGAGGAAATGTGTGTTATAGCTCGAGTGAAACACCAGATTTATAATGAATTACCACATTATATCACCATGTTAAATTCTCTCCTGAGAAGTTTGTGACATCGAGAGATCCACTGATAGTCAATGCACGTATGAGTTTACTCCACAGAATGACAGCCTCACTGTTGCAGTCCCCTGGATTTACTTAAAAACCATCATCAGAGGCAGTTTGGTGTCAGGAAACCACAGCAAATATCTCATGTGTCAGCTGACTGCATCCATCAGGCTGATGATGTCACCGGCCTTGTTCTGTCTTAGCCTGTGACATCAGTCTAATTGACCCAATCAGCTGACAGACCCGGTATTTATTTGCTCCTGATGATAGCTTAAGTAAGCAAAACTTAAATCTTGAGAATGAAGCATTGCCTCTGTCATTTTTGGAGTAACCTTACTCTTATCGGTTTGGGACACTTGCTATTCAAACCCTCTCAACATGGCTCCCTCAGTGAGAAGCAGCAGTGGTTCAGCTGCAAGCTCCTTCTAGATGCCAAATTCCTCATGCTCAACAAGCAAAACTTATTTTGGCCTCTTGTGTCTTGTGTGATTCTTTAGGTCACAACTCAAAGCCCAGCTCCAAAGGTGACAATTAGGATTTAAATTGAGGGTTTCACCTTGTGGTTCAACTCCCTCATCACCACAACAGTTCACACCAGCGTCACTTCTGATGATCTCCCAGTTTTCCTGTTTATCTCTATCTTATTCTCACTCAGGTGCAAGAAAACCTATACATATCTAAACTCCATTCAGGCAGCAATTCACTCCCAACCTGCACTTTTCCAGCACAACAGCATGGCCTCCTACTCTGACTGCAAACTATCCTACTAAACTATCCTAGCGTGCACTGGAGATCATGACCCGGTGAAGCCAGGAGAACTACATCACCTGCAAAAAGGAGAGATGCAGTCCTGAGATCACTATTCCTGAGATGCCCCATGGCTGTGCCAAGAGATTCTGTCCATGTCAAAAACAAACAGAACCAGTGATAAGATGCAACTTTGCCACAGCCCAACATCCATAGGGAATATGCTTGAGCCACACACCAAGTAGCAATGACCCTGGTACTACTCCTACAGTGCACACACACGACAGCCTTGAGAACACAGCTGTAAGACAAGTCCACAAAGCACATGCGCATTGTTCTCTCCAGGTTATTTACAAGAATAAAGACTCGTCCACTGGTTTGTGACCAGGACACAATTAGCACTGGATGACAGTTTACTGTGCAGAATGTGCAGTTATGTCTCAACAACTGGAGCGTGTCCTTCAGTAACATGACTGTCATGACATATTTCCACGACTTGGTTGGTCAAACAAACACACTGGGGAAATTTAAAAAAAAAACTTTACCAGGAACACACAGTTCTTTTGTGGAACAAAGCAACAATGTGTAGGCTACTTTTGAATAAAACAGCACTTTAACTCAAGTAAAAATCTGACTGAACAACTTTCACTAGTACTGGAGAAATATTTGATCAGGTTGATCTATACTTTTACTCAATTAATGGAGCTATGAATTTTGTCAGCACCGGGTATCAGTGTGTCTACAGCAGCTGAATTGATGACACCTTTGTTGGTGTCAAGGTGGGTCACCAGCACGCTGGTTGCCTGCGTCATCTTGCTCTCTCTAAACTTCACTACCACAGTGAGTTATTGCCAAGCCAGGAACGGAGGATGATGTTGGCATGTGAATAGTTATTCTCTTTGATTTTTTCAGCTAAGCTTTCTATTGTGGAATGCAGTTTTATTTTTTTTTCTATCATCAATAAGCATTTTTATTGTATTGTATTGTGCAGTCAGACTATTTTAATCAGATATTAAACCTTTTTCAAATCCCTGAACTTAAATTTCTTACTTTATAATCATGATCAGACTGCAACATATATTTGCAATCACCTTTAGTCTTTCACTGCCACCCTACATCATGTATTCTTTATCAAGTCATGTGAGTAGACAGTACACAAGTTTAAACATTAACTGAAGTCCACAGCAATAATAATCTATAGCTCCTCTCTCGTGAAGAAAACATCTGTAACTTTGTTTTTAGTGTGATGTGTGGAGGACAGCTGGTGCTGGAGTGTCAAGGTCGGCTCGACATTGACTGCTTATGGGTCCTACTCAATATTTCCTCCAGTGCAATAACACTTTGCACTGAAACCTTGTATCCCCACTGACTTACCTCTGGACGTTTCAACTCTTCAGTCACATAATTGAGATTGTTCCAGCCGTCATAGGACCACAGGCCCTGGTAGAAAGCAATGCCAATTGGGTTGATGCCCAGATTTGTGTTGTCAAAAGAGTCTTCAAAGTTTTCAGTGTGACCTTTGATAAGCATCACCACCCCTCCTATTATAATGACAGCCAGGGCCAGAACCTTGGCCACCATAAAAAACACTTGGACTGACATTGAAAACCGCACATTAAGGCAGTTCACAACGGCCAGCGTTATAATCGCAGCTGCGGCCACGCACTTCACCAGCAGCACTGGAGGGGGGCAGTCGATGTAGAAAGGAGCCACAACATACTGAGCGAAACTCAACGCTATGCCAGCAACACCAGCGGGTCGCACAAACAACACAGAGCTAAAGATTAACATGAAGGCGACGACTGGACCCGAAGTCCTGAGGATGTAGATGTACTCTCCTCCCGATTCTCTTATGACAGTGCCCAGCTCAGCGTAGCAGAAAGAGGCCAGTATCACCAGTAAACCGCAGCAGGCCCACACCACCAGGCTGGCTCCGGGGCTGCCGATGGTAGAGAGGACCGTCTGCGGGGACATGAAGATCCCAGACCCAATCATGGTCCCTCCGATGAGGGACACGGCTCCTACCAGACCTAGTTCCCGCTTCAGGCTGAGCTTCTGTGTCTTTTCGTCCATAATCACAGCTGTTGTTTGACACCTTTACCAGAGGAGAAAACGCTATAATTCTGTGACCAAAGTCACTCTTACAGCAACTCAGGGAGTTAATAATTATATGGGTGGGCCATACAACTGAATATTTACAGGAAGCTGTTTTGCTTTTTATCTTATCTGTGATGGCCCCATATCTTTATTTGGCTTTTCTGGTTGGTTCACACTCACAAAGACATTACACAAATCACTCTCCTGCTCACAGATATACCTTGTTGGTATACTTGTATTTCATCTATTCAAATAAAACATTTTGCATAGTTAGAGTGTGACAACACAGAGAGTCTGATTATTTTTCAGAGCATTAGTGTAAGAAGTATTCCTTATATTCTTTAGCTAAAAATTTCTAACATGATTTACCAGCAAAAACAGGCAACACAGCCTGGAGTCATTTCAAACTATTCTAAATTGGGTATAAAAAGCCAATATTACATTAGTTTATCATTTGAGGATAATTTTAGCACTTTCAGGACAGGCATTGCTACAAATATGAACTATTATCAAATAATGGTAATGAAATAGATCAATATAAGAAAATATTTATACTGTGCTGAATCTGGAAACACATCCAAACAAGGAAGGGATGTTTTTACAACATCTTATCAGTGATCAGCTACAACAGAATTTACCAACCAGAACAATGCTTTATGATCTCTTGTGGCTTGATGTTTCTGGACGGTGTCCAGCTGTGAGACATCAAACAAAGACAATAAACATGTTTTGTTCCTCCGGCATGTTCTAGTTAATGTCCAAATATAATAGAGTGAATTCTTATCTTTTCCTGATTAGCACTTTTTTGAGGTGAAACCAGGTAACGTGTCAAAACAGTCCACCATCACAGACCTGCAGTCAGCAGGGTCCAGGGTCCAGGGTCATCCTCGTGTAATCACATAGATCCTGATGGGATCTTATATGTACAGTAATTATCTACCTGCGGTCCCTCTTCTATCCCTCCAGCTCCATCAGGAGGCCTTATCCTCCCCTCCTGTGATAAAGAGGTGAACAGTCTTGTTGGAGTGCAGCATCTGTCCGGCTCGCTGGGCTCCGCCGATGGCAGCCAATTTGTGGGCATCGTAGCGGGAGTAGAGGGCAGTGCAGGTCCAGCTGGCCTCTTCCCCCTGACCCCCCGCTGCCAGCATGTTACACACCTCGCTGTAGAAGTGGGGGAAGGAGGGCAATCCGTAAAATATCAGGTTCCTGATCCCTTTGATGTTGTACCTGAATAACAGAGGGCAGAGGTCAGGGTTCCTGCAGGGCTCACCAAGTTTACTTTAAGACTTAAATCCATGACAATTTAATCCCTGTTTCACAGTAGAAACGATATGGTCTAAAATTGTTTATTAATTTCATCACATTTTTTCAGTTTTCAGCTATAGCTATACACTGCTGGCTGATATACAAACATTTTACAACTATGATTTTTTTTTTTTTTTTTTACCTTCTACGGCTTTTTTTGAGGAAACTGAATTCAATGTTCAAGACTTTTAAGGACCTGCAGACACACTGAAAATCAGCAGGAGTGTTGCAGTAGCTTGTGTAATGACTCTATTAGCATATGTTCAGAGAGAAGAATTATATTCATGTTTGAGGTCACTTTCCAGATATATTCAAAGGCAAGACAGTAACAGAGTAACTAGGAGCGTGGTGAATGGCAACAGCAAGATACCACATCAAAGACCAAAATTTTGACACTCAGCTTTCTCCATAAAGGGCTGTCAACTTGTTACCAGCTGAAATCAAATTAACTCCAGACATACATTATTTTACAGCAACAGTTAAGTGTTGGTTAAAAGCAAACCAGAGCCGTACTCATTTTGAGCCGATAGTATCATATTGTTAATTGTTTTGTTTCACTATTTGTCTGCTTGTTGTGCTGCTGTTGTCTCTTTTTAGACTATGCATCTGTACAGTAACTGTATGATACTATCAATTGCTTTATTTGTCTGTTTGCTTTGTTTGCTGTTGTCTCTTTTTTTGGACTGTATATCACAATCAATGCATTTCAGTACAGTATTTTAGTCTACTTCCTTATCTGTAGTGTATTGTGGTTTTTAGCTATAAACTCTCACACATCGGTTTCATGTTCTGGCCTGGAGCTATGTTAAATTGCTTTGTCCCTATGAAATAAATAGATGAACTAAAACTAAGGTACAATTTTAATCTAATTACAAAAAATGTTTTTTGTTTTTTTTTTTAAGTATATTTTTTTGGCCTTTTTATGCCTTTATTTGATAGCACAGTAGAGAGAGACAGGAAACGGGGAGGCAGAGAGGGGGAATTACATGCAGTAAAGGGCCGTCCGATGCAGGATTCGAACCGGGGCCGACTGCAGTGAGGACTGTAGGCTCTACATATGGGGCGCCTGCTCAACCCACTGCGCCACTCGACGCCCCTGTGTTTTTGTTTTTAACAGAATACAATGAAGAAACCAGAGTATGACTTCCTGTCACATTGACATGAATAAACTAGAGAGAGGGGCTTGAATTGCTTTGGCTCTTCACAAATACACATAGACATCTAAATTTTCAACTGTGTACAAGAGATGACATCTGTTTCCTTCAGGTGTTACTGCAGTTGGTGAAAAATTTTAAAAGATTACTGTCTTTAAACCCTCTACTACTGATTATTCCAGGAATCAATATCCCCTGAATGCTCATCATATCCATGGGTCGCCTCATGGTTAGCGAGGTCTAGTGTGATCCACTGAATAGCCAGTGTTTTTTCAGCAGGACAACACTCCTGCTACGTGCTACGGGGGAGATTTACTAGCTGACTGGCCCTCACTCTCCCTCAAATCAGACAGAGAACCTAACACATGAGTGGCTGCCTGATGGAGCGTTAAAAAGAACTGACCTCTTGTAGAAGTGGAAGCGTTCAGTGAAGAGCAGGAACTGTTTCTCCCCTTTCTGGAAGAAATGCCTGGCTCGGGACACCTCTGATTTGCTGGAATACTCGCAGACGCTGGCAAAGTTTATCTCCTCTTTCTTCATGTAGTTGCGCAGTCGGACATAGTCGAAGTAAGAGGGGATGTAGATCAGAGTGTGGGACATAACTGAGTCCCTGTACTGAGGTAGCACTTTGTCTACAAAGAACTGAAACCTAAGGGCAGGATGGGAGGATATAAAACACATTTAAGTATCATTAGGAAACAACCAATCATTTGTCAAGCTCTCCTCGACTAATTTGCTCTAAATCAGACATAGGTAAAGATAATTAAAAATGTTGATCAGACAAGCACAAGGGTCATACACCAAACACCTCAAAAGAAAGAAATCAATCTAGATGACGGGCACAACTGATTAGTTTGACAGCTAAAAATGAAATAATAAACCTAAAGGAAAGAAATGAGAGATAAATGCTGCTGTAAAGAAAGAGGGAGAGGGCAGAGGTGTGTTTGTTTTCATGGAAAAGAAAAGAAACAGTGAACATTAATCTTTGACAATTAAAGTTTCTTTGTGGAGTTTTTGACCTCTGGTAGCACTAGAGTTTTTATTTTTATTTTTTTTTACAAGTGGGTCTTTGTTTTGTTTCCTGTGCAGGTGCACACATGTGGACGTGCGTGATGCGATTCACATGCCGCTAATGGTTTCACACTCTTCTACTGATCTACAGGAGGTGGTAATGCACAAAGCTATGCTGCGATGCATCATCAAAGGCCAAGAAGAAGAAGAGTTCTGACCGGCAAACATGGATGTAGACAACAATGTTTGATTTAAAATAGGTGATGAAGGAAGTGCACTCAACAAGTTTTTGGGCCTCAAGGTCACATAGTGCGTTTTGGTGAATAACACTGAATGTAAATTTAACTTTTGCAATATATAACATTTACAACAAAACTCTACAGAGCGTCTTTAATAAGAATCTCAGTCAACAACAGCCGATAGTTAAATAGTCAGGCTGTGATGGTTCACCTGCTGGATGATCTTACCTAGCATCGTGGTCCATGAAGCTGTCAGAGGAGAACATCTGAAACACATGAGGCAGCTGAACCAGCACCTGGCAGATGGAACCTGTTTTTGGCATGTTCTTAGTGGCAATCTGAGACAAAAAAACATCAATTATTTACTAACTTTAACATCAAATGACAAAGTAAATGACAAAAAACTGTATTTATTAAAATACCACGGCTGTCTTGGGATATCTCGCAGACCACAGAAAAGAAATTAAGTGTTGCTGCTCCAACCACTGGGGATACTCTCAACTCATGAGGTCATTTCTGCCTCTTAATGATGTGTTGATCTAAAACTGCAGCCTGCTCTCAATGTTAAGTCTTAGGGAGCTGGTGCAATATTGGGTGTAAAGTGTATAAAGTGGAGTACCTGTCCGCGGTAGTTGGCGCAGTGTTTGGTGAGGATGTTGTTAATCTGTGGCTCCTGGATGGAGCTGAACACCAGCGTCTGCCTGTAGTGTCTGGCCCAGTTGTTCAGGTTCCACATCCTCACCCTGGAGAAGTCCACTCCATGGGAGTCCAGCGGCTGCAGGTTCATGTGCTTCATCACATGCTGGTGGGGGTGGACAATGTGATGTTTCATAAGAAATCAAACATACAGAAAAGAGTTCACAATAGTAATTTCTCAAAAACATTTAGTTATTGATTGTTTTTCTCAAGCGAGTTCTAAGAGGTGAAAATGTAAAATGTTTTGATTTATCTCATGGTTGTTGGACAGCAGATGGCGCTACATGTTTCCAGCAGTATAAAACTAAAGTTGATGCTCTTATAGAGAGATGGCATCATGCACAAATGTGCCATTTTGAACCTGTTGGTATTCTTACCAGGACGTGTTCCCAGTTCTGCATGAGGAAGACATCTGCCTGGTCCACCACCAGCAGCTCGATGGAGGACAGGAAGTCAAAGTCTCTCTTACTGTCTCCTTCAGCTCCCAGCACTGTGCGCAGGCCGAGGGGAGATGCGATGATGATGTCTGAGGAGTAGAAGGGGGCGTACAGACGCATACTGCCTTTCACAATGGAGACACCTGGTGAGGAGAGAGAAGACAACAACAGGGCCTCAGACCGGAAAGCTTAAGAGTTTTTCCAAAAGTGGGTTGACTTCTTTTTTTTGTCCGACTGTACCTATCCTGAAGTGATCATCAACGTTGCCTGAGAAAATAGCGTGGTAATCATCTGGTCTCTGTAGATTGGATGGCTGGTCATCTGCATCTTCTCCAAACTCCTCCTTGAACCTCTTCTTGTTGCTGACCACCATCTTCTTGCCTTTGGTCTCCAGCAGGCTGATGAAGGTCTGGATGACTCTCAGAGCTCCACCGCGGAACGGCACGAGAATCAGGACCTGACACATTCATAACTGTTATTATGACAAAGCAGCTGACAGGAAGGAGGTAAGATATCGTGTTTTGAACATCTGTGGCTAAGTGGAAGCATTTTGATCAGTGATAATGGGGGATAGCATTTATTTACTGGACAACATAAATAATCCTGAGGGGATACAGTGACCCATTCTGCTGCTGCGACCCTCAGTTCAAATCAAACTCAACAATGCAATAAGTGAGGTACTCTCAGATAATTCATGCTGTTCAGGGTGAAATGTGATTTTTTTTTCCTACATACAAACAGGCAGGGGGGATTGCTTACAGCAGGTAAAACTTTCAAGTTTCAGTGAAATCTTAAGATGTACAATGTGTAACTACTTCACTTTTTGTACACTTTATTGTGTTGTCTACACTCAATAAAACCACAATGATGAAGAGAAAATGTGTTTTTATAACTTTTTGCTAATTTATTAAAATTAAAAAACTGAAATCTCTCATTTGCAAAAGTATTCAAACCCTTTACTGTGGCACTTCAATCTGTGGTCAGCTCATAGCAAGGGTAAAAAACCAGCTCTGAAGCTTTGAGTGGGGCTCTTCCTATAGTTGGTTGTTCAGTCAAACTGATTAACCAGGAAAGAAGTACCTTGGTCAGGGAGGTGACCAAGAATTCAACGGTCACTCTAACAGAGGTTAAAAAGGTGAAGGTGAATGACAACCATCTCAACGGCACTCCATCAATCAGGCTTTTATGGTGGTGCAACTACAGGGAAGCCACTTTGAGTAAAAGGCATGTGATAGCTCACAGCAGTTAAAGACTCTCACAATCAAATGTGCAAAAAATGAAGAGGTCTGAATACTTTCTGAAGCTACTGTAAGATTTACCCTCACAGTCTGTATGAAATCAGCAACTCATTTACTACTTGACCCTGCTCTTGGTATTTGTGACTGAAAGAGAACTCAAAAAAGAGCATTGGAGGAAGACTAATTATAAATTAATTAATCATTTCCTGATGTAAAATGAAGCGCTGTTAAGGAACCAAACAATAGTTTACCTTGGGCCGCGTCAGACCCTGATCTCTGGGTTCGTCTTGTGGCTCAGCTCCGGGTTTAGTCTGAGTTTTCTGCTCTCTTAGCTGGGCGTTATGAGCCAGGACCTGGGAGTTGGCCTTCAGCACGTGGTTGAGCACATGGATGCAGTATGCACTGCGCACCTGAGGGCCCTCATTCAGAGGACACATCTCTGAGTGGTATAGGTCCTTGTAGGAGCCCATGAGGGCCAGCAGCTCCTGCTGGAGAGGGCTGATCTCTTCAGCCACCCCCTTAGCATTAGAGGTCTGGTTTCGATCCTTACAGCAGGACTCCAGCAGTTTGTGGAAAACTGGGAGGTTTGTGTCTTTCTGAGGGCCAATGGGTCCAAACTTGTCCAGAGGATTGGTACAGAGTAGGGAGCCCAATTTTGGCCACTAATTAATAGAATGACAAATATAGAATCTATAGTTAAAATTTAATTTAATGAAAAAAGCTCATTGGTAGATATAATGAAATTATGTAGTTAATACCGTGATCTGAGTCTTGGCTTTGCTGCCAGATGTTATCTTCTGCACATCCTCTTCACCAAGCTCCATGTCCAAATGCTGTAAAAACATGTCTGCACAGAGAGGATAAAAACAGTACAACACACTGTAGTCACATCATATTCCTTAAGTTTTTCTAATTCAGCAAGATATTTACTTAATTGAAAAATACAACCACACAAAATCTTTAAAAACAACTAATTCAGTGTGTTGTATTTGACAAAACCAACAGAAAACTTTTATTTTGAAGAGGAATTATTCACTCCTTTTTTACCCTTCCTGTCTTCATGCTCTGCGGTGCTTTCAGTGTCCTCTTGTTCGCCTTGACCCGTGAAGTTGGTCTCCAGACAGAATTGGGACTCATGTTCTTTATCTACGAACTCTTCATCTCCTTTCTCCTTTTCCTCTTCCTCCTCCTCCTCCTCTACTTCTACCACTTCGGTCTGAGCTTCATCTTTGTCTGCAAGTTCCTCCTCTCCACCTTCATCTTCATCTTCATCTTCATCACCATCGTCACTTTCATCTCCAACTCCGTCACTGTTCTCTACAAGAAAAAGCGGATTGGTATTCAGTCAAATGCAAATATAGTCCCAACAAGATATTCTGGAAATAAACAACTCACCTTCACCAAGAAGCTCCTCTTCTTCTTCCTCCTCTTCATCATCGCTGCTTTCCTCCTCTTCACTCTGGTTGTTGCCGTCAGGTCGGCTGAGAGTTGACAGAAGTTTCTGGTAGGCTGATTTCTGCTCTGGTTCCTCCTCTTCCTCCTCCAGCTCCTCAGGTTCAGCATCAGATTGTTCAGGGCTTGCTAACTGTAACACACGTGATGACACAACACTTTTCAATTATCAATAAACTAAAACTGGAGTCTATCAATGAGTGGATGGTCCAAGATTTCTTTTAGAAACATTTACTAACACTGAAAACACGTCTTCATCTGTGTTACAGTTACAGTTAGAACAATCATAAATTTTATGTTGCTTAAGTTGGGGTTTATGACGTGCACAGTTTTACTCACCAGCTCCACTATTTCAGTTCTTTCAGGTTTTTCATTGACACTGAAAAAAACACAAAGAGAGAAAAAGCTATTTAGACAACAAATATTTGAAGACAAACGTATAATGACATGTTACAAAGCTCTTGGTTTGGGCTGCTTGAAGACACTCAAGGAGTATGTAGGGAAAAAGTAAAGTACTGTTCTAGTCACACATGAGTGAATTAATTAGGATGTATTTAGGATTGCAATTTTGCGATTTAAGAGAGGAAGAGAGGTGTTGGAGGAGGCCAAATCTAGAGCAACATCTTGCCAGTCATCAGTATTTCCTAAAATCAAGCATCATGTTCATCACCATGTTTCTTTACAGTAACACTGATTATTCAGGTCTATGTTATTAAGAGACAAGTTTCCAGGGAAGAGACGTGAATAAAAATAAGTATCTCTGCATTCACTTTGGCTTGCTATTGTAAATATATATATTGCAGATATAGGATAGGCAGAGGTTATTGCACAAGTTTATGGAGTGATGATAATGTTGGAGTAATGCTAAAGTTAACTTTAATCTTATGCTACTGATATTTTTATTCGCTTTCAGCTGCTAGCCAACTTGCTAATTAGAAACAATAAAGAACCACATTAGGTTTACATTAACATTACACTATTCTGTGGTTCTTTTCATGTATGGTAGCCTAAAAATCTTTTTTTTTTTCATTTTTAATTTAACTGAACAATATTAGGGAGGAACATATCGGTTAATAAGGTTAGGCTTTCGTTAGCGGGCTCCTTCGAACAATATTAGCGTTATGCTTTTAATAATAACACATAACTATAGCTAACATTATCCAGTGTAGGCTAAGTGTAATTTAGCTTGCTGGCTAACAAAAAAGCTTAACTATTAAGGCCGGAGTTCGCTGTGCTACTTACACATCATGAAACGGATGCTCCTCTCCAAACTCCTTCAAGTGTTTCTTCTGTTTTTTGGATAAATTAGTGAAAAGTTGTTTATTCTGCCTCCTCTTCCCCATGTTGACACTGTGCTGCACGTGTGTGTCTCCGGCTTCTGTGGTGGCTGTTGGTGCATCAGTAACACTGTGTTACTGACACCTACAGGAGGGGAGGGGAATTACAGCTTTGAGTTTTCGATTCTTCTTCTTCTTTTTGATTCTGGTTGGTAACGTGGTGCAAATGATCCTCGCATTTTGCAAGAAATCAATCAATTAAAAAATTTTAAAAATAATAGAATAAAAAGAATACAAACACACAAACAAACAAACAAACAAACAAACAAACAAACAAATACACAAATATTATTAGAGGACTTCAGATAATACTATAATGCTGATAATTAGTTTCATTGTAAATAAAGCCAGAATTATCAATCTATGTAAAACCACTTGATATTGTACAATATAATGTATCTCATGTGCCACCAAGACACAGACAATTATAGAGCTCAAATAACCGTCTGATGACAGAGAGATAATCATTGCCTAGCGCAATAGATTATTATTATTTCTTTATTATATATATATATACTCCTTCTTGACTAATATTTGAAGATTATTCAAAATTAGCACTCTCTCTAAAGCTATATATATGATTGATCTTTGTATTCCATTATGATAAAAAAAAAATAAGATACAAGAATACATTTGAAAAGGTTACTGAGAAAACACTTGACCTTTGAGCTGAAATACAAGAAATATGTAAAAGAAAGTGGGTAAATATTTGCTAAATTTGTGCTCTCTAGATCACTGCAGGGTCAGATGAGGGTACTGGAAGGTGCTTTGAGGGTAAATGTGTAGTCAGAGAGCTTAGCAGACCATATCCTGGGTGTATATCTCCTAAAGACTGGCCACTAGGTCTGTAGTCTATCTGCTGTTTGAAAACTAACCTTGATCAATTATTGAACATGGTAATATCAATTTACTGTTTGGCTGTTTTAGCTGTTACCATGGCAGAAGCTCATCTATTGTTAAGCATTTGGGTGTCTAGTTTTTGTACTCGGGTATTTTCAGCTCCTTTTGACAAGTCAATGAGGATATTGTTGTTTGATAATTGCACACCACTATGTCTCAGGCTGTCTGGCTTTTCTGAATGGGATGTGAAGCATGTGAGACATTCTTGTATTTTAATGGAGGGGCCAAAGGTGAAACAGGAGAAAGAGAAGGCTGTGAAAACAGTCAGGTTTAGAGTAGCATCTGCCAACAGCGGCCGAGTCTTGGCGGAGGTGTTCAAGGATGAAACGGCCTGGTGCGGCTCAGTGGCGGACTCAGTGGACTCTGACTGCACCAGCACCCCGGAGGCAGAACAGGGGAGCTCACTCCCCAACAGTGAGGCCAACAGCCACCTGAGCGGTCTGGTGGTGGAGACTGCGATGGACGAGAATGGCTGCGAACCTGATGACCTGCTTTTGTACGCCAGTGCCAAGAGAGAGATGCTCTTCAGCAACAAACGCATCAATATCTGCAGCAAGAATGGGACCATACGAGGAGTGAGGAACAAAGTGAGCGCAGGCCAAGTGCTTTTCAACAACCTCTCCAACATGTACTCTGTAAGTAGCTCTGGCACAAAGCAATTCAAGGCTTCACTTTCCTGCATGTGGCTGTCTCACAGATGAAGATTATCGTCCTATGGAGAGTCCTGACGCTGCTGTTCAGCCATAACCTTTATTCTCTTTCCCTTTAAGAGCTCCCTTCGTCATCAGAAAAGGAGACCCTGGGAGAAGGAGTAAACAGACTGGAAATAGCACAGTGTGGACAACAGGAAGAAACAGCCCTCCAGCTGAAGATTGTCTTGCAGTTTGGTCTACACCAGGACTCCTCACTTACAGTAAATGTAATTTACAAGTGTCTGGTTAAAAACAAACTTTTCCGTGTCTTCTTCTATAACCCCCTATTACTTTTAAAGCACTACAGCTTTACAGAGTAACAATGGTCCAGTTCTTTGATTCAGACTCATGGATAAACAAATTGAAGTAGTAAATAACTTGCTATAAGCACACATATGTATGTATGTACATTTAAAAACATTTGAAACCTCTCATATGAACCATTTCTAAATGTGCAAAACATTAGCAAACTGTTATATATGTCTAATATGTTTTTTTAAATGTGCTACTAAACTTTTGCCCATGCATACATATCACTAACAGCGAGTGACTTGTAACTTAAACAGCTAAACAAACTATAACTAAACTTCTCTTGACCCTGTGATTTTGATATTCGGTGGAGTCTCTTTCATGGCTTAAGGCTTAATTATGTGAACATACATGTTTTTGTAAGCATTTTTAAATGATGTTCACACTAGATGGGGTATGCTTCATATTATGTCTGATCCATAATGCCACATATAAATAAATGGTAACTTTATAATGCTACCTTTGTTTTAAGAGGTAGATATGTGCTTCTACTGCATTACAGTAGATTTTATCTGTAGTACACTGGTATCAAGAAACAGCTGCTGCTTGTTCATTACATTATACTAAGAAATATTTTACATGCTAACATAATGTAACATTACTAATGCAACTGCTGGTATTCGTGTTCAATTTTCAGCTGTATATCAGTAATGGAACTGGTGTAGATTTTATCTTCTCTCTCCAAGAAGTGCTTGTTTTCGGTTTACAACACAGCATGCACCAAGTAACGCAGCTCACTGATCTAATGTGGTTTACTCCACTTTTTATCCATCACTGAACATGAAACGTGACATTTTTGATTTAAAGTACAACGGGGGAGATAAAAGGGAGTTTTGAACACTTCCTGGCACTGATTCACTTTTTTGGGGATTTCATGAGTTTTCACACCAAAACACTTGAGATACTCGTTTTTATTTTAACTTAAGTATTTGCATTTTATGCTACTTTCACATTTCAGTATATTTAGTTGTAGGTCTACTCCACTACCTGAAATATATAGTTGCTACTTTACAGAGGCTGATTTTACATGAATATAATATATATAAAAATATGATTCTTTATCAATAGATTACCGTAACAAATGGAATGTAAATAAATTGAAATTAGCACTACTACACAACTATAATAATATAGGGGGAATTTTCTGCATTATAACCTGCCGATTATTTTCTCAATTAAGCCATTAATTGTTTGGTCTATAAAATGACAGAACAGTAAAGAAAAATGGCCATCGCAAAATCTCAAAACCCAAGTTGTTGTTTCCAAATGTCCCAAACCCATTACATTACATTCAGTTTATTCACAGATCAGACAAAGAAAATCAGCAAATCTTCACAATTACGAAGCTGTAACTAGCTAAATAACTTCAATGACTTATCAATTATCTAAAGAGTTATGTGCCAATCAGCTCATTTAATACTTTCAGTAGATTTTACTGATAATATTTCTGTACTTTTGTTGAAGTAAAACTTTAAATGCAGAACTTTTACTAGAGAATTTTAACATGGTGGTAATAATACTTTTACTCAGAGAAGTCAAAACCATATGAGGCCACAGTGGAGGAATAACTAATGAATGACTTGGATTTGATGGATTTAAGTATTAATACAATTCTTCGGACAAATTGTTAACATTTTGTGATTTTTCTATTACAGTTTATTCATACCAATTGTGGTTATCTTATTTTGTAAGGCTTAAAAGGAAAAAAATCCACCCCAAAATCGAAGCAAGATTTAATTTGTGTAGTATTGGTGCAACTCTGAGGACACTACTGATTTGATTAAGGTTATTTACTAATTCACAACCATAATCTCAGACGTTCCTTTGCATGTGATAGTATTTATAAAAAGTCAGTGAACAACCAGATCCAGTCATCAGGATGAATCACTGTCAATGGATTTCCACCAAAAGTGTCACCTGACCACCCTGATCTCCAGATTAGCACAAACCGTTGTCCATTTTTTTGTTTGTTTGTGTGTTGACTTCACTACCCCTAACTCAACTGAAGACTCATCTTTAGGGTGGACTTTCCCTTTAAGGGACAGATTTATGCAACAACATCTCACCGTACACCTGCCTCAGTCAGCACCATGGACAGCGACCCTGCCAGCTCTGTGGACCACTAACGGCGTCCCCCCTCCTCACACCGATAAACACACAGTGGTCCCTAAGGGGCAGGGCATGTTCATTTTGTAATGACGACCAGCTAATACAGCATAATCTACGATCATGTTACTGCGGCACTGACAGCTAAACCGTAAAGGGTAGGATACAGGCTCTCCTATAGACACACCCCCGCTTTTTTCATTCTCCTGCCGCCGGAAAGATCCCCTTATTTTGGGTCTTCACCGATCAACATGCCTCTGTCGCCCTGCCTCGGGCTTTTCCTCGGGTGGAGTGCCTCTGTGTGATCGCAGATGTAGTGGCTCGTCTTGGTTGAGGGACGCTGCAGAGCAAGGTAGTGAAATCTCTTCCTCTTCCTACTCCACGCCCTGTCATTATTATCAATAGCTGCCCAGCACCATGTCCCCTCCAGCATCGGCTGCGACAGCGAGTGAAAGCAGCACGACCACCGTTTTCGAGGAGGACACCAGAGAGGAGGTATTATTTTCCAACATCACTTGTTACGAGCAAATGGCTTTTGTTATAACCTGTTTGTCAGATCCTGTCGCAGAGCTTTAATGAATCCATGTGCACGGTGTGCAGGCTGCAACACACTGCAGGTGAATTGTTTGTCTTACTGGAAATCATCTCATTAGTTAGCCAACAATTTGCAATGGGCCGATTTATATTATCTTGTAGCCTGCAGTAATAATTTTACAGTAAAATGCAAGCACGTGATTGGTGATTAACCAAACAGCCTCTTCACCTGTCTTTCATTCCTCATGGGCTGTAGTGGGCCTGTAGCTCAGTACCTGTCAAACAGCTGTTCATCATAGCTATAAAATGGCATGTCTTTCTTGTCATCCACTCTGCAAGCAGTCTGACTGATTGTCTTTGCAAGGAATTTTCTAATCTGTGAGTGTTACTACTGGGAGCATGACCCATTCATTCATTTTAATCCATTAAATCCATTAAAAATCCTGACTGTGCCACAGATGTTGCAGTGTGCAACAGGACATTGAAGTGGGTGATAATTAACATGACAACAGTCTTTATCACTTCCTCTTTTGTTTTGTTTTGATTCAATAGCAAAGACCCCTGAAGCAATCTCTGAGCAAGTCTCTGTGTCGGGAGAGTTTCTGGAAATGCCTGCTCCTGTCCATCCTCATGTATGGCTGCATGGGAGCGATGGTTTGGTGTCATGTCACCAAGGTGACCCGCCTCACCTTTGACAGTGCCTTCAAAGGGAAATCCATGATGTACCATGACACCCCATGCTCTGATGGCTACATCTACATCCCTCTGGCCCTGCTGGGCATGCTCTATTTGGTCTATCTTGTGGAGTGCTGGCACTGTCACGTGAAGAATGAGCTGCAGCACAAAGTGGATGTTGAGGGCATCTATGAGCGAATCCAGAGGATGCAACAAGCTAAACCCTGCATCTGGTGGAAGGCCATAAGCTACCACTACGTTCGCCGAACTCGGCAAGTCACACGCTACCGTAATGGAGACGCTTACACCAGTACCCAGGTTTACCACGAACGTGTCAACACCCATGTGGCAGAAGCTGAATTTGACTACAGTCACTGTGGTGTTAAAGATGTTTCCAAACAGCTGCTGGGCTTGGAGAAATCTGCTCTTACAAAGATGCGCTTCACCAAGTGCTTTAGCTTTGCCAACGTAGAGTCAGAGAATTCCTACCTTACACAACGAGCAAGGTTTTTCACTGATAATGAGGGCCTTGATGACTACATGGAGGCAAGGGAGGGCATGCACCTGAAAAACATTGACCTGAAGGAGTATGTCCTGGTGCTGTCTGACCCAGAGCACCACCCCTGGTATCTGTCCCACTATGTCTTCTGGTTTGCCTCCTTCCTCACTTTCTCCTGGCCTCTCAGAGTCTTTACAGAGTATCGTACGGCATATGTCCACTATCGTGTAGAGAAGCTCTTTGGCCACGATTACCTCCCTGTGACCCCATGTGACGATCGACCGTATTGGCGTCGTATCCCTCGTGTTAACACCATAGACAGTACTGAACTGGAATGGCACATTCGTTCCAACCAGCAGCTGGTGCCCAGCTACTCAGAAGCCGGCCTCATGGACCTGGCCCAGTGCCCATCCAGCTTCAATGGGGTTCGTCAGAATTGTGAGCGCTGCCACAGAGCCATCAGCTGCTCCTCAGTGTTCTCCAGGAGCGCCCTCAGCATCTGCACTGGTGCCAGCTCCCGCATCCCCTTCAGCGGCAGTCGGTTCTCCCTGGCCCGGCGCTACGGCTCCCAACGCAGCTGCTTCTGGAGGAGCGGCAGTTTGGACGACCAAGAAAGCCCCAGTGAAAATACCCGCTGCCTATCAGAGCGTCTCACCACAGATGATGAGGAACCCCCAGACTATGAGGACGCACTTTGCTACCCAGTGCTCATCGTCCACTGCAGCGAGAACTGCCGCAACCACAGGTCGTTCCACAGACATGGCTCCTGCGTGGAGACTTCTCTATGACTATGCAGTCACTGATGAAACACAGTGGCATTTCTGTAGCATACAAATACTTTGGACATCAGACACATAGTGTGCAAACAAGTCTTAATGCGAGATACACAGATTCATGCTGTATTGCCATACTGTCTGAAACAAATGCCTGAATCCTGAATGTGTGAATCACCAAAGCAATAACAGTGATTAGTGAGTGGAGAGCAAAGCGACAATGGTATGTGAACCTACTAGGATACACACACATGGAAAAAATATATCTGCCTAGCTTCCTATGAAAACCAAGCAAGGACTGTTACACTGTACACCATTGCCATAGCTTTTAAAATCTCATATGTGCAGTACATATGAAACTGAAACTGAAGCTGCAGTTACCTCATAAGACCTTTTCAGAGGCCACGGAACAGATGGACAGGTTTAAACATCTCATTCAGTCAGTGAAATCTCAGTAACACCGACCCATCAGAAATGATAGAGAAAGATAAGGTCAGATAAAGTTGGAGCTGATTTTAATGAAAAGAATGGTGAGGAAGTTTAACCTACTTCTAATTACAGCAATAACTGTGAAAATAAATGCAATCTCCTCAAGTGGAAAAGTCAAAGGAGGACTATTGGTCAAACATAGTGTGTTGCGCTTATGCACATCACAAGGAGATGTTAGTCATTGGAAACCTCCGACTCCAAAAGAGACAAACGAACTCTTGGTAACCCTCAGTCACTGTTATACCAATCTGTGATTTTTCAACAAAAAAAAATTTCTTATGTTGTGGTGAAGTGTTGTAATTGGTGTACCTACTTTTTTTTTTTTTATATCAACATGTATCATCTAT